TTAGTGGTGTCTAACAGATCATCATTTGACATATAAATGGTCATATCTTTTTTTCTTATTTTGAAGATCATAAGTGTTTTATGCGACGTGTACTTTTGCCAATTTTTAGTAAAGATAAAAATGGTCACCGAAAGGTTTTTTCTTTCAAAAAAAACAATAAAGATAAACAACTGTATGAATAACTAGACTTGGGAAATTGAACGAAGTTCAATTTCAGACTCCAGATCCAGACGTTTTTAAGCCCAGTCATCTAAAATAAGCCGAGTCATCCAGAATAAGCTGAGTCATCCAGAATAAGATGGATGGATAAAACAGGAAGGTAGGATAGGATAGAATGGGAAGGAACGATAGGATAGAATAAGAAAGAAGGATAGGATAGAACAGAATAGGAAGAAAGGATATGATAGGAGAGGATAGGAAGGATAGGAAGGAAAGGATACGAAGGAAGGATAGGATAGGATCAGATAGGAAGGATGGATGAATTTTTCAATATTTTCTTCTCTACTCTTGACTTTCTATCAGGATACCATCAGATCGATTTTTCGAAATTTCAAAACGCCATAACTTCCGAACCGGAAGTCGGATCTAAATTTGATTTAAAGATTTGGCTTCCTGACAAAATTCTACCCCTAATTCATAACTCATACATTAAATTTGGCGAATTTTTATTTTGACCTACTTTTTGGACACACCATAACTTCGGAACCGGAAGTCGGATCGAAATTTGATTTGCAGATTCGGATTTCTGAGATAATTTTATTCTTAATTCATAACTCAGACGTTAAATTTGGAGAACTTTTTATTTTGACCTACTTTTGGGACACCATATCTCAAAAGTGGGTCAAAATACTTTCTGACGGCAAAAGGCTAACGCTATTAGCACACTCTTGGCTACATGTATACACAATTTCGAAGAATATAATTAAAGTGTAGTGTCAGAATCGCAAAAATAAGAAAAAACTTTGAATTTGACCTAGATTTTGACCTAGGCATTTTGGTGTCCAAATTTTAAAGCTAGATGGCTTTTGAGGTCCCATTCTTTTAAAAGCTTTCATTAAATTTAGCTGAACTTAGTCTATATTTCGTATTTTTCACTTCAAAAAAATCTTTTTTCCCATTGACTTAACATGGGCTCAAAATTTAGCGATTTTTGAGCTTTCAAATCGCCATAACTTCAGAACCGGAAGTCTGATCTAAATTTCGTTTTCAGATTCGGAATCCTGAGAAAATTTCCTATAAGACTAATATCCTGGACATTTGATTCGGAGAATTTTTTTTTGGACCTCGTTTTCGGACACTGATATCTCGAAATCGGTTTGAGATATCAAAAAACTAAATCGACCCTAGGTTTCCTACTTTTTTATGAGGAACACATTGAAAAAAACCTGGATCGAAAATATTGAAGGACAACCAAGAAAATCGAAAAAAGTGACAAAGTACTGGATTTGACCTAGTACTTGACCTTTGACCTAGATAAAAACTTGACCCAATTTCCCACCAACTAGATACTGAACCTAAATAAACTGAATTATGGTCTTTACTGGATACCTTATAGTTATTGAAAAAACGGCTACGGAATAATAAGAATAACTAGACTTGGGAAATTGAACGAAGTTCAATTTCAGACTCCAGATCCAGACTTTTTTAAGCCCAGTCATCTAAAATAAGCCGAGTCATCCAGAATAAGCTGAGTCATCCAGAATAAGATAGATGGATAAAACAGGAAGGTAGAATAGGATGGAATGGGAAGGAACGATAGGATAGAATAAGAAAGAAGGATAGGATAGAACAGAATAGGAAGAAAGGATATGATAGGAGAGGATAGGAAGGAAAGGATACGAAGGAAGGATAGGATAGGATAGGATCAGATAGGAAGGACGGATGAATTTTTCAATATTTTCTTCTCTACTCCTTACTTTCTATCAGGATACCATCAGATCGATTTTCCGAAATTTCAAAACGCCATAACTTCCGAACCGGAAGTCAGATCTAAATTTGATTTAAAGATTCGGATTCCTGACAAAATTCTACCCCTAATTCATAACTCATACATTAAATTTGGCGAATTTTTATTTTGACCTACTTTTTGGACACGCCATAACTTCCGAACCGGTAGTCGGATTGAAATTTGGTTTGCAGATTCGGATTCCTGACAAAATTCTATTCCTAATTCATATCTCATACGTTAAATTTGGAGATTTTTTTATTTTGACCTACTTTTCGGACACCATATCTCAAAAGTGGGGCAAAATACTTTCTGACGGCAAAAGGCTCACACTATTAGCACACTCTTGGCTACATGTATACAAAATTTCGAAGAATATAATTAACTTGTAGTGTCAGAATCTCAAAAAAAAGGAAAAACTTTGAATTTGACCTAGATTTTGACCTAGGCATTTTGGTGTCCAAATTTTGAAGCTAGATGGCTTTTGAGGTCCCATTCTTTTAAAGGCTTTCATTACATTTAGCTGAACTCGGTCTATATTTCGTATTTTACACTTCAAAAAAATCTTTTTTCCCATTGACTTAACATGGGCACCAAATTTAGCGATTTTTGAGCTTTCAAAACGCCATAACTTCCGAACCGGAAGTCGGATCGAAATTTGGTTTGCAGATTCGGATTCCTGAGATCATTTTACACTTATTCCATAACTCACATGTTGAATTTGGAGAACTTTTTGTTCTGACCTACTTTCCGGACGCCATATCTCAAAATCGGTAAGAGATATCAAAAAATAAAATCGACAATGTCTTAACCTACTTTTTTATTAGGAACACAATGAAAAAAAAATCGATCCAAAATATTGAAGGATGACGGAGAAAATCGAGAAAAGTGACGAAGTACTGGATTTGACCTAGTTCTTGACCTTTGACCTAGATAAAAATTTGACCCAATTTCCCACCAACTAGATACTGAACCTAAATAAACTGTATTATGGTCCTTACTGGATACCTCATAGTTATTGAAAAAACTCCCAAAGAATAATAATAACTAGATTTTGGAAATTGAACGAGTTCAATTTCAGACTCCAGATCTAGACTTTTTTTTAGCCGAGTCATCCAGAATAAGCAAAGTCATCCAAAATAAGCTAAGTCATCCAGCAAAAGATGGATGGATGAAAAAGGAAGGAAGGATAGGATAGAATAGGAAGGAACGATAGGATAGAATAGGAAAGAAGGATAGAATAGAATAGGAAGAAGGGATAGAATAGGAAGGATAGGAAGGAGAGGATACGAAGCAAGGGTAGATAGGAAGGATAGGATAGGATCAGAAAGGAAGGATGGATGCATTTTTCAATATTTTCTTCTCTACTCTTGACTTTCTATCAGGATACCATCAGATCGATTTTTCTTGAAATTTCAAAACGCAACAACTTCCGAACCGGAAGTCGGATCGAAATTTGATTTGCAGATTCGGATTCCTGACAAAATTCTACCCCTAATTCATAACTCATACGTTAAATTTGGCGAATTTTTATTTTGACCTTCTTTTCGGACACGCCATTTCTTCAGAACCGGAAGTCGAATCGAAATTTGGTTTGCAGATTCGGATTCCTGAGAAAATTCTATGCTTAATTCATAACTCAAACGTCAAATTTGGAGAATTTTTTATTTTGACCTACTTTTCGGACACCATATCTCAAAAGTGGGGCAAAATACTTTCTGACGGCAAAAGGCTAACACTATTAGCACACTCTTGGCTACATGTATACAAAATTTCGAAGAATATAATTAATCTGTAGTGTCAGAATCGCAAAAATAAGGAAAAACTTTGAATTTGACCTAGATTTTGACCTAGGAATTTTGGTGTCCAAATTCTGAAGCTAGATGGCTTTTGAGGTCCCCTTCTTTTGAAGCCTTTCATTAAATTAAGCTGAACTAAGTCTATATTTCGTATTTTTCACTTCAAAAAAATCTTTTTTCCCATTGACTTAACATGGGCACAAAATTTAGCGATTTTTGAGTTTTCAAAACGCCATAACTTCCGCACCAGAAGTCGGATCAAAATTTGGTTTGCAGATTCGGATTCCTGACAAAATTCTACCCCTAATTCATAACTCATACATTGAATTTGGAGCGCGTTTTGGTGTGACCTACTTTCTGGACGCCATATCTCAAAATCGGTTTGAGATATCAAAAAACTAAATCGACCCTAGCTTTCCTACTTTTTTATGAGGAACACAATGAAAAAAACCTGGATCGAAAATATTGAAGGACGACTGAGAAAATTGAAAAAAGTGACAAAGTACTAGATTTGACCTAGTTCTTGACCTTTGACCTAGATAAAAAATTGACCCAATTTCCCAGAAACTAGATACTGGACCTAAATTGACCATATACAGGACTTGACTCAATGTCTTCTAGTTAAGGAGAAAACGTTTGTAGAAGAATAATAATAATAAGAAGAATAAGAATAAAGAAGAATACTGGCAAAAACAATAGACTCCAGATTGACATCTGGAGTCTAATAAGTAGGCATCTTTTATGTCTACAGTATATATTAGACTAGCATAGTTTGTATTGGACCTTATCAGCACATATAATCATAATCATAAGCCATACAAGTTTGAGATAATTCTTATCTACAAAGATGTTAAACCTTTCAATGACTGATCATTCAGAGATGTTTGCCACTGACATCATGGAGGAAAAGCATATTGACACAATAAGGAAGAAACCAATGGCTACAAAATGAGTGGTGCGAGCCACGAGGTTTCAGAGTCTTTAATGAGTTAATTATGGCCCATTCCATTTGGGCAGCCTTGATTCATTGAATGAATTTACCACCAAGCATACTTACACTTTGTAAGCATGCTGACTGTAAACTCCAGTTGCATGTTTTAACCCATTGAGAAATTTATCTCATATATTAATGATCAGTCAACGAAGGGTTAATACTTAACTTCAATATGTTCCAAAAAGCAAGAGATGCAAAAGCATTATTTATATGCAATGTATGGGTACATTCAAAAGCATACTTTTCATATAGAAAAACTTTGAGTTTTTAATAAATACTTATAATACAGAAAAGCGTAGCTACAGCCATATTTATACAACATGCAGATCATTATTAATTGATTAGCTTAAATACGCCATGCATGAATCGTGTTAGAATATGTTGTAATTATTCATATCATATACAAGAATTCATTCATCATTTTTGTACTAAGGCCATAAAATAAATCTAAAAAATTAGCATTGAATTTTAGAAATCAGAATTTATATCAACATTTCCATGCTGACAAATAAACAACAGTTATGACAATATTGCAGAAAATAAATAAATGATAAATGAATCGCTAGTATTTGATGAGCTTATTACAGGAATGAATGCTTTTTAGGCTTCTAGGCATTTTGAGTAGTTTGGCAGTAGCTTGGCACTACATGGATTTCACTGGGTCTGTTGTAAGACAAGTCCTTGGTATGATAAAATATCTTGATTTGCACTGAAATGCTCCTTGTCTGATTATATCTTCCTTTTACAACAAAGATCATCTTGTTGACTTGGCAATTGTTCTTTTGGCAGTCTATTTGAAATATTTGTTCTGTCTGAAATGTTTTTTGATCTCCTTTAACAAACACTGTCCGGTTACATTCTGTTTTCATAGTTTTTTCTACACTATTCACAACATATGTTTCTCTATATGTATAAATCAAATAACATCATTGATGTGTTCATCCAGTGGAGATTATTCAAATGTAACAGGTGGAGTTGTGACCTTCTTTAATTCTTCTGAATCTTCCTCACGAGGTACAACGATAACACGCATAGTGTTAGTATGGCCAGCTCCTTTTGTCCACCCAGTTACTATGACTACATTATCACCAGCTTTAAGAAATTGACGCTCTTTTCCGTCTTTTATAGCTCGTCTAATCCTAGTATCCATATCTTCGGTCCAATCATCTGTACGCTCAGCTTAAATATAGAAAAGTGACAAAGGGTTAGATTAAATAAGCTTAACTAATATCAGTGTTACACTTAAGTTAATGTTACACTTCAGTCAATGTAACACTGGTAACATTGCTCTGAACTAGTTGTAAATGCGCCTGCAGAAGTAACTACAGGAAGACTACAGCAGTTAAAAGATTGCAGAAATACAAGTAGAAACTGTAAGATTTCTCTATGGCAACATAATAGTTCACTCTCCACATCTTAACGATTTTGCCAAGTTCACAAAATGATCTTTTAACAATGTCGATATTGAGCAACTTTGAAAAAGAACTGGGTTAGAGACAACCAACGAAATCTGATAGAAACAGTCAACCTTGATAGAGCAAATATATTTACAAATTAACCATATTACAAGGCCCTAGGCCAATAGTACATGTGCCTGAATGCAAGTAAAAGATGCTTGACATTTTTAAATTTGAACCAATTCAACTGTAATGTGAAAACAATATGATTCTTCTTCTACTAAATGTAACATCAACTATATAAACATTTTACTGGTCGTTGCATGACAAACATCATAATCACAAACAACAGTGGGATGTCACTTCCAAAAATATTTTCAGGATCTACAGCTTGCAAATGAGGTGAATATTTTTTATTTTGTATACAAACATTTATTACTTTCAAGATTAAGATAAGAAAAGGTAGACAAAGATACAGAAATATCTACTAACAATAATATTTCACCAATATGTTCTAAGTATTTTTGTCATAGTTAAATGTTCATGTTGTATGTTGTATGGGAACTATTCATTTTATCAGTCAATGAGTTCTTTGTCTTAAAGGATAATCAGTTAGTACAATACAACACTTCAAAGTCAACAAACATAACATAAAGGGGTTCTACATCCAGACTCTGAATATATTGAAAAACACCTAGTAGAATGCAAGTCAACTCCAATACATAATAAACATAAAATCAGAACTTTCAATATTTTGTAATTTCCTATTTTACTGGAACAAAATATTAATATCACTCGAAAAGTTCGGCTTAAAGGGGTATGATATTAATACATGAGGTCATGCCTGAGTTAATAATATTTTATGATGAATATGAGAAAAAATATATATGAGAGGAATTTACACAGGGGAAAGGGTCTGTTGCAATTTCTTGTGTTTTCAAGGCCAATATGTTTTGAAATAGTTATGTAATTTTTTTTAGAAAGAATCATTTAATCATTCTGGTGTATGGGTGAGGGTGGTAAATATAAATGAACTAACTTATCAAGAAGCATGGAGGATTTAGGTTTAAACCCTGCATTGGACTAAAGTTTTCAAAACCGGTTACGTAAGACCTTTAAAAATGCTCCAGAAAAGTGGTAAACTCAGCAAAGCACAATTTAGTCAGTATATTTATATGACGTAAGAATATAAATGAGATGTTGGCAAAAAAATATGATGGAACCATGCAGGAAACTTATAAGAGGCACAGTACATCATGCGATGCAATACAATACAATACAGGGCTCTAGCTAAAAGTCATTACACGGTGATTATGTTGGAAATGGACACACTCATCCATTTAGTCATTCTGACAAACAGGTATCCAATTGTTAGCTAGAACACTAATTGGGTGCAGGCATTGTTTAATATTAAAGCCATAAGATTATCAATTATACGTGAGAAGCTTCAGCCAAATATGGATTGTTCACCTAAAAAGCTTGCGCAGCATGTCACAAGCGCAACAGTACACGTCATGCAGTTGAGGATCACCTAAAGGTTTAAATATATGTGCAGGCCATGGTTATGCTGATGATTAGAAGAAGGAGATCTTCTCAAAGCTATCACTTGGCTTATACTGGAGCTCTATGCTGTCATCTCCAACTTCAAGAACTCGTAACGAGTTTGTGAAACCTGCCCCTGATTTCCATCCTGTCACCAAGACAACGCGGTCTTGTTTATTGACAAAGCGACGTTTTATCAAGCGCTCCATGCCGTGTCTAATACAAACTTCTACATCATCTTCAAAGTTGTCCTGTTTGTTCTCTGTAGCGATGGGAAAGGGAAAATATGGTAAATGTAGTGAGGGTCTCAGATGATGTTAGAGAATGTGAACTGTTCATTTATGTAAAAATGGTTAGTAGCTTATTACACTAGTATTAAGTATAATATTCTTTCAACTTATATGTCAAGAAGAGGACAGAAAGATGAGGAATATGGATACAGCGGTCCATTTTTGGAACAGTTGTAACTTATAAATAGGTCATATAGTCACTGTTATAAAACAACTTGGAATCAGAAGTTACAACTGTACCAAAATGAACCTCCATGTAGCCATGGGTTTCAACTAGAAAGCCCATGATAGTAGTGTACAAATCTACACAGATAAGGGCTACAGATCAGATCTAGAGATACAGCGAAGCAACTCAATGATTCTAAATTTTCACAATGCAAAATGATCATCATGCCAAATCTTATTTTTGTACTGATTATGTCATGATCATAAACATTAGAGCCTTCATATTAGCAGCCTTTTATGAACGTAGCACGAAGACATAAGCATGTTAAAATAATTTATGAACATACAGCATAATATATGAGTAATTAACATATCATAATATGTGAACATTTAAATGACAGTGTACGACAGTATATATAGTTCTACATATTATGATAACAATAACTCTCATATATTCTTTAGCATGCATACCCAAATCAATTCAACGAAAATTCTAATCTTTCTGAATTACATGTATATAATATATGGCATAGTCATATTTAATATATCCTAAAGTTTAAACTTATATGTGGTTAGTAAAAAAAGTAATATCACTGTTATTGTCTATCAGTCAATAATGCAAATATGAATTAATTAATGACAGCCTACAATTCATAATCAAAATATCAAGAAAAACTATAAACAAACACTTCTTGATAAAATATGTGGAATTTACTCATTCTACTGTGACTGTACTTAATTATTAATTAATGGAATGAATTAATTTCATATGAAACATATATTAAACATTGTTTAACCCCAATGCTTAATTAAAAACTGTGTTTTGTAGCTGTTCTGACATACAATTAACCTGTAGCTATCAACTGTATTCCTCAGAACTTATATTGATAATATAGTTAGAGACCCATGCCTCTCTATCGTTTCAAAAAATTTACCCAACGTGTCGGTCTCTGTTAATTTATGGCATCCATACTTTTTTGAAAGGTAACACTTTGAGGATCAATTTTTTGCCGGATGCCCTTGCAAACTCTCATTGGTTGCTCTGTATTGTAGCATTCCGTTACCATGGTTACGCATCTATAGACATCTTACCTTGGAATCTTAAATCATTTGTAGCTTTGTCATTATTTGGTCTATAGAGACGATATTGGTATCAAATTAAACCTAATTAAATTTCTCATAAAGTAATGATATTCAATTATGCAAATTAGTTAATTATATATATGCAATGAAAAATGATGACAAAATCCATACAAGAGCTCAGTAGTAGTACTAGTAATCCTGAAATTAAAGTATATTGATCAAAATAGCCACGAAGAAAAAATGCCCTTTAAAATATTTTTGAAAGAACTGATTTTTGTAGGACTTTAACTAACCCTTCCTACATCTACATGTAGGTTTCCTACATCTATCTCTTATGTCACAAAGTATGTGTGGTATAGGACTTATAATCTGAATTTGTTTTAAAAGGTTTACAAAATATGAAATACCAAAAATCTATGAAAAATTAATGAGTCTCAAATGGATGGATTTCAGGTATATCCCCATACACTATGGATACCATTCAAAACTGAGAACTGTAACAACAGGAGATTTAAGTGCAAAATAAAGGAGTTAATTAATCATGTAGTATGATTGACAGAGGTTGAATCTTAACTATTGTAATTTATAGTTTAGATGATCTAATCTAATAAAGATCTAATCAGTACAGTGCGTATCAAAAAAACACAACAGATTGTTATCCTTGAAAAGCACAAAACCAGTGATAACAGCATTGATTTCATTCAATGCACCATGAAGCCATGTGTCTCCTCTTTACAATGATATATCATTCATTGATATTTGGTCATGGTTGGGCGGGTTATCATTCCATTTGCAAAGTGGGCCAAAATTAGCTTGGGGCCAAGTTATAAACATCGCAAAAGTCAGCGTACGGAGCCCTATGCAATATTGGAAGAATACATAAAACCAATGCTGACGGTATCCTTTTCATTCAATGTACCGAAAAGCCAAATTACTCCTCTTTGCAATGGAATATCATTCATTCACAGGGAGTCATGGCTGGCTGAATAATCATTTATTTTGCAAAGTAGGGCAATGCAAAAGTCAGTACAAGGGACATAGGGGCTATTGGAAGAAGGTGTGACGGGTGTGGCATAGACAGTAAAGTGTTCATACTCATACTCTTGCAAGAATACATCCTATACCTCTCCAAATTGCCACCACTTCCTTGCACATGCGCTCATTTGTCCACGTCATGCATGGTTCAGCCCTGAGTCATCTTTGGGTTAAAGCAGAGAAAAGCAGCCTATGGGCAATTCTTTCTCGAGGTTTCGCAATATCCGGTGAAGGAATTGTGAGCACAGATGCTCCTGAGATAGCTCCAAAAGAAAAAGTCAGAGCATTTCAAGTCAGGGGAACTCCCATTGGCACTTAGCCCTTGCAATGATCTTTGCAATATCTAAAACTTGGTCCAGAGCCGATTTTGACCCACTGTGCAAATGGAAGGATTTCTCACCCAACCATTACCACATGTGAATGAAGACATATCATCGCAAAGAGGAGAGACGTTGCTTTATGGTACATTGAATGAAATTGATGTAGTCATCACTAGTTTTGTGATTTTACAAGATAACTACCTGTTGCGTTTTTTTGAAACGCCCTGTATAACAGATTTTATCAAAAAGTCTCAGATGTACATGTAGGCCTGGACGCTGGGGCAAAAGTCATCACAATAAGATGTGCTGAGAGGAGCTGAATCAATGTCACAGCTATAGATGATGTTAACAAGGAGATTAATGTCACACAGATGATATTTGGGAGTCAAATCACACTGGTGATAGATGTGACAAAGATGATGGAAACATTAAGAATAAAAAGCATCCCTGTCATGAAAGTCACTACTGAAATAGATTAACAAAAGAAAAATTCAACCACTGCCATATGGGTCCTTGACATGGGTAATACTACATGAATATTGATGTTACATATACGTACATGTAGATGGCTATAACATGAATGAATGCCATAGAGGTGATGTTAACACGGATATCAATGTCACATGGATGACATGGTGATAAAATGTTAATTTGTTCAAAGTTACACTATAAAGGTGATGTTAGTCACATGGAAATAAATGTCACATGGATGTAGGAACTCTTGGGTTAAAGTCCTCGCTTCATCAACACTTAATATAAAAATGCAATGCTATTTATGAACTATAATAGCTTGGTATGATAAATAGTACAAGGTGTCTCAAAAATGTACCCAAAAGTATATTAACACCACGGTTAAACCAATCAATATTTATTTTATAGATATTTTTGCATGGTCATGTTGCTAAAGCATGTAAGTTTCCTTCCCAATACAAAGTTTTCAGTTCAGTCTTGCATTTTGATGATTTAACCCTTTACTTTTTACTTCATATTTCGATGACAGCCTGTATCCTTGTGCTACATTGTTCATCACATTTGATAATATTTCAGGTGGAACGTTTTTAATTTCTCTTTGGGTGTTGGCTTTATGTTGTTCTAGGTCTTTTGGCTTGGGATTAGCTTAACATGCTCCTTCAAATAGCCCCAGAGAAAGAAGTTCCAAGGTTGAAGATGGCGGAACAATCACAGAGAACCAGCTCAATTATCGTCAAATGATTTAGCCTTTAATTGATAATGGAGTTCCATCTGCCAGAGTTACAGAGACTGAATGATATCCAAATGAGAACACTGTGGTTCCAGACAGTTTGAGCCCCTCCATGTACAGCAAGGGCCAAACAAAAATTCCCATGAAAGCAGTTTCTTCTTTCTATATAAAAACAGTGTGAAGGCCTCCCTATTCAACAGATTTGACACCCCAAACATTTTCTCTGGAATGACTTCAAGAACCATGTTTATGTTTATCCCAAAGCCAAGGGACATAGAACAATTTGAGGTCAACATGTGAAAGGAAATTCAAAACATTCCACCAGAAACATTGTCATATATGATAAACAATGTAGCAGTAAGGATGAAGGCTTTTATCGAAATGTAAGGAGGTTAAATTAAACACATGGTATAAAAAGGGTTAAAGCATCAAAAAGGCAAGACTGAACTAAAAAATTTGTATTGGAGAGAAAACTTACATGCTTTTCCTAAATGACCATGCAAAAATATCTGAAAATATTGATTGATTTATCTTTGCTGTTGATATACCCTTGGTTCATTTTTTGAGACACTCTATATAATAAAAATTGTCTCTTTAATGTCACTGCCAGTAATCTGACAAAATGAGTGAAGGGAGTCGATTTCTGCTAGAAAATTCAACAAATAAGATTTCTTTCTTCAAAAAGCATATAGTATGGTAGAATCAGTTAGGTTTTAGGTGTAAGAATGGCGCAACGTCACCAGCATGCAAAAAGTTAATCTTTGAATCCTCTTCAATGCAATAAATCAAAATGAATGTTCTTGCTGTTTTTTTAAATGAGGCTTTTAAAAATATATTATTTTGATATTTTTTATAACATTTTGTAAATAATTCAAACAAGGCATAAACATGCAAAATGTCACAACCTCAAACACCGTCTCAAAAATGGAGACAAATGGTGACATAAAAACAGCAATGACATACATTTTGTGATATAATCATCAATTTGTATTAACAGGTCATGTAGATGATTACTGCTTGAATCGCAGCACAAATATTAATGTTTGACCAGTCATGATGTTTCGTCCTTTTAAATAGATTGACGCCTATGAAGCAAATCAGTTTAAAAATTCATGTAGATGTCCACTGCTTGAATTGCAGCACAAATATTGATGTTTGACCAGTCACGATGTTTCGCATTTTTAAATAGATTGACGCCTATGAAGCAAATCATTTCAAAGAGTTACAAAATCAAAAAACTGTTTTGACCCCTGTCAATGACAGTCAAAATTATGAATACCCATATCATTTCTATACACCAACTAATTCAGTGACATGTAAAATATATATTTTTCACTCAATAAGCCTGAATCAGCTTTGTTTCATTTTTGTTATTTCAGTGTTTTATTTATGATTGTCAAATAGTAACGTTCATAGCAGCTGCCTCAAAAGCTGAATTACTTTACTAATACTCATTCAATTTTGAATATTTTTTTATGTTGCTCATACCTCTTCCACTCATAGAATAAATGACAAACTATGCAGAAACTACACCACCACCCAACCTCGGATCTCAAAATTTGTTGCTATACTTGGAAGTTCTGAACCCAAAATAGATTGATGACATCATAATTTATGCAAATTAGCTAATTTGCATAATTGAATATCGTTACCATACCGTTTATTCAATTAGGATCAATTCGATACCAAGATCTCCTCTATAGACCAAATAATGACAAAGCTACCAAACATTTCAATTCTAAGGTAAGATGTTTAAAGTTAATTGTTCAATGATAACGTTCATGGTAGCTGCCCAGAAAGCTTAATAACTTTGTTAGTTCTGATCCAATTTTGAATCTGTTTTCACTTTTATGTTGCTTAAACCTTCTGCTCATAGAATAAAAGTCATAACATTGAAGAAATTCTACCGTACGGCTTCAGTTCTTAAAGATACATTGCTGTACTTGAAAATTCTGAACGAAAAATAGATTTATGACGTCACAATTTATGCAAATGAGCTAATTTGCATAATTGAATATTTTAATTATATGAGAAATTTATTTAGGTTTAATTTGATACCAATATCATATCAATAGACAAAATAATGACAAAGCTACAAATGATTTAAGATTCCAAGGTAAGATGTCTATAGATGTGTAACCATGGTAACGGAATGCTACAATACAGAGCAACCAATGAGAGTTTGCAAGGGCATCCGGCAGAAAATTGAACCTCAATATGTTACCTTTCAGAAAAGTATGGATGCCATAAATTAACAGAGACCGATACGTTAGGTACATTTTTTGAAACGATAGAGAGGCATGGGTTTCTAACTAATAGACATTTCTTATAAATCCTGCCCTTTTGTTATGCCAAAAAAACAATGGATATTGGCTTTGATTTCTGTTGGCAAATTTTGAAAAAAAAAGATTTTGTTTGTAAATGTTAAGCCAGACATCATCAATCTAGCCAATTTATCCCAGATAACAAAATATGGAAAGGTATTTTCTACAGAAATGTCCATTTGCTGAGACAAGTCTGTTGTCGTTATTACAGCCACAGCCTACCCTGAATCACCACATCTAGCCCACAAAACTCTAACTATGATAGATGATTTTTCAGCTTTGATGTTGATTAAATCTAACAAATGTAGTTTCCATGGCCTAGTGAGAAATGAATTTTAGCTACTCATTAGCAGAAAATGCAGCGTCTCTCTATGTAATCTGATCTAATATAGATTACATCAAATAATGAGGTCCAGTTATAAGAGTGGAGTGGAGTGAATTAAGGTCTTAGGAAGGGTAGCCACAACCTGGTGCTTATGATGAATGATGCTCTATGACACATGTGGTGGTACTGATGAGACAATAATTGCTCATCACTGGCTACAAGTCAATTTCTGGCCTTTATGCACAAATAAGCATACATGTATTTACATTAGAACAGGTAATATAGTAATGCACATGGCTGCATCTTTGACAAAACCTGAATTTTTCCAGTTTTTTTTAAAAATGTAAATGAGTATCATGTACTGTTCATCTAAAAGCATGAGTGATGCTTAAATAATTCAATTTTAAATCTTTAATTTGCCATTTTATATCATGATTAATAAATACATATAGAACAAAGTAAGCCTTCAGTGATAATGACTCAACGAAATGTTTTGCTCTTAACATCATGTTTTCTCCATTATGAGCATAAATTGTCAGCCCATTCCTTTGTGACAGGCTATTATAACAGAATCACTGCCAAAAATAAGAATTAAAATTCCTGGCTGTAATTGTCTCTTCCCACTCTATGTTGTACTTAGGTCAACAATCATAACTATGACAAAATATAATGCAGCATTTATGGGAACAATAGAACTTCAGTTTTGACTTCTGAAAATATTCTGTTCAAAATGATTTGGATAACTATAGGACTCCTGGGCTCATGTCTCATAAGTGTAAATTCAAAATCTATAGATATAGGTAAGTTATGATGTTCTTATAATGAACTTGCTTTACATAAAATATATTTTTTGTTTGAACACATTCAAGGATATCAGGAGAGTCTTTAAAATACTGTATAAGTGGTAATTTTGCCTAATCATTTAATTTGCCTATTTCCTAATTTTTTTCAGGTTCGGAAAATTAAATGTCGAAAATATTGTCTTTATAATGTTATCCAATGGAAGGTTTCTTGTCATTAGGAAAATTAAAATTAGGAAAATTAGGAAATTTGACCTTTCGGAAAATAAACCACTTATACAGTATGTTCGCAAGTGCAAAGATATACTGGCAGTTTATAAGAATACATGATCACACGATTGCTTGAAAAATTCTATATGAGAAAATATTGTGAAAAAACAAGTTAAGTTTGTTCAGTCTGTTTTGATAAATGTTTTGTGATCAGTTAAATTGTACATATTACAGACACATATGGCTTGAAGCACACCAACCCATGTACACCTGATTCTATATTCAACCACGACTACTACCACCCGTACCCTGGTAATAACTCCCTCTATATCCAGTGCAATCGATGGGGAGGCCCATACATACGATGGTGCGGACCTATGAAGATATGGGCACCACAGGCGAAGACTTGTGTCTACGGAAACCCTGATGTTGTAAATGACGAAGACTATGACAGCTTTCAGACAACAACTGGAACTGATGATGATGATGATGATGAAAACACAGGGAGTAATACGATCAATGGTTACCCAGGAGGTGGAATCCAAAATAGAGGCACTGGGGATCAAGATGCGAAGCCCATTCCTGGATTAGACAATTATCTACCTGGCAGGAATACAAATGGTGAAGATGTCACTACTCCCCATGCAGGAGAACCACAAACCAAACCCAGTGTGGATGGTGTGAATCCATGTGTCGAGACAGGTGAACTTTACCATCCATACCCTGCTGATCCTACCAAGTTCATTCAATGTGCGCAGTGGGGTGATATCTTTATTATCACATGTGCTCCAAATCAGGTTTGGGATCAAACCTTGATGACATGCAAGCCTGATGGAACTTCAAATAACAAAACCCCTGATGGCACAAATGACAAATCACCAGCGACCAAAAATGGAAATTTTGAGACTCCTTGTTCCACAACAGGGGAGAATTACTACCCCCATCCATTTGATGAATCTAAGTTTATTCTCTGCTCACCCTGGGGAGATTCTTACATCATCTGGTGTGGGGAAAACAAGATCTGGAACCAGTTAGCTGAGGCGTGTACAATTCCAGGCCAATCAGCACCTCGTGTCAATAACAAACAACCTCAACCTGAGATTGACCCCGAAACAGCCTCCCCTGCAACAATTTTCCCAGTTGAGCCTCAAGCGGGAGATAACAGTGGAGGTAGAGATATTTTTGACTTGACTGGTATATGCAACAATGGAAACCTTTATCAGAGTTATCCGTACGACCCAAGCAAGTTTATTCTGTGTTCCCACTGGGGTGACCTCTATCTGGTTTGGTGTGGGGATAATGCACATTGGAATCAGAATGCTCAGGTAACTTCAAATAGATCATTAATGTAAAATGCTTTGAAATATTGTCAAGGTTTTGTTTTAATGAGATTTGCTTATTTAACATTAAATTTTTGAAAAAAAACATGATTTTTCATAAAGTGTATTTTATCTGGCATGACCGAAACATCACTGTATTTATTTATCCATCTATGTTAAATGATATATTTGATCAAAAACATATTCTATTAACAATATGTATTTGCCTTAATTTCAGTCATGTATGAAGAATGTGCTCATTGATCACGGTGGGCTTCCCCCAGACATGATTTATAACGGCAATAGTGGAGTTTACGTTAACCAAAATGGCGGAAAACAAACACAAAATCTTCCTGCCCCTATGAATAAAGACAAAACAACAGGTCAAGAAAATCCAAAAAGTCCATCAAATCAACCTGATGTGACGGACAATGACCATGATGACACAAAGCATGATAAGAATTATCAACCACCAACTGCTGGTCCTACTGAGCCTAAGCCTAAGGCTTGGGTGCAGGGAATGACTCTATCAAACCCATGCTGGACATCAAATGGTCTCTACCATGCCTATCCTGATGACAAGTCCAAGTTTATACAGTGTGCTGAGTGGGGGGATATGTTTGTTATGCAGTGCCCTGTTGGAGAACTTTGGAACCAAGGCATTCGGACATGTACCAGGAATGTCAATCATGGTGGTGATTATCGACCAGGAGATGCCACAGCTGAACAAACTACTCAGAGTTATCAAACAACAAGGACATTTCAAACTTATCCAAACACTCAGTACACAACCCAAGAATTGACACAAAGGCCATTTCCCACCACCACCCCTTATACGACCACCCCCTCCACTCCACCCAGTGATCCTTACACAACATCAGGTAACACCGAGTCCTCCAATCCCTGTGTTCTAACAGGCCAACAATACCAACCACATCCTTATGACAGTGACAAGTTCATCCTATGTGCCCAATGGGGGGATATCTTTGTTGTCCAATGCCAAGATGACAAAGTTTATGATTCAGTTTCTAATTCATGTGTGAGTCTATCGGGGGATGGGGGAGGCCCCGAGATGGGTGAAGACACACGTAGTACAATGAATGGGTACCCAGGGGGACCAATGACATCAGAGGCAAGCTACAATCCATGTTCTACGGGGGGAGCATCATACCAGGCATACCCCTATGATATGACCAAGTTTATCCATTGTTCTAAATGGGGGGATGCATACCTAGTTGAGTGTGGGAGCCATAAGTTATGGAATGACTGGTACCAAGCATGTACAGGGACTGAGGGGGATGACACTCAAGACCCCAACCCTGGTCTTGATCCTGACCCAGAGGCACCCTATGACCCTTCAAACCCATGCACCACCCCAGGGGAGGTCTACAGACCCCACCCAACTGATGCAAACAAGTTTATTATGTGTTCTGGCCACACCATGTACACAATGTCGTGTCCTGCAGGTCTTCTATGGGACAATATAAAAAAGACTTGTAACTGGCAAAATTAGACTTTCCACATATTCTTGAAGAACTATTAACACAGAATTATTTGAGTTATTTATGAATACAATCAAATTACGTGGCAACATGGAATTTATCCAAAAAAAACTCTCATCCTTTGAATAGTGAGAAAAAGATTTAGTATTCACCATACAGTATGTGTTTTAGGTATAAATATTAAAGAATCCACTTTGAAACAATTGTAAATCATATTGCAATTATAATTGTTATTAATGACTAGAGGTTATAATGCAGATAACTTCTAACTATCACTGCCAATATTATCGCACAATAACTTGTTTTTGTTACAAATTATATCTCTACTATATAAATAAACTTCCTTTTGGTAATCTAATGCAGTTAGTCTCTATTCATATAGCACTATAACTGTAAATGCTAACATCTTTTCAAGAGGCCTTATATATATACATATATGTATATTTACGTAATTTAAATTCTACAGGGTGGCCTAAAAGTAGGTTTACAGCTCACAGAGAGATTGTTGAATAACAATAAAACTACTTTTTGGCCAACCAGTATATGTGTACCTCATTGCTACGCAAACAGCAAAATAGTGAAACCTTAAAATGCTAGCACTTGCAATTGAAAATAATGAACAGTATATCCTTCACAATTATAATATAACCAAATTTATATTAACTCCTATATGATGTACAGTACATTGTCTAACTTAGTCTTGCATTAAGTTTTTACATTAGCACCCCCCCCCCCCCAAAGAAAAACTTCCTTCAACTACACATTTCAATAGGTGCAAGTGCAAGAAACTTAATGGAAGACTATCTCTAACACTAACATTAGAAATACATGTATTATAATAATAAATATAACATATAACATCTATGAACAATCACACTTCAGAAATATATCCAGCTAGCCACTCATACATGCAGCTTTTTAACTTCATTAGAAACCCGAGTTCCTTTCATTTGTTACCATGGTAGTGAGTTCATGTAGAGTAAATTATAATCAATACTATAACAATCTCATATTCAAATGCACTTGGCAGATCACTACTATGGAGTTTTTAGAAATAAAAGGAAGTTTTGCAATTTGATAACGAGTATACTACTTTTTATTGTAACAGAACCACATCAAAAAGCGCAGCAGAAACACAATCAGAAATCCCGCAACAATGACACGCAATTATATAAAGTACAGTATATAGAAATGAATATCATCAACAAAAATAAACAAATTGAAAATACAACAATGAAGTTTAAATTAATATAAATATAGAATATAATCATTTGTCTAAAATTGCATTTTATCCTTATAGGAACATAACAAAAAGAGAATTTTCTTAAATAAGAAAGTTGAAATCGCTATTTTCTGCAGCTTAACTGAAATAGTTGAAGGTTGAATTGAGAAAAAAAAAAGAATGAAAAACAGCTTAACATGAAAGATCAAAGTTATAGCCATGGCACTGAATGGGAGATAAAAAGTGAAAAATAGCCTAAGATATCAAAATCATGATGTTTCATCCACCCTGCCATCTTTATATGCTGGCTATCTACATCTCCATATGTACTTTGTTGATATCTTAGGCTACTCGAATTAATAAAAAATTTGAATTTCACGAATGAACACTTACCATCGTAATAAATGGGGAATATGCCTCGGTATAGATGGCACTGTCTAGCTGTCTGTGCGACACGTGTCACAGCAATGATAGGACAACGGGGACGATATGCCGCTATCAGGTAAGCAGATCTGCAATTAGAATGAAATAATGAATTTTTACACATCAGTTTCTCATGCATGGATCAAAAATGTGATGCTCCCAAAAAGTCTTCTGATTTATCTCACAAACCAGTGCATAATGATCAGAAGTTTTCAACTTTTTGATATTCCTTAGAAAAGGAATATAAAAAAGGAAAATCACTTCTTCAATTACAAGCTTATTCTTTGTACCAAAATGTTTACTACAAAGTGGAATCCCCATGTGCAGTATGTCAAACCTGATTATCTCTATCTCAAAGAGCGAAGACAAAGTACTCTTAAAATATTGAAATTGAGTTGTTTGAAATGGTAATATAGAGTCTATACCTTCCAGTGGTTGTGATGACTATAATACAGGCAGCTAAACTGGTAATGGATGCCTCAACGGCAGATATGGCCACAGTATGAGTTGTATCTGTTGGAATTGGGGTTTGACTACGGAGCTCTTCAAAAAGTTGTCTGTGGTATACAGCAGATTCAGCTTCCCTTGCAATCTAAATAGCAAACAATTGCATTTCATTTGTTATTAGGCTTGTACGATGAAACAAAATACAATGCAAGCCAAATTCAACAAGGCATTAACATTCAAAATGTCACCAAATGCCATTTGTTAGATGCTGAGCCCCAAATGCCAAACATCAACTGCCGCCACAAAAATTCAGATTTTCTTTATTTTGAAGAATTCTTAAATTCCTTGTGTGCATGATTAACTTCATCATGATACTGTATTCCATAGACTGAGCAAAGTTATTACTTTTATACAATGAAACATAAATGAAAACTCACAGAATGCATCATCTTTACAGATTCAATGGGATAGTCTCCCTTAGCTGTTTCTCCAGACAACATGACACAATCAGCACCATCTAATACTGCATTTGCAACATCACTGCCCTCTGCACGTGTAGGACGTGGTTTCTTCACCATACTCTCCAACATCTACAATGTACAGCAACAGGCATTTTATATTATGACATTTCCCTGATGATCTGAAGATGAAGAGGGATTGATCACAAAATATTTTGCTCCTTCAATTGCTAAACAACCAAAAAGCGACACCATCTCTCAGTTCTGAATATATAAGGTTGTTTTCAATTAACAATTTAACAGTCCTTATCTGGTAAAGTGGGAATTTTCTAATTGCTGAATATTTCAAAATGTCATGCTAGTGAGAATGTAGGATCATTCTATAGTCCATCTATTGTGTAAAAGATGGCTTCATCTTTCTATATTTTTACAAAGAATTTCAGTGTTTTAAAGACACTCTCCTTTAATCATAAATATGAGAAACATTGATTACTTGAGTTGCACAAATGACGGGTTTTCCAGCTCTGTTTGCTCGTCCAATCATCATTTTCTGGGCTAAGAATACTTTCTCTGCGGGAATCTCAATTCCTAGATCTCCTCTGGCGACCATGATACCATCAGCCTCTTCAAGGATTTCATCAAATCTGTAACGATCAAAGTTTCAGAGTGCTAACAGAGTACCCCTTAAACGCAACCTACTAATTATTGAATTTTTTATTTTTAATTTTGGTGGAATCTTCTTGATCTTTCTTGTGTAAATAGAACGAGCAATGGTTTGAAAACACACAATTAAATTATCTATTTCTTTTTAGACAGAAGAAAGAGGTCATGAAGTAAGGAGATAATACAGGAACATGAGATCTCCAGAAAAAAGAAAAAAAAGGAATATTGTTTATAATTGTGCAAGATTAAATATACCTTCTCACTCCCTCGTGATTTTCAATCTTTGCAATAATGCGTATGTTCATTCCCTTCTCTCCAAGGACTTGTCTGATCTCTCTGACCTGATCACCACTTCGAATGAATGAAGCAAAGACCATGTCAACCTAGAAGGTGGTTATACATTATTAGATTATGTGTAGGGTGTCCTAGACATATTGTTTGTGCATGATTTCAATGAGTTATTATATTTACATGCTCCAAGTTAATAACAAGCCTGATCCATTCTTTTTCCTCATTGACCCTATTCATCTGTAATTGATGAATGTAAATGAAGATCCATTCACAAATATCAATTGGTTACATCAATGACTGAATTCATGGATGCACATTTTATAATTTTTAAGGTTCAATTCAGATAAAATGCCCCAATATATATGTATACGTATATATATTTCCAAGTCAAAATAAGTAGAAGAGAATCTTGCACATTAAAGCTAATAGAAAACAATCTTACAATGTAAACAGGAATATCTACTGACCCCTTGTTCAACACCAAACTTGAGGTCCTGCTTGTCCTTCTCAGTGACTGCAGGGAGGTCCACAGCTGTGCCTGGCAGATTACATCCCTTCCTACTACCCAGACTGCCTCCATTCTCAATTTCACACTTCAAGAAGTCCTCACCTGCAAGTAATCATCAACATTAATAATGATCAATTAAAGGAAATGAGAAAACATTGAAAACCTGGAGGCTAGCAGATGTTGATTTTAGAGAGCTTCACTTTAATAATTTGGTGGAATATTTTGATGGAAATATTCTGCCAAAAATGCATACTTTACTGAATAATTTAGGAAAATTGCTTTAACATGTTTAATCATATATCTGTATCGAAAAAGCAGAAAGAGGTAATCTATAATTGATTAGAATGTCTTAACCACAAAGCTATACATCAATCTAAAGCCCTAATTTCCAAACACAATTCAATTAGAAAGCTAGAAAAACAATTGATTTGTAATCAACATGGTGTAGCAATGGAATCAATTCCTCATAGGAATACCATTGATCTATTCCTAAATCAATCCATTACTCCTCATTCTGGTGATTGAAGCAATAACCAGAAAATACAGAACAGCCAACTGATAAAGATGCAATTAAGAAATGCAAGTTATATTCTCACTTGCCACATATAAAATGACCAAGTGGCAAAAGGCATCATGTGACAACTTAAAATCTTATGTTTTGGATGATTTAAAATTAAAGGACCCATTAACTTATATCAAAAATGTACAAATCTCTATCACTTTTTTGTAAGACCAGATTTACACGTACATGTACAGTATTCACAAGACCAACAGAAATATACAATTAACTCAACCTGTAATTCAATGACTGCCTTGACATGATTAGAGAGTAATTCTTTAATTAATAAAAGGATTGTTCAAAATGTAATTTTATTCATATTCCGTGCTAACACTGGGACTTGATACACAAACTATTGAAAATGCAGCAAAAAGTTGATCACTGTACAACATTGACACTTCACTGTACAACATTGACACTTCACTGTACAACATTGACACTTCATTATGACATCCAAAAATGGAAATTGAAAAATATTCTGCATTTACGCAACTGTTAGAAGGTGTTACAGGCAAACTGTTGATTTCATTTGAATTGAAACTATCAGTACAAAAACTGGCCTCCCTAGAGGCCCATTAATAATTTTCAATTATTTACATTAGTTTCTTTTAATAGAAACACATACGAATAAATATATCATGTATATTTGACATATTTGGACAATATAATATATTATGCATCTTCCAAAGTATGCAGTCACAGGAATAAAAGTGTTGCGAAAACTTGACATACATATACTTGTGATGATCAGGCCAGTAGCCAGGGATGTTGGAACACCCCCCCTCCTCCCTCCAGCAAACATTATTTCAAAATCATGCAGATTTCCACCATTTTGAGCACTTTTCAATTGATTTTTTGGCTTATTTTTAAAAAAAAAGAATAACAACATACAAGCCAGACAAAAGTAGGGTCTGCAATCTGCTGAATAAATTTCAGACGATATACCTTAATGAACAAAAGTTAAAATTACAAATTTTCAATTTGAATACGTGATTTCCATCAAAGGTTCACCACAGAGTTTTGAATGATAAGTCGTATAAGGTCATTTTGAACACTTGAGACGAAAGAACATGTAATGGAGAGCTTGAAGTATGATAAATCTCACAATTGATTATATAACAAAAGTTGAATTGTGAACAGAGGAATAAACAACAAGATAAGACCTACAAAGAAGTAAATGTTGCTTCATCAAAAAGAGAGTAGAAATACATGTCTATGATACATACTCCTAATAATATTTTGGACAGCAATATCAACGGAAGCTATACCAATCGAGAGAAAATGCGTTTCCTCAACAAATGTATTATAGTAACAGGGTCAAACAGTGGAATCGGGAAAGCTACTGCCTTACTGTTTGCAAAAGAGGGTGCTAGTGTTCTGATACATGGACGTAATATAGAAACTATCCAAAGCACCGTAGAGGAATGTAAAGAAATTGGTAATGAAACTGCAAAGTTTCCAATGGTCCAAGGAAGTTTTGATGAAGATGGGATAATCAAAAAAATTAACGAGACTGCCATGGCAGAATTTGGTAAAATTGACATCTTGGTTAACAATGCAGGAGAGCCCAAACAATCAACAACGATAACAGGGTCTGAGGATGTATTTGATCGCCAAATAAACTCCCTCCTTAAAGCACCAATATTCTTGTCCCAGATTTGTTTCCCAGAACTGAGGAAATCCAATGTAAACATTGTTAATGTCTCAAGCATGTTGGGTTCTCGAGCATCTGCATATAATATAACTTTTTATGGGATTGCCAAGGCTGGACTCAACCAATTCACACAATGTGCAGGAATAGAGTATGGTTCTAAAGGGGTCAGAGTCAATGCCATCTGTCCGGGATACGTAAAAACACCCCTAGGATTAAAAACAGGACGTTTTAAAACAGTGGAAGAGTGGGAGGCTGCACATGTCCAAAGATCAGCAGGAGTTCCTATGAAAAAGGTTGGAACTGCAGAAGAAACAGCAAAATTGATTGCGTTTGTTGCTTCTGATGAAGCCACAATGATGAATGGGGCCTGTATCATACAGGATGGCGGAAGCACTCTAATGGGACTTGATACACAAACTATTGAAAATGCAGCAAAATTTAGTTGAACATTTCAAAGGAAACTCAAAGTGCATTTTGGTCACTATTATGTCTTATTCTATTCATAATCCATCTTTACTTGGACATTCTTGGTCTCTTAGCTAGTTTAGATACTTAATATGCTTTTTGATTGAATACTATATCTACTTTTAATTCTATGAAGATCATTTTAAAACAAAGGCCACTTTGAAAAAAATAGATTTTCCAAATTTTTCTTTGTTATAACTCTACTTGAACAGGCTAGATTTATTCTTCTCACTTTACTTTCTCAGCTCTTAACCAAAATTACCTGGCATTTCCACCTGGCACATTCTATTATTTCAAATTTCTTTTCCAGGTCTGCAGGGTATAAAACATATTTTCAAAGATATAGGATCTAAATGCTAAAATCACAATTCTAACTAAATTAATATATTCATACATGAAACATGTATTTTTCATCTGCAACCTCAAAAGTACACAATTAACTTCACCTACCTTTCTCTTTTACAATCAGACTGATGAGGCCATCATCAACGTAGATTCTCTTCCCTACTTCCATGACCTGGGTGATATTTTTATAGTCAACCCATACACGTTCCTCATCCCCAGATTCTTTGTACTCATCATCTGTTGTGAGAATAAGTGTACCTCCTTTCTTCAACTCAATCTCAGCAGAACCACCCTATAAGAAAATAACAGGTTAATATTATTGTTCAGTTTCTCAAACCCTGTGACAATTTTTCTCCATTTGAATAAATTAAATGTATTCAATAGAGCGTATCTGAGTTCTGCATACACAAGTAAGCCTACAAACCTGCATTATATTTCTGTTGAATAAATACACCAACCAAAGTTTCCAATAAATCCCACAAATTTTAACTAGTCACCAAAGATACAAGTCAGGGGTTTCACTAGAATTTCACAACAGGCTAAATAAATGAAAACAGGCAAAATTAATGGAAATCATAAATTTAACATGGAAAAGTTGAAAAGGCCCTAAAACCAACAGGTGATTTTGTGAAATTAACCTGTGACAATCGCCTGTTGCCTGCTGCTAATGAAACCCCTGCTAGTAGTATATTGGTGATATTCATGATGTCAATGATTGCAGGTATCAAAACAAGAGTTTTTGGAAACTAGAAAAACAGCAACTCCACGGAGAAGCAAATCCCACCGAACAAAACATGTTTTGATAAATAACGGCCATATAAAATTACAAAAATTAAATGAAAATGAATACACCTTAATGAAATCATCCATGTTCTAAGCTAGTAAACATACAGGCTTCCCTTGAAGTTTAATATACATTGTACAACCAAAGAGCAGCACTATGACACCAGTCTCACTTTTGGGACACCCTGTATTGCTATGGGTTAGGATAATATTACTTCTGGTTGGTACTTACTCCCTTCAGCAGACCAGTTCTGATCTCAGGTCCTTTGGTATCCAGTGCAATAGCAACTGTGGTGGAGTGACGTGCCTTCTTGACAGCTTCACGCACATTGGCAATCACCTCTCCATGGTACTGAAAGATGCAATCGATAACATATAGCATTAGAAATGGCAACCTCCAATCACAGGGCTTCAAAATCCTGAATATATTCTTGCTTTTTACCCCCTACGTCAAGCAGTTAGCATTTCCCCGATCAAGAACTAGCAATCTGATTGGTTGTCGCAACACTGCGACAGAAATCATGTATAAGTCATTGCGCATAATAAGATCACGTGATTCAGTTTAATCGGGTGCTTCTAAATTGGTTATAGCAGGGGGAAGAAGGAGGTACGGATTCTGAACACCTGCTTAGGAGGATGTAGAAATGGTAAATGACATGAAATACTATATTACCATGGTATTTGAAATGGGGATTGAGATTTTTCAGTTATGATAACTGTGATCAGTTGATGGTTGACAATGACATTTCACAAAAAACTTGGTCTTTCTTACCAGGACAAAAAAACTGTGAAAAATTGAAGTGTGCATGAACAATATCTACTAATACTGCAGTCCAATGTACAGGGTCTGCATTCTGCAAGTGAATTTCTATCATTGGATTGCAGTTTGGGAAACTTCAGATTCCATACATCAATTAAATTAGACTTAATGGCATGTTCATAATTAGAATCTTACCTCATATGATCCATGGGAGAAGTTCAATCTTGCGACATTCAACCCAGCATTGATCATCTTTGTAAGCATTTTCACATCCTTTGATGCTGGTCCTGAAAATACCAGTGACATCATGCTCATCATCACAAATACTTCTAGCTTTATAATGCCATATCAGGGTTTCAAAAGCAGCAGGCAACGGGCGATTTCCTTTGGTTATTTTTACCAAAAATGTTTTTTGAAGAATTTCATTGGTTAAAACTATGATTTCCAATAACGTCACCAGTTACTTTCATTCGTTTTGGTAGTTGTCAAAAGTTCCAATGAATCCCATGTTTACTGTGTTTGAACTCTTCAAACTGGTTAGAAAAATCCTTTACGGTAACAACAGTGCAGACTTGGGAGTACAATTTTTCTTCTCCATGATTTCAGAAGTTGTAGGCAGAATCTTCATAACCTTTTTGGTACAAACATTAGCACATGTTTCAGAAAATGCAATTTTTAAACATCTGTTTATGTAACAAAAGTGAGGAATTATATCTACGATTCTGAACTATTATGAACTATTTGTTCGCAAACTGTTACTTTTCTTAAACATATGATGCTAAGTCCCTGACACACATTTGTAGTATTCTGTACCATGCTGATTCTGCCAACTTCTTGTGAAATCTTGGAAATAGAAAAATCGTACCTCTGAGGCTACACCATTTTGTTACTGAAACAGATCAGTTTTCGAAGAGTTCCCCCACGGTGATGTTATGAAAATGGAGGCAAATACAAGGACTCTTGACTATAAGTGTTGTTTTCATACAATTTCTTTAAACCTTCTCTTTTATCAATGTTTTTGTATCACTTAAGCTGTACTACTGTTTTATTCACTTGAGTTAAATCAAATTTACTCAACAAATGTGCCAAATCTACTTTACATTTTTAAAACATGATAAAACATTATTCATCTATAAAATATTTCTATATAACATGGCTAGTTTATGTAATTCTGATTCTAAAAGTATCCGAAATATTAAAAATTCATAATGAAATGCGTATGGCACCTTCCATAGAGTTTAATTAGTACCAAACAAATATTTCAAAAAGGCCTTAGTTAAGCTTTAATGTCCTGTTTAAGAACCCCTATTTTAACTATTGAATATGGATTCTAGCAATACTCGCCAACACAAATCTAATTGTTGAGACTCGATCAACACCTTTGCTAAAATCATCATTTTCTCAGAAGAAATCAAGTTGGTTGAGTCTCAACAAGTAGATTCATTTTGGTGAGTATTGCTAGAATCCATTTTCAATAGTTAGAATAGAGGTTCTTAAAAAGGACATCGGGCTTGCTTTTTAGAACTTTTTGTTGGTACTAAATAACTTCTTTCTGTAGCGAAGCTTGAAAAAATCAAACATGTACATAAGTAAATAAATAGCTTTCCAAAATTGAAAAAGGTGATAGTAGTCAATTTTAACTTTTTCAAAATTGTCATGCTGCGTGCAAATAATGTTTCATGAAAGCAGGTTTGCGCAATGACCATTGCAAATTACAAATAATTTTGAATAAAAAATATTTTTTGAATAATTCAGAATCAGAATTAGACACTGGCCCTTAAATTGTACAATAAAATTGCATTGAAATGAACAGGAAAGCAAGGAAAGCTTTATGCCATACCTATTGTGCAAATAATGCCAGTCATACGCACAACATGAGGCTCCGAATCAATATCCAGCATACACATATGCTCAAGATGAGACGCAGCAAATGCCGCATCAAGCTGCTGTTGTTGAATGTAGTAATCATCACCCCCATCAGAGCCCCAGGAGCCAGAGCTGGGCATAGAATGACCACCCCCAATACGCTGGAGGTACATATAACACAAGTGGTTGGTCACACAGTCACATTGGCATGATTAAAAGGGCTAGGAGAGAGATTAGCATGCCTCATGCCCCATCTATCTTGAATCTGATAGTACTGCATCTAATGCCCTCTAACAGTAATAACAGGGATAGCCGCCAAATTATTTTGAAATTAATCCAGTTTCAAAGTTCAGAGAGGAAGCTAATGTCGTTAATTCGACTTTCGTGTACTTGAATTTTTTCAACCAATTTTCAAATGAGGGGATCAGTATCTGAACTGACAGCTTATTCGAAAACAAAATGATTCTTACGAAGAAAAACACAAGTTAGAGCTTCCTGACTATTATACTGGCTGCACCAATAAATGAATTGCAAACTGAAATTATTTTCAAAACTGCATGGTTTCAAAAAACAAATGGCTTACTGCTAAGCAATTACAGGGTGTCAATTGTGTGACATAAGACATCTCATGTGATATATCATTGGAAAAAAGACAAATGCAAACTTTCTTTTGAATGGTTCATAACATTGTATCAAAACAGTTTTAGACCAAGGTGGTGGTGGGAATGGATTTCCATGATACCCTGTAGAGTACCCTGATATAAACAGCAACATAAGCTTATGAAATTATGAAACAAAATATGAATACAGTGTACAGTATACTGTATTTTCAGAAATGCAGTAGACACACACCCTGTTTTTCCTTGGAATAATTAAGCAACATGAATGCAAAAATTCAATGAGAAAAAAATCAAAAATGATGAGGGAAACATCTGTTTAATGACCAACTAAAACAGAAGAATATGGGATAGGTTGAGGTATTTTGTTGTTTGAAATATCTTCTTCAGGAAAACAGGATTTACGGCATGTAGCATATAAATAAATGTATGTAAATGATGGCATTCAGGGAAGCAACTAGGCAACAGTTTATAAGTTATAATATGTATTTCATTTCTTTCTGAAGTTGAAATCTTCACATCAATCATTACTTATCTCTAAACTCTATAATTATAAAGTTTAGCAGATATTTGTAGATTAGGTTGTGAAGAAAATGTAATACTTCAACATTAACAGATACAGAACCTTCAACTGTGTTGTGAAAATCAGTTTACCCTCAGTTAATAATTTTAAAGCTAAGAATTTGGGGAAAATTGGTGTTGGACATAAAATCTGGCAGAACTGGTAATATGGGAATCTTGCAACTGAAACAAAGTTTGTGAGTGACACTGGGCATGAATCAAGATTCCAAGCTTTAACTACAAAAGCTGTTGGCCAATCAAGTCAATGGTAAAGCAACAACAGAGGTTTCGAAGATCTGCAATATAAATTAGAAATTCCTTGAAAAGCTTGAAAAGAAATGTTAGTGTATAAAGTAGTGACGATTGTCACATAAACAAATTATAATATGACAACCATTTCATGGTAAAATGGTACATCACAAATTATTATAACATGTTAGATGACTCACCAATGGTACAAATGACACCCGTCATACGTACACAAGCTGGTTCAGAGTCTATGTCCAACATACATCGACTTTCTAGTTGAGAGTCAGCAAAAGCTGCCCATGCTTGTTGGGACTGTACTATATAATAGTCAGAACTATCTGAACTTTCACTCCCCATTGACATGGAACGAGACCATGAACGGCGATAAATATCAGCAATCAATGGTGAGGACTATAAAGCAATAAATATTTAATATAAACATCTTTGGCTCAAATTGTGTTCATTCTAGGAAAGAGTTGGTTAAGATGATTTACTTCTCGACTTAAACTTCAGTAGCTGATTGACATCAACAATTGGTGAAAATCTGCAATGAGAAACATGTTGTAGTTTAATTTCTGATCAGGCAAGGGTAAGTAATTATCTGGTTCTGATTCTTCCCTTTTTAACTTGTTTAACGTACATGGTTATTTTTTATCTTTTTTTGTTAACTGTTAACTAGAAAATGATGTGACCTATAATTTTTTTAATTTCAAATTACTGTATAATTAATAATAATTGTATAATTTGTGATGACGTGTAAAGTTTCTACTCTTAGCCTATGCAAATATCTTGGATAAAATGCTTTAATAAAAAAGATAATAAAAAAGATTATGTCAAAGATTGAGGTTATTTTCATGTGATATCTCGCATGCAGATGTATGCAGAGTATTTACAAAATTACTATTTAAGGGAAATTAATCATTATTCTCAATACAATAACGGCAAGGTTTGGTGTTATATTTGAAAACCTCGTAGAAAATAATAATATAAATAGTAATGTTCACACAGGGAGTCTTAGAGGGGATACAGGTGGGCATAGGAACCAAATAACCGACTTACCCTACATTTGGAATTCTTCGATGTCTACAAAATGAACAAGGTAATTGAAAATTTGATTCCTGATCATGTGTACCTAAAATAGTTGAACCTTCCCAAGTCTAAAATACAATAAATTTAAAACTCTATTACACAGTAATTAAACACTCCTCCAATTTTTCTGTTAGTTAAAATGATGTTTTTGCAAATGATTTTTGTGAGAGGAAAAGCCAAATACGTTGTTGAAATCTATCTACTAGAAGTTATTGAAGATTCTACTCTAGATTATCTAAAAAAAAAAGTTAAACTAGCTGGAAGGAGTAGATAAACTATAATGTAAAAACACTTTTTTTGACCCAACCATTGTTCACTTTTTACTGTAGATACTCCTGAAATATAGTGAAATCAAGGGAGGATTCTAGTTCACTTACAGCAAGCAACCCTAATTGCCACAAAAAGAATTGCTATTACCTGACATTTAAATCAATGTCTACAGCACTTTGACATTTAAAAACAACAATTTGCAAGTTCGGCTATCTAGCACGATATGAATCTCATGCTTAATTTTCAAAACCAAGTTTTCTAGTAATTAGGCCCACTAATCTAAAAGTGATCCTATTTTATATAACTTATGGTCAATTTTTCAATATGGCCTCAAAACATTACTGATTAAATTTCAGATGGATTCCCTCCCTCCTCTCAAAAGGTGCTCCGGTGACCTCCACAGCATTAAAGCAAGTGGGCGCAGTACCCGCCTGAGATTTTAGGAACAGGCTTGCACCCACCTGAAAATCCATTTCCACCTACTTGAAAATGAGAAAAATCATAAAAATGAGCATGTTTTGACCAATTTTGGCCTGAATTGTGAAAATGAGAATTTTTCACCCACTTGAGGAAAATCCTGTGGAGAACACTGTACTCCAATCAGTAACTAGACATTCCAATGCTCCCCCTGAATAATTCCAATGTATACCTGCCGTGGGGTCCAATGACAGGTCTACCTAGTTGTTTAATTGCTGTTATCTAGAGTGGAACACCCATTGTAAAGCACTTTTAATAAAATATCCTGATCACCAAGACTTTTGAAGAAACAATTATTTTTCTGTAAAAAGTTATGAAAAGTTTAGAAATACAATAAAACATGATGAGGCATGAAACAAGCATAAAATGATCAGAAATTGAGACGACTTTTGGGAAATTTGCATACTGTCAAGTGGACTTGCATCTACTGAAAGTTATTGACTTACTATATGGGCAGCAGGCACTACTAGACAGCTTGGTCGAGCTTGATGGACTTACTCAAACTTTGTGAACTGCTTTGAAAAATTCCATCATTTTTACATGATATGGTGATACAAAATATGTAGCATCTCAATTTTTCTTCAATAGATATATACAAGACCTCTACCCTTTACAAATTTTTCCCAAGTTCCAAGGACTTTACATATAACTTACATTATAAGAAGCTGGTCTAGCCATGATACCAGAGCCAGGTTTTGGCATGAGACCAGTGGACCCTGCAGATCCGGAAGGAGGTCGTGCTAACATCTGGGCCATCTGGAAGCACAAGTTGTCAAATAGTTTAGTGTAAAGTTCTGGAATTATAACTACTGTATATATATAAGTAAACCTTTTAACATGACCAAATCTCAAATTCATTTTGGCCTATGTTTTAAACATTTTCCCAAAAACACTTATCAAATGAAAACATATTGGTTGGTTGGTTGGTTGGTTCAGGCCCAAAATGGAAAAATAAATCAGGGCCAACCTCTCCCACTCATCTCTTCCTCAACCCCTCCATAACCAGTACACTATTGTAAAGGATATCTACAGGCCTGTCAACTTTTTTTTCGCCGTTCGGTTTTGTGCTGTATCGGTGATCATTTTTTGAAAGTTTCTCTACAGGAACATTTTTGCGTATTTGCGTGACATATTCTCTCACCAAAAATAACTGGCGTGACTTCAAATTTTCCAGCAAATGCATGACAAATACGCAAATTGCTGGACAGTTGGACGGCCTGTATCTAATAACATGTACCATCATAAAAACAGGCTATGATTTATCATTGCTATCATGTGGAGTTCAACTCAAAACACCTTCAATTTTTGAAATATGGTTGATGAAATAAAATAAAATGCACTCTCACAGTGAATATATTGGTAAAGATTTCAAAATGCACATGAACGCTGTGCATGTATAGATTAATCAACTCTACATGCATTAAAATGTCTATAAAGATAGTCTAAAGAAGGTAAGTAAATACATGTACAGAGAAGTACTCTAGTCTACTTTGAATGACCTTCAGCTACCCCAGCTAAATTACCAGCAAAAAACAGATCAGAAAATGATTATTTCATTTACAAATTGCTGAAAATTATAATAATCATAATACAGATACCTTTGGTGTTGATAATTTCATGTTAGACATTTTTAGATCTTCTAATCCACGTAGGTATATACCTTTAATCGTATGACCTTTAGATCAACCAGATGATATATAATGGCTTTGAACTCTCTGGTCGGTTTTTGTACATTTGTAAACTGCTAACCGTTAACACCTGTCAGCAACCTTAGTTTTCTGTACTAAACTAAAAAAATTATTCCTGGCAAAAGGAGCATTCACCGAGTAGGCTTTGACATTTAATGTTTAAAGGGGCAACAAGGACTGTAGAGAGAAAATTTGAAATTTTTTATTTTTTCTGAGTTATCAGGTCAATATTTGACTTAACACCTTCTTTGACATACCTATTTTCTTAAAATGTATGGATAAAGTATCAATTTCAGCATTACGAAGTGTAAATTCAGTTCAAAGCTTCTATAAAGGGAGTCCCGCTTATAAAGTTTTAAGATCCACCACAATACATTCAAGAGGAATATCAGCTGAAATAAAGTTCATCCAGGGGGTTTCTTTGTAGATGATAAAAATATATGCTAGTCTTGATGAAATATCCAAACTTAAATATTTTGACACTGGTTGATGATCATTGAATGCCCCCCCCCCCTGCATTAATTGTTGCACCTTTAAAGTATAATGAACTAGAAGTCACACATGTCTGTTTTAAAAAGCAACTAGACAACAGCAACGCCAAAGCATAGCAAATCCCATCGAACAGTCATGGCTGGCAATTTTTCAAACAAAGTATACCCCAAAAATGGCAGCCATTTTTCAAAATGGCCACCTTCTACCAAAAGTGTCATAAGACAGTGTACCATGCTTATAGTATTCACGATACCAAATATGAACAAAATCGCTCCACTACTTTTCGAGTTATAGTAAAATATGTTAAAATGGCAGCCATTTTTCAAAATGGCCGCCTTCTACCAAAAGTGTCATTAGACAGTGTGCCATGCTTAAAGCATTCACATATCAAATATGAACAAAATCGCTCCACTACTTATAAAGTTACAGCAAAAATCGTAAAATAACGAGTAAATGTCGCCATTTTTCAAGATGGCTGCCATGTGCTTCTTTAACATCTACATTTCTAGCTTTATTAATGTCCTGTATAATTTCTTTACATTTAAAACATATTGCTATTACAGTTTTACATTTTTCACCTAAACTACTGTAAAATCGGCACTAAAATGGCCACCATTTTTAAATGAGCAGCCATTGTGGAAATCGGCTAAATATGTTTAGAATAGTTTGTAAACTGGTTTATCACATTTGAATCTGTTAATTTATAATTTTGGATATTTATCACCCCTTCAAAAATTTAACTATAGTTCATTCATAGAATTCATGGAATTCTAGCAAATTCTTGGAACTCTGACGTCACTTGAACAGAGGGTGAGAAGAAACTTTTCTCAAGAAAAGTTTCTTACTGCATTTGGATCCAATTTCGAGAATCTCCCTACTGACTAGGCGAATATGCACACATTTGACTTCAAAAATAAATAAGTCATGTAAATATGAGTAAGTATAGTTGGGAACAAAAATAAATGACACATGAATTTTCTATCACCATTTCCTATAACCAAACCCGTCTGGCCCAGTTATCTACTCCCGAACTCGTAGATCTGGGCCAGACTAGCTCCAATGCAAAAAAGGGGGGAATTACTCCGGAAAAAACATGTTGCTGAATCATCACTTATTATTCATTCCCTATTAGCCATCCAGCCAAAACATCAGGCTACATGTAAACCCAAGTATTTAATTGAAATAAAGAGTAAATAACTTACACGTAAATGTGGTGTTTTGTTTGTTATTTTGATGTTGAAATGGGCACAACATTTCGTCAATATTTCGTCAGACCTCCGCACCGAATAAAGTCACGTGATGTGACGTAACAGGAGTGTGACGCGATAATTTTTAAACTTTCATGGAACGGAAATACATTTCCCGGGAATCAATACATTCCAAATATTACGATTTGTTCAGCAGATTTGTTATCAAAACGTAGATTACTTTGTAAAACAGACGTATCTGTGTTGTATTTAGACTGGAAAGAAATATGGTGGACATTACATACGATTTTTCAATTTGTTGAACTGACCGAATGTAGTACTGAACGAAATATGCAGCCGAGACTTCTCGATATTCTACGAGATCACGAACAGATTGCAGAAGAATTTCTCTTTTTGCTGCGTTTAATCGTTTCGTTCTTATTTATTAGCCGTCATCCAGCGATGGAAACCTAATATAAATACAAAGTTTGATACAAGGAACAAACACGTACAGTTGGGGACAAAAATAAATGACAGGTCGATTTTCAATCACCATTTCCTAATTATGGTCGTCTGAAAGCCCATAATTTCCAATATTGTCTAGATACATATCCCTTAAAATTTGTATATTTCACATTTTGTATAATCTCATCCACTGATGTATGGCCTCTTGAAAATTCTCTTATTTTTAACATGGGAAATTCTCACTTCAGCAAATCCACCTGTCATTTATTTATGTCCCGAACTGTAAGTGACTTTTATGATGTTTATTCATTTTTCAGCACGTATTATACATTGAAAAACCAGTGTGTTTTTTCCGGAGTAAATACCCCATTTTTTGCATTGGATCTAGTCTGGCCCAGATCTACGAGGTCGGGAGTAGATAACTGGGCCAGACGGGTTTGGTTACATTTCCTAACCATGGTCGTCTGAAAGCCCATAATTTCCAATATTAATGTTCCAAACTGTAGACCAAATGATTGAGGGATTTGAACTTTTTCTAAAAATTGATTTTTTGACTGTCGGACAGAAACTGAAAAATATTATATATCAAAATCCACATAGCTTTCGCAGGAAGTAACTCGGATCCCATCGGACCATGTATGGGCAGGTTGCCAGTGTCGGGATGGCATGGTGTCATAATTATACTTGAAACCCTTTATGTAGTCCGGATCAGATGATAAAAGCTAGCAGTTGAACATTTTGAAGGTATCCCTTGAAACAAAATTTTCTTTAGGATACCAAGGTAGTGAGGAAATGAAAAATTTATTTGAAAAATTTTTGGTCTGCTTTTGAAATATGTGAACTTTTCTGCTTGCACTAAACGTGACCGATAGTTATATTCCCTTAGTCATGTACTTATATGTATAAGTCACCTTTAACTGAACTCTATTTCTTTAAATTTAATGTATTCAACCTTACCTTTGCACTTAGAAGTCGACGAATCACTTTTCTGTCAGTCGAAAAATGGCTGATGAAGAGAGGGTTTCCCCGTGTAGTGATTTGATGGTCAAAGGTCAATTCTTAATTTTGATATCTTACAAGTGGGTATATTAGTAATTTGATTATTCAGATCAAAGAAACGCTACAAAATACAATGGTATGATTTTAAGTCAAATATATCTGTTAGTAATGATGCTATGATTTATTTAGGTAAGAACTATTTTTCAATCCCTGAAACTAACATGCGCTATACGGCCAAAATAGGTCACGATCAACCTACCGGGGATTTCCTAAACTAAACACAACTGCTCAACCCAATGAAACCATTTTAGAGATCTACAATGAACATTGATTTTCATCTATATGATTGTGATAAAACCTTGTCGTGATATATATGCATCCGTTACAAAAACTGGATACTACATGGCCAGATATAAAATCAAGAGGTGGCCAATTTTGAAATTTTGCGCACCAAATCTGAAAATCAGGGCTTACGTATCATGGTATTATACATGTAGGCCTAAATTCTTAAAAATTGGCCCAAAATTGCAAATAATGCCCTGACCCCACCCCCTTCCTCCAGATCTGCTAGTGTAATATATGATTTGAGATTTAGTTCATATGGATTCTTCATTCTGGAGTCTAAGTACAATACTACTCCTCAAATTTATGGCAATAACCAGACACGAAGGTGCCTTATGACTAATTCTGCATTACATGGACAAGATTTAAAAATTAATAAACATGCTTAGTATCAAATACAGTGTTGTTGTATCATGGGTTTTCCCTAGAAGAAGATGTTCATTAAGAATTAATCCATTTATCTTTTTAAACCACAAAGTCAGATTATTGAAACGATTACACCCGAAAACAAACATAGATTATTCTGTATGGTTCTGTTTAATCGTAACAAATAGTATATACTCACCTTTATTAGTGTTGATCTTGTGGCAATAGAAACTATGCACATCTCATTTCCAATGGAATGACATTACAGTTTAGTATTAAACATGGAATCATAACTTGTTGCATCATAATTGTGTTTCCCTGGATATACTTGTTGATTGTGTTGAGGAAAGCACAACCAGTGTCTCATGGATCACAATTATTGTCTTGATCACCATAAAATTCAATGCATGAATCTGATTATGTATAAATTGGAGTGAAATATTCTATAAGGTACAACTCCTCGAAAGCAACTGTTTTATTTTTAGCCTGCAATGGTATCTGAGCAACTTGGCTTCATCTCTCTCCAAATTGGGATTATCTACCTATAGAAGATTTGGGAAGGACCAATCACTGGAAATCCTCTTCTATTGAACGAATTATATAGCCTGGACTTTTGATTTATAAAACATTACTTCACACTCAAAGTGATATTTAATCATAATCTGAAAAGATTGTGTTTGGTGCTCTAGGATACTAGGTTGTGCCATTGTGCTATTGCATTTTTTATCTAATCCTAACATGTTATGAGCACGTGAAATCCAGTCTGACATTTAAACCAATCAGAATACAAGAATGATGAATAATCTTCCAATCAGAATCTAGGTCGGTCACGTGGTTTTGTATACACGGTCACAAAAGTACAGTTTACGAGTACATTTTGCCTGGAGCCGAGTAGATATCGTGGTATTTGAATATTCAAGCAAGATTTTACGAGGATTTTACAACGCAATGGCTTCTCAACGAGTAATGAACTTTTCACCAGGCCCGGCTAAGTTGCCTGAAGAGGTTAGTACCGTTCGAATATAAGAAATGTAGCGTTTTAGGCTAGACTAACAATAACATGAATGGTACTTTTTAGATTTCATCATCTGCTCTCTTGAAGCACTTGATGACATAACATAACTTGTATAATAATTTATAGGCAGCTATTTTCTGCATCTGCAAATCAAATTAAGCTTCGACTTTTCTGAGCTCATTATTGCAAGATATCAAGTTCCATCTCACCCAGGTTAGATGACTGAAACTTACCATAATGGTGAGTGTGGTGAACCCTTATCCTTATCCCGTACCAGGACTATAGTCCTGTAACGAGCGCATTCTTTTGCCTGTACTATTACAACTTGGGAGAATTATCTACGCCCCTTACACTTAGATACCTACTTCAATAGGTTCCTTGGTATTTTAGCATTCTTTTCGTGTAGTTGAATCCACAATTGTTTGGGTATATCGGCAGAATGGGAACATTTTTCTTTTTCATCGAGAGATATTCCATCACGTTCCAAGATGGCGGTTGGATTTAAAAGGGGATTCCCTGTTTGACTGACCCGTTAGTGGCCCCGATGTACCAATAAATGGGAGAATTTGACGGTTTAAATATTATACACAAATATTGCGATCAAAAACGAAAATCTCTTTGTTCTGCCGATAAACCCAGACAATTGTGGATTCAACTTCACGAAAAGAATGCTAAAATACCAAGGAATCTATTGAAATAGGTATTTTAAGTGTAAGAAGCGTAGAAAATTCTCCCATGTTGTAATCGTACAGGCAAAAGAATAAGACGTTCGCAGGACTATAGTCCTGGCACGGGATAAGTGAACCCCACCCTCAGATGACTATTTTGCTTGAACAATTGCTCAGACCTTTATACTAGCTATTTGATATGCACGGGTACTATATTCTGTAATTTGATTTGTCCTTTGAAACCCTTTCCATACTGCGAATTCCCCTTTCGTTATAAAACCAACTTCCCCACCTGGGAAAAACAGAACACCCCTTGGTAAATCATGGCTATGCCCCTTCTGAGACTGGAAAACTGGAGATTTCGCACGCTACCTCATAAATAATAGAAATTTCAGGACTTAAGGGACAACCCACGTATACTTACATCATCTCTGTGTTTCAGGTGTTGGAACGTGCCCAGAAAGAGCTGACGAACTATAGCGATACAGGCATCAGTGTAATGGGTGAGAACACACAAATGAGTACTATAAGCTTAGTTATTTGTTAAAAAGATCCAAATTTTTGACACCTTTATGAAAAAAATCTAGCACCAAAGCAAACTTAAAGCACTAGTATGTTTAATTAAGAAGAAAAAAGTAAAATTAATCATTGAAACATGTTACTCACACACTCAATTAAATATGATACAAAGTTTGAATTGCAGTAATATTAAACCAAGGAAAAAATAACTTGTGTAGAAAATAGCATTTCGAGTTCGAAACGCGGTGTGCTCCGTGTTACCTTCTTCTAAGGCCACTGTATCGTGGCCTTCCAGTACAGATATATTGCTGCATGAACAACTGGTAACGTCGTAATCATAAAATTTGAAATCATATGTCCGCCATTTTTCCACATCACAATTTGAATTGCGAGTTTTGGTCTTATTACCTCACCAAAAATTCCAAAACACACACAAAGTGATCAGTGTATTAGTTCACATCTTCTGGATCGCTAACTTAGAATTTACAGCCAGTTACTAATGTCAGACGTAACGACATTTCGTCCAGTTTTCGAACATCGCCATTTTTCTTGGAGCCATTTTGTTTTAATTTTAGACGAAATCCTGATGAAATCATGTCATATCTCATCAAGGATTTGAGCTGGGTCCGGTTTGATTAATGATTTATTTATCTGGCGATTTTTAAAATATTCAATAAATGTATGACACCCCGGCAGCTTTTTTCAAATAGAGTTCACAGTATTCCAGATGAATCCCCTCTAGCCAAGTATTGGCTAGAGACTCGAGTAAGCTCCGTGCGTTTATTCATTTATGACCACTGTCTGAGCTTTCAGTTGCAGAGGTATTAACCCGCTCTGGGCTCTTAAGGACAGTTGAGCAACGTGTGTATGTGTAGGAATATATAAGCACAAATGCCAAATGGAAAGGGTGGCTAATTGAAAGGGTAGGGAATATCAGCTGTGCTTCCTCTGGTGTGTTTGAGCGTTAACATCAGCTGCCCCTAGTCAGATCGACTAACAAAACAACTTTTTTTGGGGTTGTCGAGAGGGCTTAGGTGCCAGCACGTTCAGGCTAGGCGATTGGGCGCCGTAACCACGAGGTTGCGAGTTCGAGACGCGGTGTGCTCCGTGCGTTTATTCATTTGAAGTTCAGAGATCATTAGTTGTGCATGCACATTTTTGACAAAGTGCTTGTTTTGAATTACTCTTGATTTAAAAGATGGCGACACTTCTATAAAAATGAATGTATCATGTAATACAAACAACTTTGCCATCTTTCATTGACATTGATGAAAATTTGATAAATAAGCTTGACAGATCAAAAATATTTTTTGATAACATATTGCAAGCTTCGATGTGGCTTGTTTGACCTGTTTTTGGTGTCAAATGAAAGATAAAGTACTTATCAATCCATTGGAAATACTATGAAATTCAAACATAAGACTTTATTTTGCCACAAAATTTTGAAAATACACAAAGTGGGCCTTTAAGTAGGAACATTTAGAATATACTAGATGTACTTTATACTCATAATAATTTATCTCACTCAATTTGACAGGATATTTTAATGTTTGACAATAATTAAGTTGTTAAACTTAAAGCCACATTGTAACATAGACTGGAAGTGAATTTTCGAGTTGAGTAAATGGTGATAATGTTGTTTTTATGAAGCTGGGAAGTCAAAACATTACTAAATAATTTCAAATAAATAATTTGAAATAATTAAGATATTCCATATTCAGACTGAGGTACAATGTACCATAATTTTAGATACATTTCATTGCTCTCTTTTACTAAAAGAATGCTATTATTATGATGTGAGCTAATCTATGACATAGTTTATATCAATACATTGAGGTGATTGTTTCAGAGATGAGCCATAGATCCTCAGACTTCTCACAGATCATGAACAGAACAGAATCGAATCTCAGAGAAATCATGTAAGTTAATGCCAGATTTTTAAAGCTGCAATATGTTAAAACTTTCATCTTGAAACTTAGGCATTATCTATATTCACAAAAGTTGATGTTCTTAAACACTTGATAAATTTCAATGTTCATAACCTTAGCCAATGAGTGAGGTTTAATCCAGCCTTTAATTGAATTATCAAAAAATATCAATATATGTCCAGGCCTTAGCCTTGCCACTCTTTTTGCTGGTCTTCAAATATTTTTATGGAGGACTGGCACAAATCCTATCGAAATAATGAATAAAAGCAAGAAATTCCATTTTACAAGTCTTGAGAGGCCTTAACTCCTTCTTTATGATTTAAACCATTTTCAGGAAGATCCCCGACAACTACAAGGTACTCTTTCTGCAGGGTGGGGGCACTGGGCAGATGGCAGCTGTGCCCCTAAACCTTATCAAGTTGAAGAGCTCAGGTTGTGCAGACTATATCATCACTGGAAGTTGGTCAGCAAAGGCTGCTGATGAGGCAGAAAAATATGGCACAGTTAATCATGTTTACCCAAATACTAAAGTCTACACAGGTATGGCCCATTGGCACTAATTCACAAATTAAAGTTAAAGTGCTACAGTAAATCCTTTGTTATTTGGATAGAGCAAATCTAGAAATTATCCAAGAATTACTGGAAGATCCACCATAAACTAACCTTAGTTTGGATTGAGAAAATAAATTGATTATCTGAAAATTCCAGAATATTCTGACATCTTTCATAAGGAAATGTTAGCACAAATAACATATGTAATGTACTTTTAACAGGGCCAATAATGCCTTGGCTCAGGCCCTATCAATGAATTGTGTATAAGGTTGTGTAAGGAAGCGTAAAAATTATAAACCACATGTATTAATTAAAAGTCTCTATGTTTTTTAACAGGTGTGCAATGTGTCTCTACCTGGAAGTTGAATCCAGATGCATCTTATGTCTACTATTGTGCCAATGAAACAGTACATGGTAAGGACAATTATAACAAATGTCTGTCAGGATAACTTTAAATTATATTTTGCCGGGGAGAGAAGAGGTAAACAAAATGAGATAGATATAGAAAAATTGTGTGTCTGGGAGCAGCTTAGGTTAAAAAAAATCCTTAAAAACAGATTTTTTAATGAATTGCGAGGATGGTTATACATGTACTTTTGAAGAGGTGAACTTTCTTTGTCTATGTGGGCCATTTTGTAATTCTTGTACATACAGGGTGGGCCAAAAAAAACAATACCCAACTTTAAATCAGAATAAAAATAGCTATGTTCAACATGATACATTGATTTATATATCATTTTAAAGGTAATCCATTTTCGAACAATTTGGTATATAACACTATGTCATGAAATCAATATTAAAGTTTTAATATGCTTATTTTGCTTTTTTGGGAGGCCGGGTCTGTATTTAAGGTATCCAGATTTTAGGGAGGAAATAGTAAATCTGCGGAATAATGTTAATTTTTTATTTATAGAATATCATTTTGTTAGGTGAATACCTGCTTGTATATTTGCATATTGTGTGACTAAACTTATTGTTTATGAATTTTATTGTTGTTTATTATCAATAAGTACTCAAAGGGGGTCTGTTAAAAGACATTAAACGTATATGTGACAAGGATTTATTTTCCAACAAGACATTGCCTCGTACCATAGATCAAAGGAGACATTGGGATTTCTTTGCAAACAAGGTGCCAATTTGATTGATCTCGATGCTTGGCCACCCAACAGCCCCGATGCTAATGTGTTTGATTACCATACATGGAGCCATCTTGAGGAAATGGTACAATCAAAAGCATCCAATAAACAGCATTGATGAGCTGAAACAGAATCCTAAAGTGCTGAAATGAATTGTAACAGAAATCTCTCAATAAGGCTATTGATAGATTGCGCTACCACTTGAAGCTTATTTTTGATGCAGAGGGGGTGGGGGTGGGGGTATATTGAGCAATTGTTTAATTAAATAAAGTGTAAAATGTTATTAAACAACACTGAAATTCATAAACAATAAATTTAGTCAAACAATGATGCAAATATCAATATCCAAGCATGTATTCACCTAACAACAAAATGATATTCTATAAATAAAAAATTAACATAATTCTGCAGATTTACTATTTTCTCCCTTAAATCTGGAGACCTTAAATAGCAACCCGGCCTCCCAAATAAGTATAACAAAACTTTACTATTGATTTCATGACAAATTGTTATATACCAAATTGTTTGAAATTGTATAGCCTTTAAAATGATATAAAAGTCAATGTACCATAATTGATGTAACTATTTTTATCCTGATTTGAAGTTGGGTATTGTTGTTTTTTTGGCCCACCCTGTATATAGTGTAGATGAGCTGCATTATAGGAACAGTAAATTTTATTAATATCATGCATGTTATATACACAGAATCATTTTTTGTTTGTTAAGGTGTGGAGTTTGACTTTGTACCTGAGACCAATGGTGTTCCCCTTGTCTGTGACATGTCATCAAATTTCATGTCTATTCCAGTTGACTTTACAAAGGTATTCTTTCATATGATACAACTACCCTATTGTTACTGTAATCAAACTTACTTATTAATAGCCAACATCTTGTTTGTAATTTCAAGAATCCACGTTATTTAAAATACTGTGTTCTGATTGGTTAGAAATTGATATACTTTGCCTAGCTATTATACATATTTTGAATTGCTATTCATGAAATTCCATACATTAGAAATATCGCCATATTACTTTATTTGTAAAATTTGAAATCCATGAATTGCAAATATAAGAGTCTGTTAATGTTTTAACATGGCCAAAATATGAAAATGAGAGTTTAAGTACTTGCACGAGCATCATGATACATCTTTGTTGAACTCTTTCTGTATGTTTGACAAAGAATCAGGGGTAGCACAGGAGCTTGATGCAAGACTACTGTGAATATTTCATTGGAAGATTCTTTATTTTGAATAAATAAAATAGTTCATCATAGCCCATAGTCCATAGTGCATTTACTTCTATTTTCTCTGGTTGGTGTGTATTTCTTGATGAATGAGTTTTTATCTATTTTAGTATGGAATGGTGTTTGCTGGAGCTCAAAAGAATATTGGTTGTGCTGGTGTTACCGTAGTGATTGTACGAGAAGATCTGATTGGTCAAGCAATGAAGGAGTGCCCAAGTGTGCTTGACTACAAGGCTCAATCCAGAGCTAGTTCCCTCCTCAATACACCTCCCTGTTATAGGTAAGCAATCATTGTGATTGTTCATCATACATCTTTTGAATTGAATTTTGGGACAATGTAATAAAATCAATTTATTCATAAGTAGATTTTTTATCAAACTCTTTGAGTCCCCCAATACCTAGTCTTACTCAAAGACTGTATCCAACTCCCCCCCCCCCATCACCTTCACTCTCTTTACCTAGCAATATACAGAGAGAAGGATAAAGGGGGGGGGGAGTACAGGGTCTTTTAAGCAAGACTACCAAATACCATAATGACACAATGGTCTTAAGGAAAACTTTGAACTGTATACATCTTGACAAATGTTGTATACTTTGACAATAACCTTGAACTGTACACGCCATTATGAATGTCTAAAGCTTTGTTTAACCCATGTTGTATGATTTCAGCATTTACATTATGGGGTTGATCTTTGAGTGGGTGAAAGCAAGTGGTGGAACAGAAGCCATGGCTGAAAAGAGCAGGGTGAAATCTGAAGCCATATATGATGTCATTGACAAATCTAATGGGTTTTATGTGTAAGTTTACTCGTTACATATTTAGAAGTTTTGTCACTATGACGTGAAATATGCCTGAGTTCTCCCAATATAGGCCAACCTTGGGAGGCTCTCTATATTTGGGCAAAAATGAAGGCATATTTCACGTCACAGTAACATCGTGACTTCATTGTGTTTTACATTCCTTTATTCCCATGGCTACTTTGTATCAATGATGTCACATATACCGTTTGTGTGGAAGTAGAATTTAATCGAAATGAAACATGATGTTGTGATTTTGTTCTTTAATATCAAAATGAGGTAAGTGGGCTATTTCTTTTGGGTATTATATGTAAGTTTTCTTGTTAAATGTACTTTTGGCCTCTAATAATCCATATACCCCTGTTGTGTCTTTACTACTTTATGTACATACATATATTTATGGGATTTTGATGGTTATGTGTCACTTGTAAGGACAGACTGAATAGAGGCCATTAGAAACATACAGTAAATGTGTCATTCTAATTTGAAAATAGTCGGTTTTGATAAAAAGGGAAGGCATTCTATACTTTAATACTTAATACCTTAATACTTTTGATACCTCTATATATTTTTAGTCACATGGTATCTAATTGACCAATGAGAGAACGAGTATCACGGCATGGAAATAATAATATTATATATTCTTTACATTTTTCCAGTTGCCCTGTTGCTGAGCACTGTCGCAGCAGAATGAATATACCATTTAGAGTGGGAAATGCTGAAGGGGAAGATCTGCTGGAGAAACAGTTCCTAGAAGGAGCAACTCAGCGTGGAATGATTTCACTGAAAGGGCATAGGTAATTACATCACTTGTGCAATTGGAAAATATTTGACTTTTTAACTTATTGTTTCACCAGAGTTCCCTGTTCTCAAGATTAAACAAAAATTATAGGGTTTGCTGAAGTTTTATTTTATGTGAAAATGATGCATTTTTAAAAAGTTTTACTTTTCGGCCTTAACTTGGCCTGATTTGATGATTTCATGAATGCATCCTTATTGAATTTTCAAATCCATGCACTTTTTAAAGCATACACTGTATATAATTTGCATCCTGCATACAAGCTGTGCAGCCACATTGATGTGATGGTCACATTTATAACTGATTATGTAATTGCAGGTCTGTTGGAGGTATCCGTGTGTCTCTATACAATGCAGTCAGTGTACAGGATACTATGCACCTTGCAGAATACATGCAGGAGTTCATGGCACTACATCAGTAGACGCTGCCATAGAAAGTATTAAAGGGGATATCTCTCTGTTCACAATTATGAAGTCAGCCATCAAGATATTGCACATTGGAAATCTCATTTATTTTAGAAATGTTTTTGAAAAACAAACATAGAAGACTTCATAATAAGCCATAGTTGAAATTAGCCTATATAGTCTAAAAGGTGAAGTTCCTCAATGATAAGAATAGCACACGGATGAAATTAGATGGATATCCCCTAAGGAATACATTTACAGGGTGTAGCAGAAAATATGCTAGATTTCAATGACTATTGCACTTGAAACTAGTACAACTTTAACATATGTACAGAAGTTAACATATCAATGCAATTTTGATGCGATAGATCCTAGTCAGGGAAACAATAGAAAATAAATAAAAATGGAGGAGTACTTAATATATTGATAAAGTTCTTAACTCTGCCAAAATTACAAATTCCTACATCTTGCAGATGTTAGACTCTTTTGCTAAACCCTGTAAATATGTATAACATTCCCTTCTACTTACAAAATACCGTGTGAATATACATGGTGACACAAAAAGCAACCAACTGAATATCTCGGGTCGAGTTTCCAATGCAGGAATAAGTGATGTTCTTATGTTACATCAATGACTTTGAGCTTTAGAGAAATCATGTTTTCCATCTTAGGAGTGCTCGTGCCAAATCACTCAAATATGCAAGTTCAGAAATACATTTTTGGAATGTATAAAACCAAGTCTACTTATGAAAGTTATTCTGAAAAAAGTTGAAAGATTATTCTATATTTTTGGTAATATGTATGAAAGCAGACAGGGAAAAACAGAAAGACCTATGTATTTTGAATGATATTACATTACATCAGAGCATGCTAAGATTGAAAATATGATTTTTGCTAAAATAATTCTCAAATTATAAGATAGCATTTTTGTATCACCTTGTACTTTTAGAAAGCCGTAATGTGGGAAGATAATGAAGCTAGAAACTGGAAAACAACTTTACAAACTAGGTGATCAAAAAACTTTTATGTACATATACGTATATCTTAATTTCCCTTTTATGGTCATTTTGAATACTTGAATTTTTTCTACATCGTTGCATATTATCTGTGATATCTGTCATTTTTTGAAATATTAGCATTAACTAGATCGTTTTTTTTCTTGTTGCCATTACCTTTAATGTATGTGTTGCCATGACTTTCAATGTTTGTGAAGGGGTAGACCTTGTTTCTTGAGTATAATGCTTTGTTTGTTATAGCTCATTTGCTATTTCCTACATAATAGCTCCAATGATTCAGGGACCAATTGATTATCATTGTATATAAAGAACTGTAAATCTCTTGTGCATGTACTATGACTTGAATGATGTAAAGTTTTCAGAGAACCTACATTGATACCTATTGGTGATATATATGACTTAAGATCTGTATTCTAACTAGTTAGGTACCTGAACAAATCAGATGCATATCAACTTAGTTAAAGGTTCAGTTAACCTTGGTGAAGTCTTGGTTAACTTTTTGCTGGAAGTATAGTTCTTGTAGTATGGATTATGTAATGTAAATAGAAAATATCACCATGTAAATTAGTAATGTATATTGGTAGCAGTGGCGCACAAGTGAAAATGGGATCAAATATTTCATTGCATTCCAAAACCATGGGAGACTGAACATATTCAATATTGTATTCAAGAAACCTAGAATACTTTATTTAATGTATTGCTTTAAACTTGTAACATTTTTATTTTACAAGGTAGTTGTGGATTTTAGCCCAAATGTTTTGTTCATAAAATATATTAGTGTTTATATGACATTGTCGTTGTATTTTCACCTCATGACTAATGACCAAATGATCTCATGTTAAGCATGGACAGCTTCTATAACCTTATTAGGGTTGTGTTGTGGAGAAGGATAATAGTGAGTGTATTAGTAACTTTTTTTGTATGGTAAAGTTGACACAAGGGCAAATATTTACTGTCATTACTTACATTGGTCATTTTTTCTATGACAGCTGCTATGCAGTTCTTTTTATGTCACCATCACAAGTGCTGACATATTGTCATATATCTTTAATTTTTTGTGGACAGTGTTTGGTGGATGTTGTTCAGTGTCTGTAACAAATGGCAGGTGGTGACATTTTTCATGTTAAAGCCTTGTTTGTACGAAATGATTTGTGGATGTATTGAATTAGTGAGGTACCTTGTACAAGTAAAAGGTGTTATGGCTGCTATTTTAGTATGAACAGAATATTGAAATATATTTTGAAAACAACTTGCAGATGTTTCTTTTATTTTTGTATATTTGTCGAAATGAGGGTGTTTGTTCCTTGAATGTGGTTGTTATTAATTTAATTGTGCAACAATTAGGGGAAATGGCCCTATCACCGCACGGGTACTCTGGAAAACTACTGACGATTTCAAATATCATAACTTCAACTTACTTTGACAATATGAGACAAAAGATCAACCTTTTTTTCTAAAATTTAAGTAGTGTTTGACATTTCTCAATCTCCAAACGCTAACACTTTAAGACCCCTTAGACTCGCATGTGTGGTGTCCTAATTATCGCACAGTTGTTTCAGATGTCATTTCACGATACTGTATACTTTTCTGTTTATAACAGATACATGCATATGCTATAATCATTTTTCTATCGGTTTTAGTGTAAAATATCAACAAAATATAGATTATACACATACTTTTCGGTCTTTATTTGGAGGGGGTCAAACTTTGTTGAATTTCACTTCTTGCGCAATAGCATTTATGACAATAGCGGAAGTAAACAATTCTTAAAAAATGAAGAGATATTTCTAAACATACGAATAAATCATGAAGATTGGGAGGAATGGTGTTGAATTGTTTTTCGTAACACTTGTTTAAAAGATGGTGGGTGCATATTTTAGCTACAATGTATTTAGGACAATCGTGCGATAATTAGGACTGTGCGATGATTAGGACCATTTCCCCTAGGGCCATTCAACGATCAAGGACCAGTGTCAAAATATAATTAAGTTTGAATATTTCATCAAGACTTACATCTATTTTTATGAAGAAACCCCCTAGATAAACATTATTTCAGCTGATATTCCTCTTGAAACATGGTAAATCTAAAAAATATAAAAGTGGATTTCCCCTTTTTGAAGCTTTGAACTGAATTTACACTTCGTAATGCTGAAATTGATAGTTTATTCATACATTTTAAGAAAAAAGGTATGTCAAAGAAGATGTTGAGCCAAATGTTGCCTTCATAGCTCAGAAAAAATTAAAATTTTCCTTTTTTCTCCACAGGTCTTGTTGCCCCTTTAATGAGTTGTAAACCCCAATTTACTTCCATTCCAATTTTGCTTTCCAGCTTATGCATGCATGATGCATGTACAGGGTGTCAAATGGCGTTGTGCCCCCCTTCCACAGCATTAACTAGGAGAAGTACACGTACATTATATATATCATTAGAAAGAGCATTCAATTCTGGATAAAATGAACCCTAGATGACCAGGGTCAGATATTGCTACAAAGTTTCATAAGCATTTGAAATGCACCAATATAGTGCTATTTTTATTGATTTTTAAAAATTCCTGCATAGACCTTTTTGGTATTGGTGAATACCCGAGCAACAACTCTGACTTAAATGCTTCAGTTCAAATGAGCCCATATTAATGGATAAAACAGTAGCTACTTATGGAAGTTGAAGCTGTAGAGAACAGATATTCCAAAGATACCATCCAGGAGAACCTCAAAAAGTATTGAGATCTCTGCTCAAGACATTGCTCTTTTCAATGCCCTTTTAACTTGATATCCAGCCTGACTGGCAGCCGTTTAAAGCTGCGGGGGATGGTCAAACTCTCTTTTAAAAGTTGGTTCAAATTATGTATTATTTTCTATCATCCATCTTCATCTTTTCACACTCTAAGAACAATTAAATGCTCTTTCCAATGGTATATAGTATGCATGTGTACCTCTTCTAGTTTATGCTGGGGATAGGGGGCACAACACCATTTGACACCCTGTAGTTAACAGTAGAAGACACCTACTAATACATTTGAGCTTGCACCATCAATGCATATTGATTTGAAAAGCTCTAAACACAGTACATATAGAGAAAACCCACAGTCATGCAGTGCGAGTCATTCTCCTGTGCACTAGGATGAGAGCAAACTATTTAGTCAGACCCGTAGCCAGAAGGGGAACTGGGGGAGCGGAAGCTCCCCCCCTGGCCAGAAGTTATTTCAAAATCATGCAGTTTTTCACCATTCTGAGAATTTTTCGCATGATTTTTAGCCAAAATTGTGAAAAAGCTCCCCCCCTGGAAAAAAAGCTCCCCCTCCTGGTAAAAGGTGGCTACGGGCAAGTTAGTTATCCAATTTCCCCAGTCCAGCAACCAAACTGCATTTTATCAGTAGAGAGTTCGACACCATACCCCGATCCTACTAGAAAACCTCATCACATATATGAGTGAGGTAAAAAAATAAAAATAAATCAATTGAGATACTTTTCATAGCCTCTTCTTTATTAGACAACAAACTATGTTTTTATCTCATAAAATAGATTTCTAAAAGCAATTAACTTCTCATGAACAAGATCACATTAACATTATTGAAGGTTTCGTATAAGAATAAAATGTTCATATTTTATACATACATTACATATATACCATATAACAGTCACTCTAATATAAAGTACAGTATACATTTGTGTAAACCATAACCATGTAGACCTCCAATGTTTCCCTTATATCTTTAACTTTTAATAATATAAATCATGTTATGTGCGTTTCAGTTTATAACCCTATCGTGTATGTCATGTGTATGTACAGTACAATGTGCATGTAGATATCTACACCAAGCTAATTGCTCACTTCTACATTTTTACTAAAAATGCTATTTTTCCACTAAGCAGTTTGAACGATTTCAGTAAATGAAAATTCAAATTGGTGAGGTATTTCTACCTAAGACTGCTAATAGCTAAAATTGTAGGTTACATTTTCAAAAATTGAAGAGCTCTTCGTCAACTACACAGTAGCCAAATAGCCCCAAGTGAGATCACAACAAACATTAAGGAGAATAGTAAAGGAAACCTTGTGGTTTCAACAGTTATCAGGTACAGGAATAGCATAACACAAATAACCAATGGCTTTCAGTAATAGTTACTGTTATAAATAAAAGATGTCTCCCTCAAACATAAGCCAATCATCCGCTTGCATTTATGTTTTGTATGATTTCAATAAATAGTATTTCAACACTGGACAAAAGTATGGAAATTTTATTTCTATAATGCACTTTTTCACTAATTATTTCAGCTTCCTCAAGTTGTAAATATTTTAATACGAAGGGGGTCATATTTTTGTTATAATTACTGTTGTATGGACACCATTCTAGATATTTCGTTACATTGTATATTTTCGTATAAATTGAATGAAAATGGTATGACTATGTAATATCAATGTTTTACAATGTACTTTTTGTGAACTGGTCCATACAATGATTTGTAATGTTAATGAATAATGATGTAAGATCTTTACTCGTTTCCCGTTTCATTGAGCACTGTGGTGCGAACAAGATACTCAGTCACAACATATGGATCACAGTTAGAAGATGGCCTCCTATCTTCAAGGTAGCCCCACCCACGGGCTGCAACGTTACGGGGAATACGAATACTGGCACCACGGTCAGCAACTCCGGAAGAGAACTCACTTATATGTGCGGTCTCGTGCAGGCCTGTTAGACGACGTGCATTATCAGCTCCTTGGTTAGGATCATACATGCGTATATGAAGGTCATGACGCTTGGCTAGTTTTTCTATGGCCTCCTCGATAGCTCTGCAAGGTCAATATATTCATGGATAAAAATTAAGTATCTCTATTAATCATAATATATTGTTGTCTGTTCAACATTTGTTTACATGAAATGTCAAATTGCCCCTTTCATAACACTTGCAATCAATAGAAGCATACAGGTATTAGGTGATTAGTTTATACGGCATTAAACATATTATCATCACAAACATTTTTCTGATTCATTCCCTATTATGTCATTTGTTTCAGGCTATGCTTTACAAAGCAAAGTTTGACACAAAAAAAAACATATAAAATATATCATCTTTGTAATTTCTGTTTTACTTTATTCCTGTAATATTTGATTCTCTCTTTTCCCACAATCCCCAAAATAATTGTCAAATAAGCCCGTAAAACCTACTTAAGCCCTCCTTCCTTCTCCCACATGGCCTTTGTGTTGTAGTTTACGTGAGCTCCTGCACCATTCCAGTCACCAGGCATGGGCTTGGGGTCAAGGGTAGCTACCACACCAAAGTCTTCAGCCACACGATGTAGGAAGAATCGTGACATCCAGAGCTGATCTCCCATGCCAATACCTTCCACTGGCCCTACTTGGTATTCCCACTGAAAGGATTAATTAATATATACCGTAGATGTCATAAATTAAAAAAACTATTGTTATGAAGTTCATTAAAAGTAAAATATACCTTGTTTTAACCCTTGCCTAGCCAGGCATAACCTAGAAATTAACTCTCACCTCTCCAGACATAACTTCGAAATTAGCACTCAACATAACCTAAAAATTTGCTCACACCACAGCTTCACAGCTGTAAATCTAGAAATTAACCCTTGCCCATCCAGGCATTAGCTAGGAATTAACCCTCACCTGTCCAGGCATGACCTCTGCATTTGTTCCTGAGATATTGATGCCGGCATACAAACAAGCTCTGTAATGTGCCTCCTCGATCACTCGACCATGGGATCTGTCTGCGCCTACACTGCAATAGTATGGCCCTAAAACACAGAAACCCCAAAAAATGCTCATACAAATCATCTCATCACAAGACATTATTCACAATACTTATTTGACGTTTTTATTCATTTTCTTATTCATTTTATTCTTTTTGAAAAATAAGGAAATTTTGATTAATTTAAAAAAGTATCTTGTTAATGAAATAAAAGGTTTATCTTAATTTTTATCTATTTTTGTTTTTTTGTCTTAATTTTTTTTAAACTTTTTGTTAAATCAACCAAAATTTCCTATGATATTAGAAAATATTGTATAAGCTATTTTGTTCCAACAAGTTTCGGAAAGATATTTTTTATTTCATTCTCAAGAATTGGTAGAAAGGAACAAAAAACAATTGGACTAAAAAACAGAAAATGTTAACAAAAACAGTTATATGAAATATATATAAATAATATTTTGTATTAAATTGTTGTCAATCAGTCAACATTACATAAAGGACTGTGTTTTTTTACAGGATGTTTTCAATAATGGGTTTATAAGAAAAATATTGTTGAATTCAGTTCACCATATCGATACCAATCCTTTACTGACCCAGCTGTAATATTATTTCTCTTTTGCTTCTTGAAAAACATTTAACATCTGCTCCCATTTTAAAGCTAGAGCACCATGACCCAACTTTGATGCTGAAATACTTGGAAAGTTTGGCCTTACAAACAAGGCATGAAGTCTTTATTTTTCTTTTGCCCCCCCCCCCCTTTCCCCCAAACCCACCAGTGCTACAAAACACTATAAATAGCCATAAACTCTATAAACTAAAGATAACTGTGGTAACAAATGTTAGAGAGAAAAATACATGACCTTGGCTGCATGACAATAAGTGCAACGTATCACTCACTAAATGCGTGATATGATCATACCAACCACGAAAAGTTTAACATAGAACTTTAGACATTGCTCGGTTCACTTGAAATAGTAGTGTCCCAAGACAACCCTGGCATACACACTAAAACAATTAGTACATTTGACTTTGAAAGTTCAAAAAATTGAAATAAATTAATCAATCATGTTAGGATTGTTTCACTAATTTAATTTTGATTTGTGAGAAATATTTCAGGTCAAGTTCAAAACAAGCTTTAAATCAATCATACTTGCTTGACAGTACAACTGTTCGAACCAGTTTTAGCCAGTGTGACCTTAAAGTGCTAATTCGGTAATTTTTATTTTTTTTTCTCATTACAATAGATTAAACAGATATTGGTAAGTAAAAATAGTATTCCAACAGACTCTCAACTTATTCCGTTTGTTCATTGGTGGCAAAATAAGATTTCCCGGGAAAAAACATGACGTCACGAACAGAACCGGTTATGTGAAAACGCACCGCTGGATCGGAAGCTCTAATTTAGGTATTATATTTTTTGTTTGTCGGAGGAAAAAATGTGGTTCCAAAGTAGTCATCTCTGAATCAATTCCTCACTTCATTGAATGCAGTTGCAATCAATTACACTAACACTTTATGAGCACGTTCGGGGATTATGAACTCCAACAACATATTCAAAACCCGTTCTGTTCGTGATGTCATGATTGGCATTTGACATTGTGTTCCCGATTTTGAACATCAAATTTCACATTTATAAAAATATTTACAAGAACGCTACCTGGTTTGACATGTTAGTGGTATTTACTTCATTTAGAACGTGTATAAACTGTATTTTGACCCCATGAGCATCGAACAGACACTTTAAGTGTATATCACAACATTACAGTTAGCACCGAATACTTGTTTAGTGCACTGATTATCAATGCCAATTCGCAGTCAAAAGTTGTAGTGTTTTAAAAGTTACCATACCATACTATTCATAAAAAATCATTTAGCCTTTGATTGAAAAGAATCAATGGATTGAAAACATGACATAAAGCTTGGCAGTAAAAATGGTACACAATGAAATGTATGCAAGATGTTCAAAGATAGTCTAGATCATTTATTAAAGTGGCTCGAACATTCCTTATTTTGAGGTCAATGTCCTGAACCAAGATGCCTACACCACTTGAAGAATTCATAATGAGAAATAGATAATAAATAAAATGAACTGAAGACTGACCAAATTTCATTTGAAATCTTTTCATTTAGTTTTATTTGAAAATGCAAAAAGACTAAAATAAACCTGTGAACTCACCGCGCCAATCAGTGTTCGTCAGCCAAATTTGACCGACGTTCTATATATGGTCATTCCTTCTGAGCCCGGAATTGACCGATGACATGCGCATATTCAATTAAAGCGCATTTGGCGTATGTTTCTTCAAGCTCGCTGATTGGTGGAAGAAAGGTCAGCGCGTAGGTCAAAAGTGATTTATTACCCAAACTGTCACCGGTACCCGTCGTGGGGGCGGGGCTACTAAACTGTAATATGGTCTCTACTAGGCAGAGTGTAGTTTAACTAGACTCTGCACGCAGGGTATGAGCCCATGGGCTTTCAATTATCGAGTTGAACGCCCATGGTTGGTTAGCCTTGTCTAAAGTTAGCCTTGTCTAAAGAAAATGAAGGTTTATGTATGATCTAGCATATGTATAGAATACCACATGATGGGTATGAACATTAAACAGACAATTAAAGCAACTATTTTTAACACATACGAAAATATTAAAAGTGAATGTCAAATGAAAGTCAGGTTATTATACTATGAGGCAAACAAAGAAAGTAGCAAACAGAAAACAAATATCTTCAAGATCTTTTGTGCATGACATGAATAAAGAACAGAAGAAAAATATTAAGAAATCACAAAATTAAAATTGAATAAACAAACAGACACCTAGGGGACAAAAATCAAATTAATCAAAAAATAAAATAACAAAAAATAACTCAAAGGGTAAATCACAGACATGCATTTTAGGTGGTACAGAGGACATTGATTTTTTTTAATTTGACTTCTTTTTTATATGAAATACTTGAATAACTCTGAGAGCATTTCATATAGTCATATATATCAATACCTTGAGGTGCTGGATAACCTTGTTTGGGCCAACCAAGGGGGTGTTGGTCTACATCCAACAGTGTATACTCCTGCTCAAAGGCAAACAGAGGGTTAGTGTCTTTTACCTTTTCCATAACCTGATTGGCGCTGAATCTTTTGTTGGTAACTGTAGCGATTAGAAAAATAGCATGCATTAGCAAGATGTGCAAGCAGCAGACATAGACGTGGACTTAGGGGAGACAGATGATAGACACATAGTAGTGCAGACCAAACCAGATCACAACAGCCATGGTAATAAAGCCTAGATCCTAGCCAGTGGTTGGTTTTACCTTGTGGGGCGGGGTAACCTTTTTTAGGCCACCCATATGGGTGCCCATCTTGGTCTAGCAGTGTGTATTCCTGCTCAAATGCAAACAAGGGATGTGATGAAACTGCACGCTGCATTATTGTGTTACAAGAATATCTCTTGTTGGTATCTATAGCAGAAAACATGCAACTATAACATTAAACATTTACAAATGAATGTCTGTTCAGGGGTATCTATTTAAAAACGAGAACCTACCAGGTCAAACACATTTCATTATATTTCTAGGAATTTTAGGTTTTTGTAGAAGAATCAATTTCTTTCATTTTGACATGGCTTCTTTCATTTTTAAGGCAACAGAAAACAAGACAAGAAAAGCCTGGCAAATGGGTCTCTTAATAAATAATTCCCACCGAACAGACATTTGAAAGAACACACAGTTATATGGTATATAATAAAACCTCTCTAAAGTGACCAGCTCAGAACATAACAGTAACTGTTTCTCTGCCATTGACTCACATTGGAACATTTCCCATCAGTATTTACACTTTAAGGAGGTTTTATTATTATGTGCAGGCCCGTAGCCAGGGGGGGTTCACAGGGTTCGGGCGAACCCCCCCCCCTGGCCAAAAATTCTTTCAAAATCATGCAGTTTTTCACCATTTTGAGCACTTCTCAAGTGATTTTAGCCATATTTGGGCCAAAATTGTCAAATGTGAACCCCCCCTGGAAATTTTGGAAAACTGAACCCCCCCTTGGCAAATCCTGGCTACGGGCCTGATGTGCATGTAAACTTCTGAGGTATCAGTTATCATTTTTTATTATGAGTCAAAAATTAAACCTGATGACTTTTATCATGGTTTATATGGTAGAAAAATGGAAAAATCAAATAAAGTTCACATCTTCAATATACAGTATATACAGGTTATATAGAGTTACAAGTACTGTAAGTGTGAATTATACAGATGTACATAATTATGTACTTTTGTGCTTATGGACAATTTCTTTCTCAGATGCTAAAATCATCAATCCGCAACAGTTTATTCATCTAGAGGTTTAGGGGCACTCAAACACGGCAATAAAGATATTTCTATTGGACTAATGAACTTCATATTTACACTATAACAGCTGATTGTTTGCGTTAAAGTAGTTGGATTAGGTCATACTGTACTATGATGCCTGGAGCTTCATCCAGTTTAGGGACAAGGTTCAAACATTGAAATATGCCCACTGACTTTAATTTTATTTTGTTAAAGAAGGAAGTTGTTGAATCTAAAATGCTATCCTGATTTAATATAAAGGGACAAGATCAAAAATCTTAATTTGTCTTATTATTGCACCAAATCGCTTTAAACATAGAGAGAGATGAAGTCTTAATTGTTGACACCTAGAAGTTATGGTAACATTACTGCATATTTTAAATATTAGATTTTGCAGATGAGTGTATTTTCATGTTGTAAATTAAAATATGAAAGAAATTCAAAAATACATTGACATTAATATTAACAGTATATTTATATTCATGTATTATGTACAAATTAAGTAAATATCTAGAAATGAACTTTATTAAATGCATTCATGGAAAAAAAGTTTTACTTATTTGAATATGTCATTATGTTGAAATTTTAAAATAGGAGTTTGTACAAAGCAATTGCTACACTTAATATACATGTAAATGGAACAAATAAATAAAGGAAAAATTACGGAATACAATACAAAATATGTAGACAATTTGACATACCATGGGGTTGCATATTTTTGTCCCTGGTTTCACATAGCAGGACCTTATTAGGTCCCTGACGGAATGGATCAGCGTACAATGCTGCAGGGATTAGATACACATCAGAGTCTCTCCCTTCAGCTTGACCCGTACTGGACCCATCGAAATTCCATTCGGGACAATCTGAAAAGAAAGAAAAAGTATGATATGGAATGAAAAACTTCATTGGATCGTGACGTGACACTGAAATATGATTTAAATTAGGTTCAAAATAGAAATGAAAAAGATATGGTAGAAAGGCTCAGGCAATATGAAAGATTCAAGGAGTAAATTCAAAAATGGAACTGAAAGTGTATTGTTGAGATGTGTTTTTTAGCACATACAGTACAAGTTAAACTGTGATATATGTCATGATAACAATTAGATGGAGTAAATCATATTTTTGAAACATCTCTTTAGATACAATATATCACGCATGTAGCGAATGATAATGTACGCGTTAAAACTCGAATAAAAAAGAAGAATTACAGTTGATGTGACATTAATACTCAAATTAAATTTACAAATGTCAAGCTGTCTGAATTAAATATATTCAAGATTAGAATAGATCTTTAACTTATTTTTGATAATAATAATAATAACCCTATTAAGGGTTTTTGGGGGCTATTGATATTACTTCAAAAGTAATGAACAAAACTTCTCTTCAGATTTTAATATGAATCACCTTATGACACCTTAATGACATCTTATGACATCTTGATGTTCATATGTACCTTCAGGTCTTTCTGGCTCTTTTTTAACAGTTTTAGTTTTACATCTGAGACCCTGTCCTGATCCATCAATCCACACATACATCACTTGCACCATATCCTCTGGTTGGGGGATGTTCATATATTTGTTCAAGGTGCTCTGCAGATGGCCACTCTTTGTGGCGCTCTCTTCATAACCCCTGCGAAAACTGGAACACAATTAAAGATAGGGATCAGCCTGGATCTTCTCTTTTGGCAGTGTAAAGAAATGTTAGCATTTTCAGAGTTGGGTAAAATAGTACTCTCTAGCATCCTTCACGATTGGGATTTGCTGCCACCAAAATACACTTTGACCAAGGATGACCTCGAGTTCAGAGGCTCTAAAGTACATGTACCATTGGTGCTCACTTTTAAGAAGTCAAATTATTGGAAAATGTAGTTAAATAGCTGACAGTCACATTTTTAAATTGTCTACAAAACCTATATTTGATATCATTAACACCACAGAATTTCTCACTAAAATTAATCTTAATTTGACAAATTTTGTTCAATTTAGACAAAATTTATATCAAAATGTCTGTAACTTTTATTTGTTCAGTAATATTTCAAAATTAACATCAACCGTGTTCATATCGTATATAAGTTAGAAATATGGCATAAGTTAGCAAATATGGAAAATGCTCTAGTATTCAAGAGGTTAAAATCAAAACTGTGAAAGATATTGTAAGTGGTCACAAAAAAAGAAGATCAATCAAAATACAATTAAGACAAAGATGCATGACTCATAGTGGGTTGAAGCGATGAATGCATGTTTTGACTTAAAACAACTTAAATGAATAAGCAAGATGAATATCCAGGTGACCCGAAAACCCAATTGGTAAACATAGCTCAGCATAAAACCTTGTAAACAAAATATGTTTTTTTCAACCACTGCATTCATCATCAATCCATCGGCATACCACTGGCATTCATTAGACTATTGAAAGCCCATCGTCATACATTATGTTTACCTTTCTTCAGAGACATATAAAACATTTATGTCTCTGCTTTCTTTAAGTACTCCCTTTTGGGGGGTATTTAGCATTTTAATTCTCGGTGAACTATCTCCCTCATACCCTACGACTGTTCATTTTGTAATTTATGTAAATCAATTAGCATTTTGTACAAGAGGCAGGCCATAATCATGCATCAATAATAGAAATGGTTTCGTTAAATCATCCCAGCTGTCATCTCACAATTATGGAATTGAAGTGTATTTAATAAAATGATTGAACACAGAATATTTGGGCCAAGTCAGAATACTTCGTCAAGAGTCTGAATACTAGGGTAGCCAAAAACACTTGAGGCGTATAAAGATATAAAGTAGAAATTTGTATTTAGGTCCCTGCAAAAGCCAGTTGTGAGGTAGACAGTAATCTATGGGTCATATTAATATTACACATTCTGTACAAATTATCTTAAAAGCATGTAGCTTATACCTTAATACCATGGTATGCAAAATTTCAATATGCAATGATAAGTTCAATACCAAATACACTGGCGGATCTGGGGGGGGGATCTGGGGGCCTGAGCCCCCCCCCCCTTGGGTGAGCCCAGAAAAAAAATTGGGCCCTAAAAAGTGGGCCTTTTTGTTCATAAATGGGGCTATTAAGGCCTTATTTTCTAATTTGAGGCCAAAATTTAAAGAAAATGGGCCTCAAATTTCAAAATTTGGGCCCACTTTTTGGTTTTAGGGGCCAAAAATTTATTTACGCGCAAGCGTGGACATTTTTTTCTAAGACCAGAATTTTGCCCCCCCCCCTTGTTGGTTCCCAGATCCGCCCCTGAAATAGTTGACTCTAGAGGTTTTACTGATTCTCCAGCATCAGGACCCACTGATGAGAAAACCATACATAATATTCAATTTCAACTGCGAAGGTCAACCAAAATTAAGTCATAATGACGTTATTTTAGCAAATCAAGATCAATGGATAGGTCGAAGTTCAACACTATTTATGTCAAAAGCCGCACCAAATGTCAGAGTTCTGAACGAGCTTAGGGTAATGTTACAAGTGCCTGGTTTGAAACATCTGCATACATGTATATATGTATTTCCAATTAAAACAATACACAATATGCATGCATAGTTGTAATTTGCTAATAATTAAGAGGAAGCATACTAAATAATAATGATAATTAATAGTTAATTCTTGATAACCCTTTATCAGATAGTTAAATCCGCTGGCTAGGTACAGAACTCAACTCAATAGATAAATTACTGGCAGATATAAAAACAGCTGATCTAACACTGTATGTAATCAAAATAATATTATGATCCACAAACAGTGAATAATGGATTTTAAATTGCAATTCGAAAGAAATAAAAATGATGTAATATTTTATATTGCAATGATTTTATTTTAGGCCCAAGAATAAATTTCAGACCTAAATTCTCAAAAGTATGCCTCATTTGAGCCTTTTCCAAAAATAGGGACAATCTTTTAGAAACTAAGCCTTATTTGGAAAAATTGGTCTCAATTTAAGAGATTTGACCAAATATTCAAAACCAGTCCAAAAACATTTTTAAATGCCAATTGTTTCCATCCTATCAATTTTCAGGGCTGCTGGGCGTGTTCCTTATCACTATCCAAAATGTGTACTCACCTTTTATTATGTCCTGCATTGTGCCGATTTTTCCTAGTTGCGGCAAGTGACACCAGCAATCTCTTCTCTGTGTTTCCCGATTTTGCAGAATTTGCAAGATTTGCCAAAACAGCAGTTGAGAATTTCTGTATGTGTTTTGCCATGTTGTCAGTTGTATGTCATGAGCTGGAAGAGGCGACAGAATGTAAGTACATATATGTAAGTAGTGCAAGGGTTATTATTATCTCTTAAGAGATATCAATGATTTTACACCTCCTACAACCTAATCAACTGATTCTATGATGAAGTGTGTGTATACTTAACCAGTGTTATTAACCTTTCATCCCAGTCCAGACAATATATATACAGCATCTAGTAGAACATTGACGTCATAACATCTGTCCATGTTGCCTATAATTGCTTGAATCTTTGGCATATACAAACATATTTCTTGAGTATATCAAAGATTGCTTAAATAAATGAGTTGAAAGAAATGAGTGATGGATGCAAGTTTTGAAGATAGAAACATCTGTTGCAAATCATTGGTTACATAAGGAAAATTGCATAAGGACAAATGTGAAAGAAAAGCAATCCAGTATAACCAGCATACGTTTAAGGTCCTCTTTCCATTAATTGTTCAACATGTATAGTCTAACTCTGTGACCCCCCCCCCCCTTTACTAGACACCTTCTCACACAGAGTAATGACTCAGGTGTGATTCATAATACAATGTCCCTTGGTATTGTGGCGTGTTTGATATGATGATGTGGAGGTCAACGGGAATGTCAGAAACTGTTTTTGCACATTGATCACATTCGGGAAGTTGGGGATTGAGGTCCCCCCTTTACTAGACACCTTCTCACACAGAGTAATGACTCAGGTGTGATTCATAATACAATGTCCCCTGGTATTGTGGTGTGTTTGATATGATGATGTGGAGGTCAACGGGAATGTCAGATGCTGTTTTTGCACATTGATCACATTCGGGAAGTTGGGGATTGAGGTCATGCAACATCAGGTTGTATTCTCCATATATTACTGGAAACCCCTTTCCATGGTTCTAGAATACAGAATGATAGGCTAAGAGCATGGAAATAAGACAATTACCATATTGAATGAAAGTGTAGGATATCTGATGCTTGTATGTATTTCTAAGGGGACACCCTCAATATTTGCTTAAGGTCAGGGTGCACTTTTATGAAATTTCATGACCATTCATCTACATCTTTTATTCTTGCACGAAAGATGCATTAGTATACCTAGACTATTAATTGAGGGTTGATAGTTCTTCGAATGTTTGAATAACTAGAATATACAGTGGTTTACTTTTCAAAATTGCAAAAACATTCCAACATGCACCGTGGCCTTAACTCAGAACAATTTCAAGCGTCAATATAACATTCTGGTAGCACTACCATAGGGCATTGTTCTGTCAAACCTTTGTCAATAAGTTTTCAGGCACAGGATCTTTTACTGAAAAGACTAACCCCTCCAGGACCCAATGGGATTAAGCCTTTTGACCGTCATCTAAATCTGAACTCTGATAGGTCAAAACGCCTGCTCTCCTTGTTCTCAATGTAATAAGAGTACAACTGATAGCTGACACAGTTTAAAGTTCAAATTGAAAATTGAAGATACTTTATCATCATAAGCTATTAAATGGATTGACCTTGAATCCCAAGCTATTAATAGTCAGAACAATACAAAACACTGAGTGAACAATATTGCACCGAAAATGAAAATGACACACAAATAAATACATTGTATGGTATTTTTATTTTCATAGCCTATCATCCCCAGATAAGTGATATTGATAATATACCTTTTGCATGATATAATTCTAGTCTGATCAGCATGAAAACAACAGTGTAAAATCGTCTGTTGTATTCAGAGGGTAGTGTAGTCATCTGATTGGGCATCAGGGTAACAGAGAGTTAGATGGAAATGTAATTTTTTTAAACCGCACCCTCTCCATCTCTGTCCTTCTTTGATGCAACAGAGAGATGCTATGAGTATCAGGATGCAACAAAAGTGAATCATTTGAAATTGAATATCACAGTCATACCATATTGTAATGGTACATTCAATTGTTACCAGGCAACATACAATTACAAACAAACAAATGAATGATGCAGGTGATCATGGGTATGATGTATCTAAATGGGTTATAAGTGTGAAAGGTGCAAATGTAAATTTACACTTCCCCAAGCTTGAGAATTACACAGAATAACAAGGCATTAACATGACAAAATGTCACCACCTAAAAAAAATTAGTCAATTTGAAGCAAGTTGAAAAAAGACCTATTTGACCTTGAGAAGGTCATTGAAGGTCAAAGGTCAAATCTAAAGTCAAATCTAAAGTCATATTTGAATTTCTGAGAACATGTAGATGATTTTGAAAAAAAAATTTAGTCAATTTGAAGCAAGATGAAAAAATACCTTTTTGACCTTTTTTGACATTGAGAAGGTCATTGAAGGTCAAATGTCGAATCTAAAGTCAGATTTGAATTTCTGAGAACATGTAGATGATTTTGAAAAAAAAATTTAGTCAATTTGAAGCAAGTTGAAAAAAGACCTTTTTGACCTTTTTTGACTTTGAGAAGGTCATTGAAGGTCAAATGTCAAATCTTAAGTCAAATCTAAAGTCAGATTTGAATTCCTGAGAACACGTAGATGATTTTGAAAAATTTTTTTAGTCAATTTGAAGCAAGTTGAACACAGACCTTTTTTGACCTTGAGAAGGTCATTGAAGGCCAAATCTCAAATCTTAAGTCAAATCTTATTTCTGAGAACACGTAGATGATTTTGAAAAAAAAATTTAGTCAATTTGAAGCAAGTTGAAAACAGACCTTTTTGACCTTTTTTGACCTTGAGAAGGTCATTGAAGGTCAAATGTCAAATCTAAAGTCAGATTTGAAGGTCAAATGTCAAATCTAAAGTCAAATCTAAAGTCAGATTTGAATTTCTGAGAACATGTAGATGATTTTGAAAAAAAATTTAGTCAATGTGAAGCAAGTTGAAAAAAAACCTTTTTGACCTTGAGAAGGTCATTGAAGGTCAAATGTCAAATCTAAAGTCAGATTTGAACTTCTGAGAACATGTAGATGATTTAGAAAAAAATTGAAGTCAGTCTAAACAGTATTTGTTAAGTTATAAGAAATTGTTACAGACGCCGGACGCCAACCTCCAACCGCCGGACGCCGGACGCCAACCTCCAACCGCCGTCGCAAAAAAACGGAGACCATAACAATATGTCACCACTTTTGGTGGTGACATAAAAATTAGCACATACGTGTTCTATACTATATGAACAAACAATTCAATAGTCACACCCCAAAGCAATAATAGCAATCGTTGAATCAAAGTCCTTTAAGGCAGACCAAGTATCAGAAATAATCATATCAGTGCTTACTGGTGTCAATTGCAAACAGGTCCAAAGTCATTTCACTCTACCTACCTTAAGGTAGTTCTGCTCTTACACAAGAAATGATAAATTCAAACAAGGCATTAACATGACAAAATGTCACCACCTAAAACAATTTGGTCAATTTAAAGCAAGTTGAAAAAATACCTCTTTGACTTTTTTTGACATTGAGAAGGTCATTGAAGGTCAAATGTCAAATGTAAAGATTTGAATTTCTGAGAACATGTAGATGATTTTGAAAAAAAAATTAGTCAATTTGAAGCAAGTTGAAAAAAGACCTTTTTGACCTTTTTTGACCTTGAGAAGGTCATTGAAGGTCGAATGTCAAATCTAAAGTCATATTTGAATTTCTAAGAACATGTAGATGATTTTGAAAAAAAAATGTAGTCAATTTGAAGCAAGTTGAAAAAAGACCTTTTTGACCTTTTTTGAAAAGGTCATTGAAGGTCAAATGTCAAATCTTAAGTCAAATCTAAAGTCAGATTTGAATTTCTGAGAACACGTAGATGATTTTGAAATTTTTTTAGTCAATTTGAAGCAAGTTGAAAACAGACCTTTTTGACCTTTTTTGACCTTGAGAAGGTCATTGAAGGTCAAATGTCAAATCTTAAGACAGATTTGAATTTCTGAGAACACGTAGATGATTTTGAAAAAAAAAAAAAAATTAGTCAATTTGAAGCAAGTTGAAAACAGACCTTTTTGACCTTTTTTGACCTTGAGAAGGTCATTGAAGGTCAAATGTCAAATCTAAAGTCAGATTTGAAGGTCAAATGTCAAATCTAAAGTCAGATCTGGATTTCTCAGAACATGTAGATGATTTTGAAAAAAAATTTAGTCAATGTGAAGCAAGTTGAAAAAAGACCTTTTTGATCTTGAGAAGGTCATTGAAGGTCAAATGTCAAATCTAAAGTCAGATTTGAACTTCTGAGAACATGTAGATGATTTAGAAAAAAATTGAAGTCAATCTAAACAGTATTTGTTAAGTTATAGGAAGTTGTAAGAAATTGTTACAGACGCCGGACGCCAGACGCCGGACGCCAACCACCAACCGCCGTCGCAAAAAAACGGAGACCATAACAATATGTCACCACTTTTGGTGGTGACATAAAAATCAGGAATATCTCAATTCCCGTGTCAATTCAACCATTAATCAAAAATATTCTGATTTAGAACAATGCATTCAATAATATCCACATAAAATTGTGAGAAATGCACCAATTATTTGCAGTTATAATCATGAAAACTACACAAAAATTCTAATCATGCAATATACCTTAATGAATATACACGGTCATATTTATTTTCAATATTTGTTGTTATATAATGCCCATGCCCATAAGGGTGTGTGCTCATACAAACAATGATTCCATCAATGTCAAGGATATAGTTCAACCAACTTTAGACAATATTTTGATACTGACGACTGAGCATGGTACACCGAAACCTGTATATACGAACACTTCTTTAATCTAAACATCTCTCAATGTGAACACTTATTTTCTCACTCCCAAAACTCTGTTATCTCCCATTAATTATGAAACCTTGAAATGTGAACACCTCCTAATCTGATCACTTTTGACCAGTCCCATATAGGTGTTCAGATTAGACAGGTTTTACTGTATTTGGTTTTATCATAGTTTTATTTCTCACAATGGCTAGGTTTAATTGAAGACCAACCATATCATTCTCAAAATTCATTTTGTTCGTTGCATACCTTCACTACCTCTCTGACGTTAAAATAGTTCTAAAATTCCCGGGGCACAATCTGAGAAAGCTTCAGAAATTATTTCGATCTGTAATACTTAATCAACAACGCCAAAACTTAAATATACTATAAATCATAACGTCTACAAATGAATTTACCGTCGAAATTGGTGATCAATGTTGTATTTGATGTGTTTTTAGGTAAAGTCTCGGTGGAGCAACAAATTATAAAATCTCAAGATCGATAATAACTGGGTTCAACATTACTACACGTTTTCTGGCGGTGACAAAATTTTCTAAACACACTTCAAATAATATTATGTTAATTTCTGACGAGTGAACCAATATCACAACTTGTTATCTAACAACAAAATAAAGAAATATGTAAGATATTCAATGTTATCGATTAAAACATCACATCGCCATGTGGTATTTGTTTATTAGACATTGAAAATTACGAATATGGGGGTGACGTCACTTCAATACGAACTGCATAGCAATGGTGTTATAAACAATTTCTTGCAAATTCCTAAGCATTCACTTATTTTTAACAGTTTGTTACGAATTACTTTAATAATATTTTATCTACGAATGAATTCTTACTACATTAGAAACAAACATTTCATAAAATATAGTGAATAAAATCAGTAGCAAATGCGAAGGAATGTATTTTTTGAAGTAGGTCAAAACTTTTAGAAAGGTAAATTTCGCGGGAATTTAAAGAACTGCATGAGGTAAGTAAAGGAGGCATGGATTGCACTGAACGAAAGGCTCAGAGATTGCAACCACATATAGTTCATATAGTTTAAAAAGTATCACAAATTCAAAAATGGCCATTGGCTTACTTTGGCTCCTCGTGGAGTGTTCAATTATAAGTAAAAATGTTCTTTTATACTCATTCTGCATAGTATGTGCCTAAAATTTAATATTCCAGAACATTTTTGAAAATTTATGAAAGTACCATGCTGAACTATTTATATAGGTTTATTAGCACAGTCTTTGTGCAAATTTAAAAGATGTAGACCATGTATGGAGTAAGTTCTATAGGTATGTACCCGAAAATAACATGGGACTCCATTATTAGAAAGACATTAAAATCTCTGAATGTATGGACAATGGATATCTTAGTTTTCAGTGCTAGTGTCAGCCAGCATTGTTTCGTAAATGCAAAAAAATGCATGAAAGAATGATACTATTTGCCATAATATTTCAAACATATAATTATACAATTCATCATTCCTAAAATAGATTATTGATGAATAAATAAAAAAGTGCAAAATAATTCCTGCGTAAATAAAAAAATACAAAATTAGAAAAACATACCTTTTATTCTAATTAATCCTAATCCGTTGACACACTAAAAGGCGCCTTGTTGATTCTACAACAGTCAGACGTTTACTACTACACTGTTCTTTGTCCGGCACTGCTTACTGTAAAAAAAAAAAAAACTGGGAAGGTTATTGAGGTCAACTAGCCTCTCTAGCCAATAACATAACTGGAATAAAGATGAGACCTTGGAAGAAGGTTACTGGGTTACTGTAAAACATGATTTTCCTAAAAAATTACATAACCCATAAAAACTATGAATTGTAATTTGAATTAATTTCATATTTAAAGTATAAAATTCTCAGAGAGAAACAGTGATATGAACTGCACTCTTTTTATCATAAAGAAATACATCTTCGTGAAACAGAGTGAAGTTTACTTTGTAATATACTCTATAGTGGACTTGAAGATACCTGGTTTTACAATTACAGTAGTCATATACTGTATTTAGTAGTCATATACTGTATTTCCAATGAGATCATCCAATGAACTCTATTGCAAGGTTATGCCATAAAAAAAGAAGAACTTTCAATTGGAATAATTTCAACTCCACATATTATCTCGGCAACTGCTAGTATACTTACTCAGGACTATATGCCTCCGATTCTTAACATGAAAGAATTCATTTATATTCTCACATTTAGTTGTGCTTTGCAAAAATATTTATTTGATTTTAATGTTTGAAGTGGTTTTTCTTCAATCCCCATCTTCATATACATATACCGATAAATATGTGGAGTGTTTTAAAAAAATGCTACAAAAATTTTGTGTAGACTTACAAATATGTTAATTTGATTTACATTTTAATGCTTGAATAACCACAATAGCATTAACATTTTTATTGCACTTGAAAAAGTGCTATAATTTAAAGTTGCAGTCATTACTGTTCAAGTGACAGAGGGTACTGCATTAGGCCCAACCAAAAATTCTTTAAAAATATGCAGTTTTTCACCATTGTGAGCATTGATTCTCAAGTGATTTCAGTAAAATTTGAATCTGGCTACTGGCCTGTATACTATAGTTCATTGGGAAAACCATCTTTAGAGTAAACTTCCCATGACACCATTTAAAACACATAATTAGTTGGAATATAATTCCACAATATGAAAAAGTGTTTCTCGGCTGTTGTTTTCCACTGAAGTCTAAAACAGTTAAACACAAACAGACATATACCTAGTTTCCTGACCGACTGACCTTGCATTGCCGGCATATGGACAAATATGTTTACCTTATGAGGCCACCTGCACTCTGAATGTACTAAAACCATCTATGTACCTGAAGTTCTTTTGGTATGTGACATCCTAGGGACCGTGTATAACTGCTACTAGGGGGTGGGGTCAATGTTCAGATTTCTATATCACCACATCCAGTCCTTAATTGATTTAACCTGTTTAATTAAGTCTAATCTGTATATTGTGCAAAATAAAACAACAATAAACACAGGATTGTAATAAATAAAAAAAATATGATATAACTACATAATGAAACTAATCTAAAAAGACATTTACAACGAACAAGTCTCTCAGTGGGGCATGTAGGTTAAATATTAGGTCACTTTTTAAGGCCAAGCAACTGACATATGTGAACCTCAATCAGGCATCCTTGGAAAGATATCCACCCCCTCAAGAAATCTGACATGGCAATTCTCTCCCAGAGAAAACAAACAAAGTAAAGTCTGAAATGTCTCCAGTTTCCAGACATGAAAATACATTGTTATATGTTACATAATATCAATGCAGTGAGAGTGGTTGATCATGTCGAAGAAAATTGGAAATAATTGTTGGTGGTTATTTCTGTAAGGGTTGGTATGAGGGGAGCTAAGGACAAGGTCTATTTTGTATATAAACAAATATTCTTAAAATACAATTCATATAGAACTTAAAATTTATTAAAGGCATGGTAACAGTATTCTCAGTATACACAAACTACATATATACCGTTATATGTACATGTGCATTGATCGACTGAGGGGGCTCCTCAAGTAGTATTTTAGTGTGACAAGTGACAATTTTGGAATTTTAAAAGTGAAAAAAGCAACCTCACTACCCCCTCTTGTGGAGCCCTACAGAGATATTGTGTTGTGATGTTTGCAATGTTATATATCTCTTTTCTGAAGCACATTTCAATTTCCTCTATATTTAATTTGTATGACATCATAATATCACAGTATACAGGAACTTGTTTTCGTCAGACAGAAAAGTCTGTTTATGGTTTGAATTTTATCTTATAATAGAGTGGGCTCATTTTCATAGTTTTTACATCTCATGACAAAATGCAGTTCATCTTCAACACAATTATCTGAACATTGACAAAATGCAGTTCATCTTCAACACAATTATCTGAACATTGACAAAATGCAGTTCATCTTCAACATAATTATCTGAACATTATCATTTACATCTTTATATTTTTGGTCTTCAGGCCTCAATCTGAGAATGCATTTTCTAGGTTGAATCAGTAAGTTGCATATCATTTATATCAATGTCAATACTTTTCAGTAACTTTACAATGAAATTGAAACACAGACTGCACCCGAATGAACACTATGATATGACATTGGTAGCCTACTAGTCTCACGCAATATTGCAAGGTTACTGCAGTTGTGTTTGACATAAAGAAGCCATCTGCAGCACTTTATTTGTATATCTTCAATTTTCTTTTTAAACAATCTTTTGCATTTTTCTGTGTGCCTCAAATTTTCAGAATTGTAGAGTAATACTGATTTTATACAAGCATCAAATAAATGAAGAGTTAACTTTACAGATCTAATATTTGCAGAATAGAGAGTTGATTTTAAGCTAAACCAGGACTTTTGAGCTTTAAGTGCCAATTCTTGGCTGACAGTATCTAGACCTTTTTTGAGAATACTATGCTATGCTAGTTAACACTACACAGTAAAACCTGTCGGATCAATTTTGTACATTAAAACTATATATTTATTGGTGTACCAGTCTCTGACATTTGAGGTATCTCTTAATAATTCAAAAACAAAAAACAAGTACCCCCCCCCCCTATTCATATATTAAAAATTTATAGTCAGTATTAGCGTAAGTATTTGAATGGTAGAATATACCAATCCTTAAGTTTCTGTAAAAAAAATTCATGTCAATACCATAATGTTGTTCCTTCTAAAAAAGTTGCAAAATTTTATGGCACACCCTGTACAGTATTCCATCTGCTGCTAGATCAGCATGTGTCAGGAGTAGAACTGAAGTCTTCATACCAAACAGTCAACAAGTTAGTTTTTACACATTGACTAATTACTACTCAATCAAATCTTTAAATTGACACACTATTAACCCACATCCTTAACCTTAAAATTCATTAAGCCATCTGTCAATCAAGTTGGTTAATTAATACATACAGTGAAACCTGTAAAGTTGAACACCTATATAAGTGTAACACCTCTGTTAGTGGAACACATTTCAGAGTGACTTAATGTTTAATGGAGCTCTATAAGTGGAACACCTTTTTAGAGGTACCAAAGGTGTTCTACTGAGTTTCCAACCCAGTCAGTGAAAGTTGGCCCTCGGTGCCTTTCTTTTGATACTTTTAGCAAACAGCTTTTCCTGCCAGATTTGGTTTTATACTGTATACTATTTGGCATCTGGGCATTTTTCAGTTTGACTTAAACATCTATTCAGAACCTTGAAAGACTAGGATCCATGCCCTATAGTATACCTAACAATGCCATAAAGTATCCCTAACCATGCCTTTTAGTATACCTAACCATGCCCTAGTATACTTAAGTAACTTAACCGTTAACTTAAGTAAACCTCCAGGAATGTACCTTCATACTGTTGAACAATGCTGTCAGACCAACATAATATGTCAAATTCATAGGAAATGGTGGCTATCATAAACTGAGTGACCATTTTTTGGAATTGAATTCTTTCTGAAGCAAAGGTCTTAGACCCATACATGGTATCAGCCTGTAAAATGAACCAAAACTGACAGCGATTATATGAGTTACATGCCTGTAGCCAGCTTTTTGTAAGGGGGGGCTCGAACCCCCCCCCCCCCCCGCAAACCGCCCCCCCCCCCAAAAAAAAAAATTCCCCATGCTAAACCAAGCCCCTTTGTATTGTAAAGGACAATGGCGGATCCGGAAGCTAACAAGGGGGACCGTCACTTCAAGTCATAAAAGCACGAAGAAACTTTTTAGGTCCCTAAAACCAAAATTTGGGCCAAAATTTAGAAAATCTATGGCAAGTTCTTTGAAAATTCGGCCTAAAATTGAAAAGATAAGGCCCAAAAAAGGTCAAGTAATGCCCAAAAGGCCCACTAAAGAGGCCCTACAATATTTTTGGGCCAACATTTTTTTCTGGGCCAATCCTATGGCCGCGGGGAAAACCTTTTGGGGCCCTAGAACCAAAATTTTGAAAATTTATGGCCCGTTTTTTGAAAATTTGGCCTAAAATTGAAAAAAAATAAGGCCCAAAAAGGTCAAGTAAAAAGGTCAAGTAAAGGCCAACTAAATAGACCCTACAATTTTTTGGCTAACACTTTTTTTCTAGGCCCATCCTAGGCCCTCGCGTAAAATTTTTAGGGCCCTAAAACCAAATTTGAAAATTTGGCCATGAATTAAAAAAAAATATAGCCCAAAAAGGTCAATTAATGCCCAAGGAGGCCCATTAAAGAGGCCCTACAATATATTTGTGCCAACGTTTTTTTCTGGGCCCATCCTATGGCTGCGCGGAAAACCTTTTAGGGCCCTAGAACCAAAATTTGGGCCAATATTTTGAAGATTTATGGCCCGTTTTTTGAAAATTTAGCCTGAAATTGAAGAAAATAAGGCCCATAAAGGTCAAGTAAAAAGGTCAAGTAAAGGCCAGCTAAAGAGGCCCTACAATATTTTTGGCCCAACATTTTTTTCTTGGCACATCCTAGGGCCGCGCATAAAAATTTTTAGGGCCCTAAAACCAAAATTCGGGCCAAAGTTTTGAAAATTTTTAGCCCGTTATTTGAAAATTTCGCCTGAAATTGAACAAAATAAGGCCAAAAAGGTCAAGTAATGCCCAAAAAGGCCCACTTAAAAGGCCCTGCAATATTTTGGGCCAACATTTTTTTCCGGGCCCATCCTAGGGGGGGGGGCGGCCCCATGCTCCATGCTGGAACCGCCAGAAGGCTATGTTTAACAAAACACCGAGGACGATCCTAAAAAAAACAGAGAGGGAAAGGGGCACAAATATGTCCGCAATAAAAAATTGGGACAAATTTTGAAAAATAATGCCCAAATTCGAAAAACAATGCACAGTAATGCCAGTTTTTTAATCTTAATTGCCCAGTGAATGTGGGGAAGAGCAAGTTTTTCCTCAAGGAAGCAAAAAGGTAGGTCCACATTTTTTTAGGAGATATCAGGGGGGGGGGCTCGTACGAGCCCCCAGAGCCCCCCTGGCTACGGGCCTGAGTTATCATCTGACTTATCATCTTGTCAGATGACACAGTACATGTGGTGCAGTCCAGCCACAAACCGCAATTGAAACCAAAGGGAATTTGTGAACAAAATTTATTTTTATTGAATTTCATTGAGATGTAACATACCAATCTCAACTGTCATAACTTCTCTAAACGTTAAATACATGCTACATTTGAATATACGAGGGTTGATCCAAAGTTCTAAAAATCTTAATATTGTAACTTCAGATTAAATGTAATAAAGACCATTAAATTCTCCAACTTTTGGAATGTTACAGATGGTTCATAAATGTGTTCTTATTTCTAGTATTTCTATTTCTGGAATAATATACTTCATTTTATGGCCTGACCCTGTATGTAGTTATATTTGCAAACATTTATATGAACATTTTTAGAAGGTTTATTTCCTTTAACTTCTGGTTCAAGAGTTCCTACAGAACTTGGTTGGTAGTTGATTTAATATGTCACAGTTTTGTCTTCATTCGCATACGTTCACAGTTTGCTAATTGCTAATGAAAAACTTTAATAAATATCTGTGATAGTTACATTTAGTTAAGCTGGTAAATAGCTAGCAGTACCAAGATTCAATTGATTGAAAAGGATCTTGATTTTCTCATATTGCTAATTGGCAAATAAGCCATCTCTCCTTTTATAGACAATATCAAACATTACATCAGAATATCCCAGCTCACTTCAAAACATTTATTTCATAATATGTTCTACTGATATTTACCATTTTATATAATTGCTTTAAGTACCAATGGATAATTCTTGTTCATTTACAAGTGTGATTTGATATTTTTATTCATACTGAACAAAATAGTGCAGTATATTGTCTCGTAATGTTATTGTTTTTAGCATAATATTACTATTATTTAGAGTCAGGAGCACAGTCAGAAGAAGTGCTATTTTTCTTTTTTCACATTGCAACTTTAATATTTCTTTTACAAATCAATTTTGTAACAACTATTGTCCACTCAGATTTTAGTTTAATAGGAATGTCCTTGGAAGACTCTGCAATGGCTTTATTTGTCACATGTTAAGTCGTTCCTTAAGAAGCGCCCAGGCTTTTTCCACCTAAAAATCAATAAAACTTATCCTAATAACATGCATATGTTAAAGAGGCAACAAAGACGACTAGAAGAATGCTATGAGTCACATAACAATATAGGGTTTGTATGTTATGTAACATTTTACACTCTTTATTCTTTGTTGCCACTTTATTTTTCCATTCTAACAGGCCAGTTGGCTTCCAAATAGGGATTGCAAAATTGTGAACTGTGCATTTTTGGCACTATTACCTAAATATTTACAAATGTTGACAAAGATTTTGCAATTACATGTAGCTCAAAAAGCCATAAAAAGCTTAAATGATTTTCAAACAAAAGGTCATTTTCTAAACAATGTTTGGGGACCCCACTTATCTAATGCTCTTATCAAATTAGATTGTTTCTCGTCATACAGTATTTTCAAATAACTTGAATGCTTAATGGTAGATCACCCAGGTGCCAAACTTTATCATATGCCAATGTTCTGAATCAAATAGATACCAGAGGGGTAGGTTGGATTGAACTCAATTGCTTGAAATGATGAAATAATTCACAAATTGGAACAGTTAAAATAAAATTATTAAACTTTTTGCAACAAATAACATTTAAAGCTTACCTGGACTTGTGTGACTTGGTATTCCCACTGTGAACATAAGACAACATTGGCTTGTTCAACACGTGCTTCATTCACCATCTGAGACTGGATCCTTTGTATCGCTTGCTCCTCACTTAGTTTATTGCGTTCAACAATTCTCCTCACAGCCTGGAACAGAGGATATGTTTTAGGCTGACATAAAGATGACAACTGTGTTGTTTATGAGTTCATAAGGGTGGTAAAGTTGGAATATAATCAGGTTCGGAAAATAAGGAAAATATGGCCAATAATGAGAGCTGGGGATGGCTGGGGGGAGAAACAGATCTGAATTTTCAAACGAACAAAAAAGTGTTTTTTGCTTCTAGGTTCTTCTAGGTAGGCTAGGCTTCTAGGTAGAATAAGGTAGAATAATTCAGTACTTCTTTTCAAAATTGATGATTTCTCAACAAATAAACTGTCAGTGAACATATGTTTCAAAGACAATTGATACTGTGGCAGTTTGCAGTATGAAATTGATGCTACAGCATACCTCTTGTTGTGAGAGTATAGTGGCCCACACCTCATGTACAATACTATCCCAACCCGCCTCTAGCAACACAGCAGCATCTAGCACCACAATATGGCATCCTACAGCCATAAAAATATAATAATAAATATTACTTCACCATGATTACCATCCACTCATGGATATACAGCTTCTACCAATTAAACTGAAGGCAATACAAAATTGAAGTCAATATTAAACTGTAGTCAATAATACATTGTACTCAATAATAAACTCAAGACAATACTAAACTGTAGTCAATATTAAAGGGTTGTCAATAATACAATGTAATTAAAAATAAACTATAGTCAATAATACACTGTAGTCAATAATACACTGTAGTCAATAATAAACTGTGTTCAACAAGACACTGTAGTCAATAATAAACTGTGTTCAACAATACATTGTAGTCAATAACAAACTCAAGACAATACTAAACCGTAGTCAATATTAAAGGGTTGTCAATAATACACTGTAATTAATAATGAACTGTAGTCAATAATACACTGTAGTCAATAATAAACTGTGTTCAACAATACATTGTAGTCAATAATAAACTCTGGACAATCACAGATACTAGTTTTCTGCATGAAAAAAATCAAAATTCTGCAAAAAAAAAAGCAAATTCTGCAAGGAGAAAATCGAAATTCTGCACAAATTTTCAAAAAAGTCCAAATTCTGCAATCTTTTAAAACGATGAAAATTGACGTAAATTCACAAACCTATCCATCGAAAACGGAAACAGAAGTCAGCTACTTTCTAGGTAAGAACTGCGCGTCATTAGCGAACTCGCTTTAGCGAATTTAAACGTGATAGAATGTTGAATTTCACGGTGAAATCGTACTTGTACTCAATAATGATTGATTGTTGGACATAAACAGACACTCTTCAAATACCCCGCAAAGGTAGGAGATCGTAAAGTATGTAATTTCTGGAAATTCTGGTAATTCCGCTGGATTTTCATGAAAATCAGGGATTCTGCAAAAAATTGAAGTTTTGTCAAAATCCGTCCACGCCGCGGAATTACGGAATACTAGTATCTATGGACAATACTAAACCATAGTCAATATTAAAGGGTTGTCAATAAAACACTGTAATTAAAAATAGAATGAAGTCAATTATACACAGAAATGAATTGAAATAATTAACTGTAATCAATCATAAAAATCACAAGCTTACCATTTGCATGGTGCTGCTGTATCTGAGCCTGGGCCAACTTCAGAATGGCAGGCCACACTATTGCATTTAATTTCTCTAGCTTACTCTGAAAAATTCAATTCAAACATAAATCTTATTGATATAACAAATAGTCATTTGCTTCTTTGTTACTTCATAGTAAACTCTTTTAAAATACAACATTTTCATTTGCATGGTGCTGCTGTATCTGAGCTTGTGCCAACTTCAGAATGGCAGGCCACACTATTGCATTTAATTTCTCTAGCTTACTCTGAAAAAACTAAACTCTTTAAAAATAGAACATTTTCAACTGATATTGGTGTAAAAGGCAACATGTTTAAAATATTCTTGTACTTATAGATACAAAGGGAGCATCATAAGGATTGAAGGCTTCAGGCCCGTAGCCAAGGGGGATTCAGGGGGTTCGGACGAACCCCCCCCCCCCACTGGCCAAAATTTCTATCAAAATCATGCAGTTTTTCACCATTCTGACTATTTTTTGAGTGATTTTTGGCCAAAGTGAACCCCCCCTAGAATTTTTTGGAAAAGTGAACCCCCTTGGAAAATTCTGGCTACGGGCCTGGGCTTACTAGTCAAAACTGAATTAATCTAAGTCAATTTCCTCAACATGCTGAAAGAATCAGCTGGTTCATTAGTTCATAGTATCTAGTGCTGACACTGCACCATGTTAATACATTACATAACTTTTTGATGTTTGGGTAAATCATTTGGTATTGTATAATGGATATCATCTATTTTGTTTTTGCTACATTACTGATCATCTGATATAGGCTGTTTAGAAGAGGATACAGTACAGCGATAAATATGCACTGAATGGATGACACTATACTCTGTTCTAATGACTTAACATGCAACATGTTAGCTCCTGCCATTTGTTACAGACACCAACTGATGAGGACCAACACCCGAACATCAACTGCCAAACAACATCCACAAAAAATTTGGAGACTATAACAATCCAGTAAACCATGCCAGCTGTTGGTTTTGATATCATTCTTACACTTTCAAGGTTAAAATTGGATTAAATTATTGCTTATTTTCAAAAACTTTGTTTAATTAACAATTAACAATTTTGTTTAAAAAAACATTGCTCACTTCAAGGTATACATTCATGTGTTAAATCATAATGTAATGATATACTACCTTGTCAGCAAACACCTTTGGACCTAAAGCCTTTCTGTTAATTTCACCATCTTCCCCAACAACATCATCTCCAAACTCCTTTACCACACTGTCAAATGCCTCTGTGCCCTTGGTATAAGCAGAATGTCCTGGAAATAATCATATACAAGCATGTATGCAGAGATAACAACTCAGATCTTATTTTTTCTATTGTTCACAGGATGTGATGTACATGCAGGCCCGTAGCCAGGGGGGTTCGCAGGGTTCGGGCGAACCCCCCCCCCCCCCCCGGCCAAAAATTCTTTCAAAATCATGCAGTTTTCCACCATTTTGAGCACTTCTCAAGTGATTTTATCCATATTTGGGCCAAAATTGTCAAATGTGAACCCCCCTGGAAATTTTTGAAAACTCAACCCCCCATGACAAATCCTGGCTACGGGCCTGACATGTACATGTATTCTAAAGAATACACTTGGTACATGAAGCATACATGTAGGAAAAAGTATGACATGTAGAATGTTTATGAAAATTTATATGAAGGCTTTCATACTGGCTTACAGCATAAACAAAAGTCATTCTACTATGGGCTCCTCGAGCCTCTTTCAAATGATGGGGTCTCAGCCAGGGTTCATGAATTGTAACTTATAATTCCTAGAAAACCATTGTCTAAAGTCTTAGACTTGCAACCAATTGAAAGTAAGGACAGTTTCAAATATGATTCCCTGCGTCATGCCCATCATTGGTTATCTTATCAAGTTACTGGACGTCATTTCTCAAATTAATTCCTGATGATGTACTGCATTATTCTTACCAAGTTTATCACAATCAACAATAGCAGCGCCAAGTTTCTCCAGTCGTTGAGCTATAGATGACTTTCCTGTAGCGATACCTCCAGTCAGCCCAATTATATATGGTCCGCTTTCAGATTTATATGGCTAAAAGTACAAAGAATCAAGGTTATTCAGTGCAAATCTAAGTAAAAATGGCTGCCTCAACATTTACTCAGCATGCATAAAAACTAATCAAATTCTTAATAGTCATAACAAGTGACATTCCTGAGAGCAAATTTGAAAACTGAGCAAATATAAAAAATCAGATGCCACCACCTTTCTAATCTCAAACCTGCTGTTGTTATAATGTTATGGAGCTTGAGTTATGATGTTAGGTGGCATCATCTTATGCTCTGAACACACGAGAACAAAATAATTAATTTATCTCATCCATCCTTAAAAATGCCCTTATAAGGAATCATACCATATTTGTTAAGCTAAAAATGCAAAGTGAAGTACCACCCTATGCAGACAGAGCCTGTGGGAAATATTGGGTGCGGAGCAAATGAGCGGAGGGTGCGGAGCTAACGGTCATTTTTGAATTTAAAATTGGGATATTTCTGAAACTAAGCCGTTTTGGGACTTCAAATATACCAAGATATGTGTATTTGACACCAAATATCAATAAAATTGTGAAAATAGTAGTGCAATTCATTTTATAGCGACGCAGTATGCCTTAAACATTTCCCAGACCTATATATTTTGAGACTATCCTTTTAATACGGCGTCCCCAGCATTCATAAAAAATGGTGTTCAAGATACACTACCCATGCAAATTATTTTTGCATCTTGTAAGCCAGGCAGTATCTGTGTGATTTTATAAAAATTCGGAAATGTTCTTCAGATATGAGCCCCTCTAAATATTGGGTGCGGAGCTACGTTTATGGAGCTGCTCCGCACCCAATATTTAGAGGGGCTCATATCTGAAGAACATTTCCGAATTTTTATAAAATCACACAGATACTGCCTGGCTTCCAAGATGCAAAAATAATTTGTATAGATAGTGCACCTTGAACACCATTTTTTATGAATGCTGGGGACTCAGTATTAAAAGGATAATTTCAAAATATATAGGTCTGGGAAAGGTTTAAGGCACACTGCGTCGCTATAGAATGAATTGCGCTACTATTTTCACAATTGTATTGATATTTGTTGTCAAATACACATATCTTGGCATATTTGAAGTCCCAAAACGGCTTAGTTTCAGAAATATCCCAAATTTAAATTCAAAAATAACCGTTAGCTCCGCACCCTCCGCTCATTTGCTCCGCACCCAATATTTCCCACAGGCTCTGTCTGCATAGGGTGAGTACTGGCCCACATAACAGAACAAAAGCAAAAGTAAATTAAAAATACACAAGTGGACGCTTTGTAAAAACAAATCTGTTTCATTTTACTCTGCTCACCCTAACCCTAGCAAAGCTAAATAACTTACTTTTGGTGGTTTCAGTAATGTTCCTAGTAAACGTCTCCTCTGAGAAGATGAGCTGATCTTGACCTCCTCATCATCCCCATGGTGAACATCCTCTAGTAGATCTATAACATGTACATCTAGCTTGCTCAGCCCCTGTAAATATTGTGTATAATATAAATGTACATCTAGCTTGCTCAGCCCCTGTAAATATTGTATATAATATGAATGTACATCTAGCTTGCTCAGCCCCTGTAAATATTGTATATAATATGAATGTATATCTAGCTTGCTCAGCCCCTGTAAATATTGTATATAATATGAATGTACATCTAGCTTGCTCAGCCCCTGTAAATATTGTATATAATATGAATGTATATCTAGCTTGCTCAGCCCCTGTAAATATTGTGTATAATATAAATGTACATCTAGCTTGCTCAGCCCCTGTAAATATTGTATATAATATGAATGTACATCTAGCTTGCTCAGCCCCTGTAAATATTGTATATAATATGAATGTATATCTAGCTTGCTCAGCCCCTGTAAATATTGTATATAATATGAATGTACATCTAGCTTGCTCAGCCCCTGTAAATATTGTATATAATATGAATGTATATCTAGCTTGCTCAGCCCCTGTAAATATTGTATATAATATGAATGTACATCTAGCTTGCTCAGCCCCTGTAAATATTGTATATAAAATGAATGTACATCTAGCTTGCTTAGCCCCTGTAAATATTGTATATAATATGAATGGACATCTAGCTTGCTCAGCCCCTGTAAATATTGTATATAATATGAATGTACATCTAGCTTGCTCAGCCCCTGTAAATATTGTATATAATATGAATGTACATCTAGCTTGCTCAGCCCCTGTAAATATTGTATATAATATGAATGTACATCTAGCTTGCTAATGGCCTAGTCACATAGCCCGGCCGATGAGGTTACGATGAGCCAGCGATGCAATTTTCACCGAACTCAGCCGAACACCGGCCGGACACCGGCCGGACATCCTTGGCGTTTGTTGCTTTAAACCGCATCGGTGGTAGCTCGGTGAAATTTTAACTTTGGAGTTAAATTTCACCGGGCTCTCACCGAGCTCCCTCATCATGTCATCGCAGCCCCATCGTAACCACATCGGAAAACATGTCGGCCGGTGCACGGCCGAGTATCGGCCGGTGTCCCGTGTATCTGAGACAACCAGATGACGAGGTTTTATAACGGACAGCGGCCGAGCTCCGACCGAGCTCCGGCCGATGTGGGACAGAGCATCGGCCAGTCACTGTTCAAAGCCCGTTAACAACCCGGCCGGCGATCGCACGGTGTCCTGTTACCTGCTCGGGTACCGGCCGTATTCCTTCCGATGTCCGGCCGACCTCCGGCCGGTAGTTGCTGCCACATCGGCAGAAAAAAACTACCATTTTGAGACAGACTCCGTACGGTCACCGGCCGGTGTTCGGTCGGTCGCCTGAAGATGTCCGGACGGAGTCCGTTCAAGTCACCGAGCTCTGCTTCCGATGAGGAGAGCTCGGTGGCACCAAAAAAATCCACCGAGCTCTACCGATGCCGGACATCGGCCGGGCTATGTGACTAGGCCATAAGCCCCTGTAAATATTGTATATAATATGAATGTACATCTAGCTTGCTCAGCCCCTGAAAATATTGCATATAATATGAATGTACATCTAGCTTGCTCAGCCCCTGTAAATATTGTATATAATATGAATGTACATCTAGCTTGCTCAGTCCCTGTAAATATTGTATATAATATGAATGTACATCTAGCTTGCTCAGCCCCTGTAAATATTGTATATAATATGAATGTACATCTAGCTTGCTCAGCCCCTGTAAATATTGTATATAATATGAATGTACATCTAGCTTGCTCAACCCCTGTAAATATTGTATATAATATGAATGTACATCTAGCTTGCTCAACCCCTGTAAATATTGTATATAATATGAATGTACATCTAGCTTGCTCAGCCCCTGTAAATATTGTATATAATATGAATGTACATCTAGCTTGCTCAGCCCCTGTAAATATTGTATATAATATGAATGTACATCTAGCTTGCTCAACCCCTGAAAATATTGTATATAATATGAATGTACATCTAGCTTGCTCAGCCCCTGTAAATATTGTATACAATATGAATGTACATCTAGCTAGCGCAGCCCCTGTAAATATTCTATATAATATGAATGTACATCTAGCTTGCTCAGCCCCTTTAAATATTGTATATAATATGAATGTACATCTAGCTTGCTCAACCCCTGTAAATATTGTATATAGTATGAATGTACATCTAGCTTGCTCAGCCCCTGTAAATATTGTATATAATATAAATGTACATCTAGCTTGCTCAGCCCCTGTAAATATTGTATATAATATGAATGTACATCTAGCTTGCTCAGCCCCTGTAAATATTGTATATAATATGAATGTACATCTAGCTTGCTCAGCCCCTGTAAATATTGTTTATAACATGAATGTACATCTAGCTTGCTCAGCCCCTATAAATATTGTATATAATATGAATGTACATCTAGCTTGCTCAGCCCCTGTAAATATTGTATATAATATGAATGTACATCTAGCTTGCTCAGCCCCTGTAAATATTGTATATAACATGAATGTACATCTAGCTTACTCAGCCCCTGTAAATATTGTATATAATATGAATGTATATCTAGCTTGCTCAGCCCCTGTAAATATTGTATATAATATGAATGTACATCTAGCTTGCTCGGCCCCTGTAAATATTGTATATAATATGAATGTACATCTAGCTTGCTCAGCCCCTATAAATATTGTATATAATATGAATGTACATCTAGCTTGCTCAGCCCCTGTAAATATTGTATATAATATTAATGTACATCTAGCTTGCTCAGCCCCTGTAAATATTGTATATAATATGAATGGACAACTAGCTTGCTCAGCCCCTGTAAATATTGTATATAATATGAATGTACATCTAGCTTGTTCAGCCCCTGTAAATATTGAATATAATATGAATGTACATCTAGCTTGTTCAGCCCCTGTAAATATTGAATATAATATGAATGTAAATGATTGCACAAGAGACCACTGAGTATTACATGAGGTCTGTTATTGTTAATAAATGTACATATGAGGCACTCTTCTTGGTGGTGACATAAAAATTGTATTTACAATTAAAGGCCGAGTTCCGGGAAAAATTAACACAATTGAACATGTTGAACAACTAATATACATACTTTTTGTGGCTTGGTTGAATGGCTACTCATCCCAAGTTCCGATGTGCCTCATCAAGAAGACGATAGAGTGACAAAGATTATGTCAAGCGGGGTTTATAATTTTTGTGCAAATTTTCTTCTTGGATCGAAAAATTTCATTTTAATTCGATTAACTTACGATAGGTGGCAAAAGGTCTAAAGGTAGGTCACGTGACACAAAACAACGAATCATATGACACGAAACAATGATTCATTCGCCAGATGGCGCAGTTGAATGAGGTCAATTTTACGACAAACGAAAACCGTTTAGCTCAGCTTCAATTTTGCTCTCGCAGTCGAACGAAACTGACACCTCTTTCGTTGATATCTAGGTGAGTGATTTTTTTCAGGCTCCGGTATTTTGACAAAAGTAAGTTCACGTCGTAGCCATTCTTAGGGGCAGGTTTGAGGCACCAACGATTTATTTTGAAGTTTCTCTAAGGAATTATTCCCGATTTCCGATATTGTCCCTTTAATAACCATTTGGCAAGCGCTGAACACAGGTCACAAACAACTCTTGGTCATTTCCTTCATCCACAAATTGGACATTTCAAAAGACAGTATGATAAATGAGCCAGGCCACAGGAAGAGGGGTCTTATCACAGATTTTTTAAATATTTTGATTTTTGTCTATCTTAAAAAGCACAAAGAGACCTTTCAAATGAGCCACAGCTTGTGTCTTAACAATTTTTCCTTGCATATATAGACCAAAAAGTTGGATTTGAATTTAGCACATTTTCTCTTTGGCACATTTTTGGCTCTGTAGCACAATTTTAATTTTTGTGATAAGACCGGTTTTCCTATGGCCAGGCTCAAATATAATTTAGGACACTACATGTTTCAAGAATGAAGTGTTATTTATCATTTCATTGTTTACTACACAAAAGAATAAGAAGGTATGCTACCTTTTCTTGCCGTCTCTTGTTCACTGCATCTCCACCTTTCAAAGTCTCTTGGCTGACAACTATACAGTTCATGTCTTCAACGACAATAGAAGGACCAAATGGATCGGTTATTGGAACAATATTCAACTCTAATCCAGGTTTTAAGTCAAGTAGAAGTTCAGTCAATTGTTGTATTCGTACATTAGTAGGTAGCATTAATTCACACAAGGTTTTTTCTGGAAATAGACATGCTGAATAATTGTGAAGCTTTTCTGAAAATTGATCTGCAAAGTTTAAGCTAAATAAAGGCTCTGCATACATGAAAAACTCAGCGGAGAATGCTGTCTTTTGGGATCTTTCTTTAACCTCTTGACTACCTGGAGTGACAAGATTTCTCGTCATCTCAGAAATGATCTTGAAACCCAGAGTGACGAGAAAATCCGTCACCAAAATTTTCACTAAAATTGCTCTTATTTGAACAATTTTCAACCAATTTACACAAAAATTGTTTTAAAATGTTTAGAAATTATATCTGCCGTCTAATTTTACTAAGATGAGCATCTAAAGTTGTAAAGGTATGTAGTAAAATCTCAAAAGATGGCAAAAATGAAAAGTTCTCTGGTTTCAACCTATTTTAGAGCCTGGGATTCAAGAGGTTAAATACATTTTGTAATGTCAAATCTAAATCAGACAGTGTCCTTTATATGTGTTTACTTACTAGCATTCATGACTCCATCAGTTACTCCTATAGTCATTTCTTCCTGACATAACAGACAGGAATCTGTTAGCAACATTTTATGCCCATAGTGTATTCTATCAAATGTGCCACCTAGCACTATGTGTCTATAACTAGGTAATATATCACTCTCAGTCTCCTTTGTGGCATCTGTATCACCTTCTGTAGCTTTCACTGCTTCAAGTGTCTCTACATTCACATCATTTAATGTATCATACCCAGATTTAATAACATCTTTGAAGCTGTCCTTATCGCTATGACTTATATCAGTAAATACAACATCATAACTTTTAGTTTGTAAAGTGTGAGGTTTGAACTCCATGGGTTGTTCACCATTTCTGATATGTCCTAAAAGCACTCTAACGTCAATGTTCTGACATATTGCAGCAGCCTGGCTATAAACAGTTCCTATCAGTTTTTGGATTTCTTTACTAGGTGGCTGTGTTTGGAACTTAAACATCCGACATGAGGGGTCTTTGACAGGAATGTTACCAGGATACGGCTGTAGGTGCACATAGAGTGTGTCCTTGATAAGCTTGGAAGCATATTTCAGGTGGTTTGATACATTAGCTTGCGTCAAGCTTAATGGAGCTGTAAGAATCATAAGCCCAGTCCGAAACATGATTTCATCTAAACCTGAAAATATAAAATTCAGAGTTACTATTTTTTTGAGTTGTATTGGTTGAGAGAACTCCACAGGTTGAGACTGTAAATTTTCATTGTTAGATAAAACATGGGCTTTCAAGAGAGATAAATTTACCAAAAGTTGATCTAAATCAAGATATAACAGTGCAATCATGCTTTTCCTTGTAAAATGGAGGTTAGTTTCTCCTGTATACATGTATGTGCTTTAAGAGACTCCAAAAAATAGTTTTCTTTTTCCAAGATTATTTTCAGTTGTGAGATATTCTTCAAGATGGATATTATTTTTGAATTTTACATACTAGGTTCTCATTTTACTATTAGTATTTGGTTTGCTACCAGAGCTTATTTTCACCATCCACTGATCATTGCATTTAATGATAAGCTTTTGTTTAACACATTTTAAGAATGCATTTTTTGAGGATGAATTGTACCACAGACTGTAGTTTTTGTATTTCATGTGTGAAAGTAATTTGCTCATTAGAGAAGTCTTTGGTAGCATGTTTATGTATAACCAGTATTTAATTGCACTCAAATGAATATGATATGACATTGGTAGTCTGCCAATCTAACTCAGTATTGCAAAGTTACTGCAGTTGTGTTTGACATCAAGAATCCATCTGCAATCAAGGAATATGAACCGAAGAGCAGGGGCAATATTGTCGAATACACCCCGCAGGACTAGGCAAAAACGTTTTCTGGTTCGAAAGCTTTTGTGCCTAGCCCTAAGGGGTGTATTCGACGATATTACCCATGCTCTGAGGTCAAACATTAAAACTCACCAAAATGTTTCGAATATTCATTACTGGTTTGCCATAATTATGGGCCGTCGTTATGACATCACACATTACTCGTATTACCAGGGGTATTGTTCGCGAATATACTCCGGAAGAAATGTTGACTTCGTTCACAGTTTATAGAAGGCGTGAATACAGCCATGTTGGAATATATATTACATCTCAGGTAAGGTTTATTTTTTGAGCCTATCCTACATGTACTACTTTAAATATGATCTGGTCGGCATCTCTGATTTAACCAATCAGCGATGATGTCATCTCAATACACATTTACATTAGATCTAGAGTACATATAATAGGGGCATTCTCTGACATGGGGCATTCTCGGACGATCTTCAATAACTCTTTGTTTTATACAATTTCTTGATTGAAACTTCAAATTAGACACAACGTTACACAATGATATATATTGAAAAGAGTCTGTACCATGATCCGAGTGACTTTAAGCTTGCATATAAAATCAAAATGGCAATGTATATGTATAAATCGCCCATATACAAATGCATGTATTTTTCTCACTTAATGGTTTCGGTACAGTGTTTACTTAGTCTGTTACTTAGACTACATATCATCATGTAATATTATGCCATTGATAGTTCTACAGCTGGTTTTCTATGATACATATTTCAAACTAGCTCGTTTCATTACTCATATGATATTTGAAGCTAAAATATGTATGACTTACACCATTTTCTTCAGACAGCATTATACTGTGCATCGATATAAAAATTGTCGGCGTAGTATTCATACTATCAAATAGACATAAGTATAATGATTCCTGTTGACAGACACCAATGTGAAATTGCAAATTTCACATTCTAAACATGAACTGAAGCTGAATGGGTGCATGTATCTGAAGTAACTAATTAGGCTTGTATTGTACATACATGTACGCTATACACATTATACACTTTCCGTTCATGGTTATGTTTAGTTCAACGTCGTTAAACTCAATAACGGCGTTCTTTATTATTAGGAATTTTCTTGGGGCCATTATTGAGTTTAACCTCCTTACTATTCTTTCCTTTGATGCAAGTTCTGAATCCATCGAAACCATTTTTCCGCGATAACGTGCAACTGATACTTGACAATAATATAAAAACACATAACATCAAGCGATTTAACACAATATTATTGTGTTAAATGTTCATTTATACGAGTAAAATGAGGCTACACTTACCAATCTCTAAAGTGACATTTCCGCATGTCTGTCATTGTGTCTGTTCGTCTGAGTGTCCCGGATCGTAAAATTAAACTGCCAGCAAAACGAAATTGTTGTCAAATAGATTGATAATTATTATCGCGATTACTCGGGATAAAAAGATCAATTTTGAGGATAACAGGTATCTTTGATTAATTTATATAGCGCGTATATACACGCAAAATAGTTATTAATTGCAAACCAACTGTTCGTTAATGCAGTGCCGTGATGACGGTTAATTCCTGAAACGATTTGCAATTTCGATGTTACCGAAACTGACCGACATTTTCGTCATATTCCAAACCTGTCTCCAATATTTTCGTAATTATGCATCAATAGGGTCTAAGGGGGATACGGGACGGGGTGTATGTGTTTATAAGGTATGTATGCATGCTTGAATCACATTCTTTGTGTAATATTGCCATGTTTTCAGGGTTCAATTAGTTCCGCTTGTCGAAACCTGCTGAACTATTAAATTAACGCATCAAAGGCAAAATGGTCATGGAGGTTAGACCTAGCCGGGCCATAACACATGTCAGATAAGAAACGAGGCCCGGGCTAGGTCTAATGTTGTTGGACTAGGCCTAGGTTATGTTGTGAAAAACATGGCAAGCTATGGTCTCCACTCACCACTGTCCCAGCTCGGAGGAAATGTAGAATGTCACTCAACGTTTTTGGTGATTTTGAAGTTATGCCTGCATTTCAAAGTTCAGAATCAACTTCTGAAGTAATTTGACACCACCTTCTAATTTGTCTCACTTCACTTGTTTCTCAAAAATGAAAATCAGGGAAAATTTCAGTCACAAAAAATAACGAGTGGCAACTTACACTTCCTGCAGTGTGGGCTCTATAGCAAGGCGTTGGATCTAACTAAATTGTTTTATTTGTGTATACACACATCAGATTACTTTATTCACTAACCTTTTGAGAATATGAAACGCCTTTTGAACTGTTTGCGGATTGTACTTCGGTTTTCTTCACTAGATGGCGGATTTTACATCCGGTAGCCTATTAAAGGGGAATCCCCTTTCAAACTTCAGTGAAAATAAAAAATCCATGATGAAAGTTTCATTTACGGACTATTATTACTAAATTCTACGTTATTTCACCCATTTCATGACAATATATCGCTTTCTAGAAGGTAACGTATGGCTTTCACATAGTTTCATATATAAATACTGCCTTCTGAACACAAGACTAGGCCCTATACATAGAGAGTTCATTTGTATAAAAAATTCAATCTTTGTTACTTTTGTAGGCCTATTTGTACAGCTTGTAGGTGCATTCATGCACCCTCTGGGTCTCTGAGGATCGTGTTGGCCAGTCCATACGACAATTCAACGCATTAGAAGCGGTGTTCACGGTCTATACAGCTTGGTAAGTGATTTTTCTACTGCTGTGGCTCCACAGAGCTCATACATGTAGGTGTTCCCTGGCTAAATGTTTGAAAGACGCCCTCTTCTTACTGCCCAGGGAGCACTTCTTTGTGCCTCTGAGCGATCACATGAACTTGTATCAAAAACCGCGTTTGAGTGACTGACTGCCAGCTTACACCAGAGACGGGTCCTGTGCTAAATTGACCAAATCTCATAAAAAATAAAAAATTTGAACCTATCGCTATACCTTGGATGGAGTTGATTTATTTTAATACTTAGTTTTTATGTGTGGTATGTTTGTCCCAATAAAATCTTTTGTGATGAATTGTAAACTTACCACACCGTACTTGTTGCACATGATGTAATTGCACTAATACGACAGAAAAATCACGATTTGTTGAATTATTTCAAATACTTCAATGGGGCCACTTCTTGTAATCATGGACCTCGTCAATCCTCTAGTCAATCCTCTAGAGAGATATAGGTCCAGTCCATGTTGTAATTAACATAATGTACATGTAACTTTGCGAGATAAAAGCATATGAGGATGATGTCCGAAATTTCACAGTATAGTGTACATGCACTTACAAAATAATGATTTAATTCCAGGTTCCAATGAGATAAACTTGCAAAACAGCACCCAATTGAAAACCAACAGAGATCCCTTTTAATGGTAAACATGGATCAAGTACCAAATCATCCACCTCAATCCACCTTCAGATATGTTAAGGAATTGACGGAAGACGAAAATAAAGTGCTCTCAACAGATGTTGAGCTGGATCACATCAGAGCAAAAAACAATCTTAAGATGCGTAAGGACCTTAAGAAAATTAGTGACCAATTGTCAACAGAAAATATCACGGATATCAAATTTCTTCTTCGGGATTTGATTCCCTTGGGAAAGCTTGAACAAGTGAAGAGTGGGATTCATCTGTATGATGCTCTTGAAAGCCAACAGTTGATGCGGATCTCATTTGATGAGCCAAATTTTGAGTTATTAGTGGATCTTCTATATTTCATATTTCGCTATGACCTTCTACTTATATTAGGGTGTGAGCAACACAATATAAAAGCCAGACTTAAACTGAGGCCATCTACATGTAGGATATCAGAGTACAGGTAAGAGACCTCTCATCCCCTGGAATAATTATTTGAAAATGTTCAGATCACCTGAATAAAATGAAAATAAAGATTAATAATGTCGACGCTACCCTGAAATATTGTCAAGGGTGTGCTCGGGATTTAAGAATTAGGTACTTGGCAAATTTAGATAGGTCAGACAAATAAATGTATTACTCCCACAGTTTCAATTGAAAAATCTGATTTGATATTTTTTGTAAAATTTTGCCTGCCTCAGGTTTGAGTGTTCAGACTTGTTCCTGTAATAATCGTGTACTATATTTTAATACTGTATAAGTGGTATTTAATCCGAGTGGTTAATTTTCCGAATGGTCAAATTTCATCATTTTCCTAATTTTAATTTTCCTAATGACAAGAAACCTCCCATTGGATAACATTATAAAGACAATATTTCCGACATTTAATTTTCCGAACCTGGCAAAAATTAGGAAATAGGCAAATTAAATGATTTGGCAAAATTACCACTTATACAGTATTGATTGTTAAACTTGTTCGTCATTTATGTTTTAGACTTATGCTATATAAGATCATTATCAACCTTCAAGAGCAAGAAAAGAGGGCAATGATTGGAGAAGCCAGACCTTGGTTCAACCATCTCCCAAAAGAACAGTTTGAATGTATAAAATCCCTCCAAATGCTATTTATCCAAATGGAAAAGATCAGATATTTGGCAGAAGATAAAGTTGATAAGCTACAATGGCTGCTACATAAAATTGGATCTATGGATTTAGTTGAGGACCTCAAAAAGTATAAAAGTAAACAAACATTTGATCAATAAAACTCTCAAAGAACTTCATAAAAATTGAATTAAATACTACATATACAGGGGTGTGATCGAATTTTGGTCAATGTCTAGGATGAAGTTGTAATATTCACAAATTTTTTTTTTGAGTAAAGATCTGCTTATTTGCAGACAAAATGAACCAGCACGCACATGCTCCTAGATGATACAAATTTTCAATTCCATCATGTGATCTTATATAATACATACAACACATACATTTTTGTCATTTTAAAGAACTTCAAAAACACAGTCTTGTGCATGGATGTTATTTAATTATCATCAGTATTTCATGTCAACAGTAGTTTTGATTTTGCTGTAGTTTGATTAATTTGCAAGTGTATCTTGCAAAGTGTAAACCATTACACATGATTTTGAAGAGAATCAATTGAACAACATACATGTCTTTATTTTAGGAAACCATTACTGCGGTGCAAGCTATGGAGAAGGAAACATTGAGGAAGCAAGCCCCTATGCTGGTGATATAAACAACACATACAATGTTAATCCTCAAGCATTAGACTTACATGTAAAGCATCAGAAATATGCAATGACTGTGCCATTAACTGATCCAAAGGGCCCTCCTTCACGACCTTCAGAGGAATCAGAACCAGAATTTGAAAAGTCATCATCGAAAGATCTGTTGCAGGCGACAGATCCATATAGCTTCCCCCCTCCACAGTCTCCTGGGTTGTCAGGTAAATTAAACAGAAAATATGTGCCTCATTTTTTTTCATTATTATTTAGGTGGGGAAAGAACCGGAAAGAAGTACAACTTTGGGACCTGTTTGTGCATGGCATCATTATGCACTATGAGACACTTATCCTCATTAATTATTTTGGTACCCAAAGGCTAACATGTATGAAAGCCTTAAAGAACATGGTATTTTATTGGAAGATTAAAGCATTCTGATTGATTAAGTACCTGGGAAATTTTTGTTATTGGCAAAACACTGAAAAAATGTGAACAGTGGTTTTTATGAATGTGAGGATGTGAACAAAAATAACAATACATCATTTTATATTCATCTCTGCCGTACTGAAAAGACATCCAGATGCGCAAGTGGTATTATAAGTGAGCTTATACGCAGAATTTTCAGCGCTTGATAAAAAAGAAATATGTGACAATTTTAAGAGCTGACAGCAGTTATCAGTTTATTACTGATTAATCCCTATTACCTTATCACCAAGTTGGTACCAGATTTTTTGCGAAATACTGCCCTTTTGTTAATGCCTGTGGGCATTTGCTATGAGGAAACATATATATGTACAAAGTATTAGACCTAAATTCATTGAAATGCCCTACAAAGCATTAGGCCTTACATTCATATTAAGATGTCCAAGGTGGTATGACGAGAAAATCTGATACCCACATTTCCACCAGGCTTAGGTACAGGTAATCTTCCCTTCTACATTGCTTTGAAAATGAAATATAAAATAGAGTATTTGAAAATGTTGAGGGATTCCCCGTAGAAATGAATAATGATTTGAATTACGATGATATATTTATCTCTAATATGTCCAAGTGCCTTATACAAAAGCTATAATAATTGAGCCAGGCCACAGGAAAAGGGGTCAAATTATCACAGATTTTTTCAATATTTTGATTTTTTGTTTTTCTTAAAAAGTACAGGGTGGTCAAAAAAAACGGCAACCCTAATTTTTGCTCATATCTTTGTCATTTTAAGAAATTTTGCTCTGATATTTGGCACATATGTACATCATTCAATTTCATACTAGACTGCTTTATTTCATGAACATTGGACTGATAGTCCCAATGTTACAGCACTTTAAACAAGGTACCCCAGTTTTCCAATATCGTGCTGCAGCCAAACCTGCACACATTTTCCAAACCTGTCAATGACATAACTGCATTCCTCAGCAAGTATGGCCTGAACAACACATGTGATCTTTATTTTGAGGTCTAATGTCTTTCTTGTGTTATTACTCTACACTCTATCTTTGGGGTATCCCCACTGGTAAAGATTAAATGGGGCCATATCTGGGCTATGGGGTGCCCATTCATTGTCTGTTGTACTGCTGATAATGTGGTCATTGAAGTGGTCCCAAAGCCATTATTGTGCATCATTGGGTGTTTGGGGTATGGTTCTGTCTTGTTGGAACCACTGCTGCTGCCTTTCAACTTCCCTGGGTTCACCTAAAGTCCCCAAGAACTCAATGGGAATCACAAAATAGAGTTTGATGTTGACAGTTATTGCATATCCATTGGCATCATTAAAGGTAAAGGACCATATCTTCCGAGAACACACTAAACTGTGCATCTGTCTGTGTGAAGGTGCATCTCCACTACTTCATCAAGAGCCATCAAGTGCTTGGCTCCCCAAGAATACATAATTGTTAGAGTTTATCAAGTGTATCAAGTTGGAAATGGAGTTCATTTGAATAACAGATCAGCTCAGACAACCAGAAAGTGACCTTATGGGGCATGTTGCTTAAAATGCAGTAATATTGTGATTATCAGTCCGATGGTCATGAAATATGGTAGGTTGGTAGGAAATTGAATGATGTACAATTGTGTAAAATATCAGGGAATTATTTCTTAGAATGACAGAGATATTAAGAAAAACTAGGGTTGCCGTTTTTTTTGACCACCCTGTACTAAGAGACCTTTCAAATGAGCCATGGCTTATGTCTTAACAATTTTTCCTTGCAGATATAGACCAAAAAGATGGATTTGAATTTAGCACATTTTCCCTTATGAGCACATTTTTGGCCCTGTAGCCCAATTTAAATTTTTGTGATAAGACCGGTTTGGCGAGGCTCAATTATGACATATGAAACCCCTAATAAAATATTGGAACACCAATTTAAGTCCTACTATCCCATAGGGGTGCACATAAACTGAACAGGCTTTAAATTGCACTTCTGCTCTCTTGCTGATGGGACAATGGTTAGCTGTGGAAGATCAAGCTTATGACTGTAGATGTAAAACTTGAAGATATGTGGTCATCCACAGCATAAGTTTCGCGTATTGTTTTCAAAATACACATACTCTCCATACTTGGTAAGTGTACTTTAAGATTAATGCTCAAAATGACAAATCATCTCCAATAGAAGTAAGCTAGATAATGTACACAATGTATGCTTTCAGTGTTTGCTATCTTTATCAAACCCTGCTATTTCCAGTGTACAGGCCCAGCAGTCCTGACTTTTTTTCAGAATAATCCTTAGTTTTGTTAAACGGATTCCCCGTTGTTAATTCTACTGAATTTGTCATTTCTGCTTTAAATCTTTAATAAGTCATTAATCATATTTGATCAGTTATGTCATTTCTTTTTCAAAGAATAAAAAGTAGATAAGTAAGGGAAACATTGGCATGTTTTCAGTATTTTACACTATTCATTCTTATTGCTTAAAGCTTAAGTTTTGAGTAGGCTTGTCTGGGATTGTTTCTTGATTTCTCTTCTAGTTTGTTTTTCATTATTCCAGATGATTTCATGAAGGTTTCCATGAGGGATACTGGAGATAATATAGAAGTAAACAATTGTAAGTATAGTCAATGACATGCATACTAATAGCTTTAGAGACATCATGTCCAGATAGTACTACACAATGAAACGTGTTTTTGACACCACAATTGTATTGATTATACATGTATTTGTGAAATTCATAGTCACTATTACATACATGTAGCTATTATAGGAAAGCTATTTTCAAATAAAAAATTCAACCCATCTGAATAAAGTACATGTAATCAAACTCAAAACACATGTATTTTGTCCGTTTCAGATGAAGCAAGTGAAAATAATGCAGAGGACTTGTCACAGAGTTCAGAGAGTAAGTACATTGGACTGCACATCCGATTACATATGATTGTAGTTACCATGTATGTAGCTGCCAGATTCTTTCCATGTTTGGCTTGTCATCATGATATATAAATGATGATACTTCATAATTTGAACAATGAGACAATAATGAATGGATGGGTAGCATGACAGGACAAGACCTTTTAATTCCGATTTTCATCAATGCAAAAGATAGCAACTTGAAAAGTAACAACATTTGAAAAACAAGCAAACACAATTACGATTATCACTCGTACATTTTATAAGCCTTTTAGCTGTACGAATATGTTTAATTTTTTAGTTCCATTAGTTCCACTATCAGTATCAGCTTTGGAAACTGAAGTTGATAGTGAATCTGGGCAACTGCAAGATATAACAAGCGATGAAGAGAGCAACTTTGATGTTAGTAACAGCTTATCGCCACAGATCTTCAAACCTCCATTGAATACAACCACCCCATCCAAAAGTGAATACATACAGAATTTGGAAAACAAGCAGGCTGAAGAAAATGTTCAAGATTTGTCCCAGATTTTAAAAAATGAAATACATGGTGCAGCATTTGATGATGGAAGTCAATTTGGCCAGTCCACTGAGGAATTTCTGGGCAATGATGATGCAGTTGTCTGTGTACCTGGGAAGATATCTGAACCTGGTAACATCATTATCAATTTAACATTTGATGCACTCCAATATGTTGGCATATACAATGTATATGACAAGTGATATGTGCCCATCATTTTTTTAGTTTCATGGGTGTTTTAGAACATGATTGCATGGTTCCCAATGATATTAAAACTTATACTTTTGAGTAAAAGGGTCACTGTTTTTTATAAAAAAAAGTGTTGTGGCACCCTTTCTTTGCATTCCTTAATAAGAATCACAATTTTCTCCATAAAATTTACATACATTCATTTTTTCTAGTTGTCAAATCACTCCATGAGAAGGAATGTGAACCAATGGAGGAAACCAATTCTGAACTGGGAATTGAAAATAGAGAGTTTCTCCCAAGACCCAATAATGGACAGTATGCAATTTGTACCCCTGAGAATGTAAACTACGCTCAGGACTTGACAACCTATGCTTCGAATCATGACTCAGATGTCAGGTCACATACAATAGGGTGCATGGCCAATAACTATCATGATGAGAAAAACAGATCAGACTGGGTACCCAAGAAGAATAAACCTAAGAGAAACCGAGCATCCACAACAGGAAAGCCCTTGTTACAATCTGCAGTCCCAGTGGAACATCAAAGCAACCTCATATATGGATATCCAGAAAATGGATTCAATTATTCTAAAGAAGCAAGTGTCAAAATAGAAAAAAATAATGTCCTCAACCAAGCAGGTGAATTCCACTCTGATATAAGGTTACATGATGCAGAGAAAAATGAAGCAGGTTTCATACAGACAGCTCATCCAGTATTTAATCAACCCCAGGACCTCACCATTCACAGAATCCCCGATGATGTAAAGATGAAAGAGGATTTATTCCAGACAGCAAGTCCAGTAATACTTAGCCAGGATCTTACAATGTCCAGTCCAGGTAAGCACACATTGCAGCATGCTGTTTCATTGTGGCTCCAATGACCATGTTCTTCTGCTAAGCACAAAATGTTTTAGATTGAGAAAGGTGTTTGTAGACATTGTTTCATTGGGGATAAGATCATTGTTTGGGATGATTTGGACTTCTGTCTTTATTACTGGTTGAACTCTTTAATGTATGTTTATTTTTCTTTTGTTGTGTTTTGTATTATTCTTTGAAATTTTCCATTCTGGCAATTGTACTTACAAATTCTAATTCTGTAGTGAGCTTTGAAAATCATTTATTTGCCATTAAGAATTATATAGTGAAATTATTATTGTGTTGCAATAAATTGAATGTTATAATTAATTTGATTATATTTACAGAAATTGAAGTTGAGCAGAACCCAAACACAACAATGCTAGAAAGCTATGTCATTGAGTCTGAACCTAAAGGTGCGTTTTTGATTATTCAGTTTATGATTGTAGTGCGTTAAAGTGTTACATAGATCAGTAGATAGAGGAACTTTCAATTCCATCAATAAACTAAAGCCCTTGAATATTATTTTCATTTTTTCATTGCAGGTCTATGTGTGATTTTCAACAATCATGTGTTCCATCATCTGCAAGAAGATAAAGACAGTGTCAAACTAACTAACAGAAAGGGAAGCAATGAGGATAAGGGTAAGTCAAAGTTATTATATTGCTATGATTCTTTGGACAAACCTATGAGGAACTGACACATTTTCACATTAATATAATGGCATGATTCTACTCTAAAAAACATCAGAATATGGCTTTAAGGTCAAAATATTCTTTTGCTAAAATATGTTACCTTTTTATGAACCATAACCAATTATCAATTATACCAGATTACAACCTTTTAACTGTTATTGAATTTGTTTTCATTTTCAGAACGACTGATTAAAGTCTTTTCTCAATTGGGATTTGAAATACACCTAAAGGAAAATCTTACAGCTAATGAGATGTTGAACAGAGCTAACTATTATGCACGTTCTTACAAAGAATTTCACAAGAAGTCTGATGCATTTGTTTTGTGTATATTATCACATGGGGAAGGGGATTGTGTTTTTGGCTCTGATGGCAAGAAGGTTTGTATGTTCTATCCCCTTTTTAGCTAATCAATATATCTCTACCTCAAGAAGCAACATAAATGGAATATTACGATAATGGAATATGACCCTCTTCCAATTTTTAAATGACTTATTATCAGATCAAATAAAAGTTCTCACAGTTGTAGATTGAAGAAGAAAATCTGTCATATTCTCCATGAGCTTTCTCGTAAACCCATGCATTTTCTAAAGCTCACATCAATAACATGGCGCTGGTAGGGAGGGGAATGGAGATATCTGGAATCTTTTTAACAGGATTGATTTCACAGTCTTGAACTTGGGTCTGAAACAGTGGAGGCCTTGGTCAACTCTGCCTCTGAAATAATTTTTCTTTTTTTCTAAAATATTTTCCTTATGTAACGTTTTATACATTATTTTCATTGGAAATGTTGCAGATATAGTACAATAAGACAAATCCTCATCATGAATTCAATGAACGAAATGAATTGTTTGCCTCGCAGGTACCACTTCATGACAATACAGAAGGATGTTTGGCCTACTACTTCAAGGGTGCAAACTGTCCTGCATTAATAGGGAAGCCAAAAATGATGTTTATTCAAGCATGCAGGGGTCCTCAAGAAGGAATAGGTAAGATATTACATCAATACTAGCATGAAAATGAGCTAAATGTTGATAATTTTGTGACACTTCTGTGCTATTTTGAGCAATTACTTACCCATATGGATGAATGCATTTTCAAATTATTTTTTGAACATTTTAGCCGTCAAACCTCACTCGTACCAAGAAAGGCAAACTCTTAAACCTTGCTCACATGCCATCCAGACAGATGGAGATATCCCATCTTCTCAAGGCACTACAAGAATACAAACACTTCCAGATGAAGCCGATTGGGTCATAGGTCAAGCAACATCAATCGGTCATGCATCATTTAGAAATGAGGAAACAGGCTCATGGTATATCACAAAATTGTGTTCAAATTTACATCGATACCATGGAAGGTATGTTGAAAATGTTATAATTATTACAATAAATTGACAAAGAGTAACATTTTTAAAGAGAAAGCAATCAAACCCCTTATAGACAATGAAAGAATTGAAATTTCCAAGTGCTAAAAGCTTCTGTATTATTTTATTCAATCATGTCTATTTTCAGGAAGTATGACCTTCTGAAAATTTTGACAAGAGTTAATCTGGACTTATCAAAGGCTGAAGCTGACTGCACAGATAAAAATAAGAAAACATTTATTGCAAAACAACAACCAGCTCCATATTTCACAACAAACAAGAATATTTACCTTACATGTACTAACACTAAATGCCAAAGATGTTTCAATCAACCAAATGGTAAAACTTGAAATTGGAAACAACAAATATGTTGATACTTGGATGTTTATATTGATACGATTCATATATTTCAATCTCTAGAGTCTCTATCCTGATTGGTCAATGCATAGTCACATACCACAAAATAGAATCACTATTTCCCGTTTAAAGTTATATTTCCTCAAAAAATGAGAAGTGGAATATACATTTGAACTATTGCCTGCTGACATCACAATTGCAACTTTTATTACCCTTGGGAACGTCTGCGCATCGTCAATGTGCACACGACAAACAGAAAAATGGAGAAAACACACAAACATAAATCAACTCGTTTCACCATGACAGATGTGTGTAAAAGATGCAATTATGGCAGCTTGGATTCTGTGTAATTTCAAGTGTTATGTTGATTTATCTCACGTGTAAAACACAATTGACTTTGCCAAGTGAGAGTCTCAGAAATTTCAAACGAAAAAATTTCTGTTGAGTGTTATTATGTTGAGGATATTATGACTTCCCGGCTTTTAATTCTAACAATGGACTTGGGGGCTTGCTTTCTAGCTGAAATGAGGTTGATTTGAAGAGCCTCTTGTCATCAGCAGATTCATAAAGCACCAAAAAATGTGATAAAGGGATAAGTGATATCCTTTAGAAAAAAACAGTGATTTAATTCAGGATACTGCTGAGTTGCCAAATCTCCTCAGCCTATTTTGGCCTTTGCTGAGAAAACGGGACAAGGGTCAGTGTAGGGTATACAATAAAACAAATAGTGACTGCCTACTGTACGCTCGGTATTATTCGCGAGATTTAATTTCGCGAATTTTGGAGGATATTTCCTCAGGGAAATAATTTACACTATTGGGAGTCACTATTTATATAATAACATACATACCATTTATAATGAGGAATAACTTTGTGTATACTTCAACTGTAAGAAATAGTAGAGGTACCACATGTGAAGCAGTTTTAAGTATTTTATTTTGAATACTGACATTCCTGCAACCATTGTTGAACTTCTTGACTCATCTACTATTTATCTTGCCAATTTTGTATAATGTACTCTATTGTCTAACACCATGGAAGCTATTCCATGCTGCAGCAGAAATAAAGGTGCACAATTATGATTATTCTGAACTTTTCAAAATTTTAAAAACCTTCTTGTTTGTAGAATTGTTGGTTAAAGCATGACATACAAATCTATGAAGACATGCATATTCAGAGACTTATGTGCTTTCAGACATACATTTTGTAATTAGAGCTAGATGAGAAATAGAAAAAACTCTATTTGAAAATAAATTTATCAATATGGTGGAACTGGTATTTTGTATTATGTTGAGACTTTACTAGGAGAAAATAAACAGTATAGTCATTGAGATTCTGTTTCAGTCTCCTGTGATCAAGTGTCTTCATTTCTTGCAATAACATGTGAGGGGTCAATGTTATGTTTGTAACAACTGTTAACTACTGTTAACTCAATCTGGCCCCAGAAAGTAGTTAGTGATGACTGTCTGGATGTTACACTGGTGGCAGTAGTGGGATTTTGATGGGTGTCACCCTATCAACACTCTATCATTTTTTGTTAAATCTTGTATAATATTTTGACACACCGTAAGTCTTGCATTGTATTTCCAATTGTTAATTGCTGCTTAGCTTAGTATTGTAAAAACAAGAGGGAATTTATCATAGTTCCAGTGGTTAGCTTTTTCCATTTCAAACTTTTTCTCCATGCACATTTAACAGTCTTGCATTGAGAGAGGTTGGATTCTTACATTTAATACATTTGCATTTTTAGGACAGTATATTTTATGGGGGTCTAACCAACATCAGACACAATTGCTTCATATGCTGGTGTGCCTTTTATATGAAATATAGTGTGACCTGGGTTATATTGGATTGATTTAAGATGAGAATCGTCTATTTTATGAACTATTTACTAACCATTTGACATTGATATGCCTATTCAATGTGTATTTGAAAAGATTTTTTAACTCATGTGCTCTCACAATATGAATGAAATAAATGATAAAAATAAATATACATATTCTTCTTTTTTGAATTGCCTTATGTTTATTAAGTAAACAACTGTTGCCAGTAAAGTGTCACGAGTACTTATTAGAGAATAAATGTTGTTGAATAAAAGAATTAGAACTAAGAAAATCAAATCTAAACATGTATTTTTTTATTTCTTGATGTAAACAAATTTCCTGTTTTTACCAGCTGAGCTAACATCATGTTTAGTCACTCTATCTTGGTATTTCAGAATTACATACACATATTATGCTTACCTAGATAGCATTATGAATCATAAAATCCCCAAAAGGGGATTCCCCTATTAGTCATAAACTCCATATGTAAATCAAATTGTCTACGATGCTTATTAACCAATACTATCATTGTTGATTGCTATATAAGGATTGATTCTATCCTCACATCAAATCTAAGATAGTATAATTCATATGGATTTAGGAATTAGGAAAATTATAAAATACTATGAAAAGGTAGGTACATGAAATAGATTATTAAGTTATATAAATTAAAAGTATTCCAGACTGTTATATAACTCAATATAATGTTGTTTCAGAATTATTTTAGTTTTATCAAATGTTCTATTTTATATTTTTAGATCAAGTTAAAATGGTTGCAATAGAAGACAAAGGAAATAAATTATTAAATCAGACTGTCAATAAGTGTAAGTGTAAGAAATATTTATATATAATTTATTTAAATGTAATGTGTTGCGCCGATTGTGGCTGCCTGTCTATTACAATTTTTGTTCAGCGTTTCCACTGTTTGACTATCTAAATATTTTCATGTTTGAACTTTTCATAACTCTTAGTAAAAATACACGATCTTAATTAATTATATTCATTTTTATATCCTGTTGATAACTTCATAACTGTACAGCTGTGTACATGTAATTTATTTATTTTGTTATTTTCCAGATGAGGCCAGTGAAAATATCCCATCTATTAATCATGAACCAATAGGTGAGTGTACGACATGTGATGAACAAATTATATGATATGCAAGATATATTGCCAGTTTTTAAATGCAGGAGTATGCTTTATAACATCTCATATACAGTTCTTATCATTTTGATTTTCCAGTAAATTTTGTAAGAACTTAAAAATTTTAATGTAATTATAGTTTTGCTGAGTTTGTGACCCGACCCCCCGGGGGTTCACTGTATTTAAACTTTGACGGGGATCCTCAGTGCACATGGGGTACCTTTTTTGACATTTGGTATGGCAATGGACCCAGATTTTAGGATATGGTATGAGAATGCCCCCAAATTTATGACATGAGGTACAGCAATGGTCAGATTTTTCCACTTTCTGGTATGAGAATGGTCGTGGAAAATATGCTACCTCACACTTGCGGTATGGCATTGGTCTAGTAGTTACATACATATGTATATCCTTAATTTGAGGTTGTTTTTGATTGTTTTCTCGTACATCTGCCTTCATCTCAGGGCCTTCTTCAGTTTGAATATTAGCTTTTTTCTACTTTTGACATTTTGTATGGCATTGGTCCTATATTTGGGCATTTGGTATTGCTTTTGGGTGTTATTTTGGTTGGTATGGGAACATATTGAAATTTGACAGATTGGTATGGGAACATATTGATATCTGAGGGTTCAGCCTAGGACCTCCGCCAAATTCATATACAGTGAACCCCCTGGCCCGACCCGAACCTTCCGTCCCGATATTCAGGTTGACTTCGGGTCGGTGTGACACCTCTAGTAAACTGTGTAATAAAGCAGCAATTTAAAATTCTTTGCTATGGAGCAAGGATGAATGCTTTGTGTGTCGTTAAAGAATGAAGAATACAACTGAACGACTTTTCCTTTTATTAGGTATCCTCTACAAATAGGTGACTATAATTGAGTACCCAACATGCCTTAGTTTATGAAATATTACAAATTCAAATTCAAAAATGACTGTTAATATCCGCACCTTGCGCATATGATATCTGCACCGCTTGTTTTCGTAGAGCACAGTCTGTATAGGGTGTCCAAGCAAAACATATTTTATTCAAAACCTTGTCATTTTATATCTTACTGATGGCCATTTTGAATTCTGCATTTCTTCTTGACCAGGGATCAATTTTATGAACCATCGTAACTTATGATTTGGTCACAAGTCTTGTTCTTCCAAAAATAGACAATGGTTTTCTCATAATCTTTTAAATTTATGATCTTACCAAAATGAACCTAAAATGTTGTCTATTTTGAATTGAGTGGACATATTGGAAATCTTTACTTAGCAGAGGTTATTTGCCAATTGACAATGACATTAGACTATAAAAAGACATAACTAGTATTAAAGTTACTAAAAATTTGGTAAAATGTTTTTCAAAAACGTTTTCATTAAAATGGCTTCCATTTTGAATTGAACAGCCATCTTGAAAATTCCTTCTTGAGCAGAGTCCAATGTTCTTATCTTGTTCCATATCTATAGTCCTGACAAGGGGTATCTATGTATGTTCCTACAACATGAGCATATAAAATTTTGACAAAATCCATAAACTAGCATTTGAGTTATTAATGATTACATTTTTGACAAAAAATGGTGGCCATTTTGAAATGAGTGGCCATATTGAAAAGGCCTCTTATAGCAGAGGTCATTTGCCCATTAGACAATTGCCTTTAAAACTTGGACCAAATTCCATAAATGGTATTCAAGTTATTAAAAGTCTTTTTTCTTGAAAAATGGCAGCCATTTCGAAATTCAGTGGCCATCTTGAAAAATCTTGTATATGCATTTTATATATACAATTTTAACCAAATCACCAACTGATGTTTTAGTTATCAAAGATTATATTTTTACGAAAAGTGGTGGCCATTTTGGATTTAGCAGCCTTATTGTAATTCCTTCACGAACAGAGATCCTACACCCAGAAGGCACAAGTCTAATTTATTAAAACATTTAATATTATTCCTAATCTTTGACTTTCAGTCCCAGCATCCATTGATGAGTTGAGCGATGATGAGCAAATGGATGACAGTGACTCACACAGAAGTGATTTCGATGATAGCAGTGACTCTTTAGCATCACCTATTAATATAGCCAGGCCACCTGGTACTAGGGACAATATGAATGCTAGCCTAGATAACAGAACTATAAGTAATGCTCAAGATCTGACACAATTTATGCTACCTGGTGACAGTACCAATGTGAATAAACATGATAAACTTTTACCAAATAGGAATGATAACAATTTGGAGGAAGTGCAATATTTGGAATTTGGAAAAGACAAGCAATGGATTCCTAAATCTCAGAGAATTGCTAATTTAGCGACTACTCAATCAGCCAGTCCAGTGTCCCCATCACCTAAAGCCCCAGAACCTCATCCAAGTCCATCATTAGTGTCAGGCTCTGGTGGGAATAAGGTGGGACTGAACCTTGTAAGTGAGCTACATGGTGCAAAGTCATCTAAAGGTAAAGATGATATACATGTATCAGAAAGAAGGGGGCATGTGTCCCAAGCAGGTCAGGTCCAGGGACAGGGGAAACTGCTTGTTGGTGCATATCAGAGTGCCAGTCCTGTGAACAGTCAAGATCTCACAATTAATAATCTTGGTAAGTCTTAAGAACCTGCATTATTTCCACTTTGCCAGGGCTGTTCTAAAGGTATTAGTACTAGTTTAGAAGGCTCAAATTATACAAATAGTCCTGCCATTGGGGGAAATTGTGCAAAATATTTTTTGAGAATATCCTGTCCACAGAGATGTTCCCGAGGCTGCAGGCTGAAGGAACATGTCAGTGGACAGGATATTAATGTAATTCAGCTGGCAACATAGTGAAATATTGGACCTTGGTCAACCTTAATGAATGCAGTTTGACAGATCATTTTGGAACTGTATATTCAAGAAAACAGAATGGAAATCCCCTCATTTATTGAAATATGTACACTGTGTGCCTACCATATAATAATGTGCATGTATTGTAAATCATAAAAAAAGATTTCCCATCTCACTTATGTACATGTATATGTGTTATTGTAAGAAAAGCTATAGAAGAGGGTGTGGCGTAACCACATGGTAAAACTTGTATTTGTAATGATAAGCCCTTTATGATTAGATGTTTCATTTTAGAAACTGACAGTGAGCCAGAGGTAGTGTCACAGATGTTGGAGAGTTACACTATAGAATCTAAGCCTAAAGGTAGGTTCCTGGCTTTATACATTACATTATAATAGAAATATTCCTTTTATAGCACAATACATGTACTATTATTTAAATTTGTTGCACATGTCAGTATTGTCTTATCAAAATTGCATTGCATATCATTTTAAACACATACAGGGTGGTCAAAAAAATGGTAACCCTGCATTTTCCTCATATCTTTTTCAGTTTAGAGGAGCACTCCCTCATATTTTCCACATTTGTACATCATTCAATTCCCTATCAGCCTATCACATTTTATGACCATCAGACTGATAGTCACAATGTTACAGCACTTTGAATAACATGCCCCAGGTGTGGCCATCATCACGCTTAGGCAAACGTGCACAAAATGGAGCATGTTGTTTAAAGTGCTGTAACATTGTAACAATTAATTTAATGGCCGTGAAATATTGTAGGCTGGTAGGAGATTGATGATGTACACATGTACCAAATATCATGGAGTATTTTTCTAAAATGACAAAGATACAAGGAAAATAGCGGCAATTTTGCCGTTTTATTTGACCACCCTGTATTTGCAACATTGTAGATAGCATCTCTTACCAGTATGTTATTCAATTTCCAGGATTGTGTCTTATCTTTAATAACTACAAGTTTGATAAATTGCCAGGGGGACAAAATAGTCAGGTTCAAGCCCTTGAGGATAGGAATGGTACTGATGTGGATTTAGGTAAGCTGTTTTACAACATGGAATATATTGTCCAACTTATGCACAGAGACCAGTCATTTAATAACATAAATACATGTACACTGTATTTGTAATATTTTATTCAGGATTCTACACTAAAAATTCCACATGATGGTCCGATACAATTCACTTGGGAAACATTGAAATCTTGAACTTAAATTAAAACTAATTTTTTGGTACCTCTCCCATTTACCACGGGACCGCCCCATTTACTATTTTGTAAGTAATGGATAGTACATCATCTATTTCTAAATTTCAGAAAAACTCAAGAAATTATTTACCCAACTGGGATTCCAAGTGGTAGTGGAAGAAAATTTGACGTCATGTGATATGCTAAATAAGTCCGTGGCATATTCTAGAACAAGAAAATTCAGCGAGTTCCATGAGAAGTCTGATGCATTTGTGTGGTGTATTTTGTCGCATGGCATCAGGGATGCTGTGTTTGGTACAGATGGCAAAGAGGTAACACAATAATATCCAAACTTTCATAGTAACCAGTTACATATTGTTATGGGCTTCATTTTTACAACCAGCATTTGACATTCGTTATCTGTAAAAAAAAGTTGAACTTTTGTAATTGTAACCAGATGGGACATTAGGGAGGTTAAGCTACATGTTTATTGGAGAATTTGAACATGAACATGTAAATATTACAGCCCTCAGTGACTTTTTCCCCCCTCCTAATTCACACCGGAATAGCCTGACAACGGTAAAGTCGGATACCGTTGTCACAAATGGCGGACATAACCGTCGCTTCAACTGTTTAATCACTTGGTCCTCATTTCATGGGGTTTATCGTCGCTAATTCTGTGCATGCATTAAGCTCTTGTGATAATGTATCATATGAAACCCCATTTTCCATCAAATTAGGTCGTGAATGGCCACAATATAGCGTCTTCGATATCGTAAATGACAACGGAATCTGAATTTGAGTAACCTAGAAAGACAACGGCATATGGTAATTACAGTGTCCGTTGTCCCGTATCTCATTTTGATCGGTTAAATTAAAGACTTCATTTCGATGGTAGAACATTATTAACTGTACAATGAGTATAAAGACACTTTGATTGATTGTTGTTCCAAAGAAATTTAGTCTAGGTGCTCTACTAAACATACAGTTGATGAAAATCTAATTGAAGCGATGGTTATGTCCGCTGTGACAACGGTATCTGACTTTACCATTGTGAGGCTATTCCGGTCTGCAATTGTTTTAACCAGGGACCTAATTACAACGTTTTCCTAATACACTTATACCAATCCAGAGGAGCAAATACTGCAAATGGAAGAACCATAGAGAATCATAACTCTACACATTCACTTACAAGTTATCTTAGAAATGTATTATAGGGCAAATTCTGGAATTGTCATTTACATTTACATTTTGTAATTTTTAAAGATTCGTTGGACAGTAAATAATATATTAACTATGAACAATTAACTGGATATTTACAATACTTGTATTTCTTAAATTATACAAGAACACACATATACTATATAGTATGCCCTCTGCTTTGAAAGCCATTGACATAATGTACCATTTCCTTGGTTCTCAAGATTTTATTATATTTATAGGTGAACATCAACAGTTTGACATATTTCTTCAAAGGTAGCAACTGTCCAGAGCTAATAGGGAAACCAAAGATGTTATTTGTTCAAGCATGTAGGGGTATACACGAAAGCAAAGGTATGGCTAAAGCAAGTAAATTGGAATCATAGTTTTGTGAGTTATGGTTAGTTTGCAATGTGTGAAAGTATTTAAGCTCAAGACTTGATGCAATGAGGCTGATTCATTTCACTCAGGCAATATTTCCTTAACTTCACACTCGATTCTGAGAATCTCATGCAAAGTTTGAAATAACGCCGTTTTGAGGAATGATTCAGTTTTGCGATGCACCGAGGCCAGGGCTAAATCCTTAAGTAACCCAAACTTTTTTTTGAGGTAGTAGAGGCACTAATAACCTAAAATTAGTTAAGAGTACCACAACTTCAAAGTGTCTGTTTTTCCAGGATAGTATATTCATCTAAGGCTGTACTGAAGTTCACAAAATTAACTGAAAATCATCTTATAAATACTTCTGTAATTTTAGCTGTGGTCCCTTTAAAGAAAAGTGAACAGTTTCGGACTGATGGTCCAACGGCTACAACACCTGATGAGGCTGATTGGGTGATTGGACAAGCTACATCACAAGGTCATATGTCATTTAGGAGCGAATCTCATGGAACTTGGTACATCACAAAACTTTGTGAGAATTTAAACAGATACCATGGAAGGTATGTACATCCATGGGCTCTAGTTGAAAGCCATCTATGCAGCAGTATTTAAAATGCATTAAAATATTTGGCGACTTTCAGATTTTTCTTATACAGCCATCCTAGTCACATCAATGCTTCTCTCAAAGAATTATTAAGATATATCAACACATTAAGTTTGGTAAAATGTGGAATTCAATTACTCATATCTTAAATCCTTTCATCCCATGTAAAAATTTTAGAATGGGGGACTCGTTCACTTAAAAGCCAATTTTGCATTCTTAGTGAGCAATTTTCACTTGTTAGTATTTTCAGTAGAGAAGGTAGTCTACTATCATCCATTGATAGTGCAATCACAGGTCATTTTTATCCTTTTTGCAGTTTTAAGGAAAACAATTAACAATAGGCTCTCTAGTTAGAATCAAGATGTAGAATCATTTAAGACTGTAAATATGCATTTTTATATTTCAGAAAATATGACTTGTTACAAATTCTGACAAAAGTGAACCAAGACTTGGCAAAGGGTGAAGCTGATTTCGAAGACAAATATGGAAACTCTTACATTGGAAAGCAACAGCCAGTACCATATTTTACCATAAACAAGAACATATACCTTACTTGCATAAACTCTAAGTGCAAAAGATGCTCATGAAGCATAAGCTAAGGATCTTTGATTAGCTTACCAAAATGGCATTACATACAAACCTGTTCTTAGGTTATTTTCACTTATATCTTATGACGATACCATCTGGTCTGAAATGAATGAAACCTGGCAATGACAGGTAGAGACCTTAAGCTCAAGCCTTGGATGTTCAAACGACTTCTAGGAACATCATTCAAATGATTGAATTGAAGGCATCACATTAAAAACTACTGTACTCCTCTTTGCAGACTGCTTTAAGGTCAGGGTGCATGTTCGGAATTTTGCTGCAACCCTCAATAGAAAGATGTAGACAATGTGGGAGAGTGATTCCTGTTTGAAAATATTTTCAAATTTCTTCATCCAGTTTAAACAAAAAAAGTTTTAAAATGTGAAGAATTAAAGTGATCTCTGCCGATCAAGTTCACTAAATTGAGCACCACCTGTTGCATATGTTTGTAGTAAACTGTCAAAAGAAGGCAAAAAGTGAAAAATCCTCAGATTTGGTTTCAAACCAATTTTAGAGCCTGGGATTCAAGAGGTTGGTGTGTCTATTTGATGGGATTTGCAACACCCTGGTGTTTCTATAATTTAACATGCTTCTCTTTGACTGGAGTGAAATGTAAATCCAACATATCAATTCCATATTAACTCCTGTATAAGTGGTATTTAATCCGAGTGGTTAATTTGCTGAATGGCCAAATTTTATAATATTCCTAATGACAAGAAACTTCCCATTGGATAACATTATGAATTGAAGATAATATTTCAGACATTTAATTTTCTGAACCTGGCAAAAATTAGCCAAAAGGCAAATTAAATGATAAGGCAAACGTCTGAACCTGGCAACAATTAGACAATAAGCAAATTAAATGATTAGGCAAAATTACCACTTATACAGTATTTATCGGGTAAAGTAAAATTTTGAAAATAATATTTCAATAAATTCAGCATTATCAATTTCATGTAAACACAAAACAAGTTTTCTAATTTTTTGTAATATATTATAATTTTGTTACAAATATGTCATAATAATATGATAAATGATATCTGTACATATAATAAATTGTTACATACTTATACAAGACATATGAATACAATATGACAATAATCTGTACATGTTTCATATGTAAATAGAAGTCGGAAATAATCATTTTTAAAAATGACAACTTTTTAGACTAATATCTAAATGATATAAGCAATGAGTAAGTGAAATGAAATAAAATAGTATTTATAATTTTCAAGTGACATAACTTAGTTGAATTGAATCGCTTAAAAATATATTAGATTATGCAGAATGTCCCCTATGATTGATGCTTAATAAAACCAGTCTTATGCATGGACCCAAGAAAAAGCTCAAATTGAGGCAATGCTCTATTCAATTATATAGGCTTTGAGGCCTAATTAGCCAGGATTTCCATGACCTGTGCACAAGACTCAGTGAACTATATTATTTAGTATCGAGTGTAGCAATACGTATGTAGTACCATATGCAACAGACAGTAAAATCTATATAAATTCATAAATTCACTTCACTTGAAAATGTATATACACATGGAGGTCTTATTCATATTTGGAGAGTGGATTTTTTCCAGAGGTCAAATGTTTCTTCACTTTGAATTCCTATCATTTTGGTTAAATAGTGGCTTTTGGTATATGCCAAAATTAGAAATCTGTGTATTCCACTTCCACCTTTCCTTATTTGGTAATAATTGGTGCAGGTGTCCTTATATGAATAAGACCTTTAATCCAATTGCATGATGCCCTTCAGTTTAAAAGTAACTAACTTCAAATTGAACATAATTCTGCCAAGAAGTCTAATTCAATCAACAAATATCTGAAAATACTGGCTGAATGAATTGTGTTCAGTAAGAATATGAAAGAGAATGAATTCATTTTAGGAACGAAAATCTTTATCAATTGAAATCAAATAAATCTTTTTTCAAACAAAAAAAAATTATTCAGAGAAAGATTATTTTGCCATATTTAGAATTTCTGACAGCGCATGCTATTTGAATACAACTAAAAGTACAACCCAGTTGGGTGGTGCCATCTATATGGTTCCTGAACCCTCTTTTCGTGAGACCAAACTTGAACTGGTTTCATAGCTGAGAGCGTCAGAGATCACTAATTTGATTTTGTCATGGCAAATTCACCTAATAATCTCAAATTCATTTTTCTTAACTACAATATATTAATAGACTATTAATCGTGACAACATTCATTTCATACTTTCAAATCCCATGGGTTTTTCAGAGAAGGGTATAACGCGTCCCAGACATTAAATACAAATGTCGAAATAGGGGAGGCATGGAAATACTCCATTTTATATTTACCCATTAAAAATAGGAGTATAATACCCTGCTCTAGAAAACCATACAAATACAACATGCACAGTACATGTAATACACTGATTGTTTTAACATTGAAATTAGTGTCAACCATTTTGAATTTATTATTCACATAAACACCCTACATCTAGTTGATTGTCTTTAAATCATTTGTTTAGTATTTGGCACTATCCTTAATAAGGCTTTATTTAGCCTTGTTTCCAACAACGGGCTTCTAACCCTAGAACTATCTCACTATTTATGTACAAGATTCCTTCCCAATCTACACTTGCCATTTCAATTATTTCATTTTCTAAATCATAGGTTTCAGTAGCAAATGAAGTCTACTTTTATATTAATCAACTAAGTTTTCTAACTAAAAGGTTTTAGACCTTTAACCATAAATGCATATATCATTCTTCAGTTATGGTAATATTCATAATAAAATATAAAAGGCACTTCAAATTCCAATACCTATAGACTATAAATACTGGTATATTATGGAAATGAAATATCTATCACATGACATGGATTGACCAATGGGATCCCTGCTTGTTGGTCACATGACACCCATGACCAAATGAAGAATTATTGCTAAGATTGAACGAAGAATGGATGAATATAATGAAGTAGCACCATTAAGTTTTTTAATACTCTACAACTGTAGCTAACATGCACTAAAACTACCTATAATTATCGCAATGGAACACCCATCGAGGAAATCCATTCCACATAAAACTCCAATTGCATTGACAAATGGCCGTTTGGCATATTAAATCCCTAAATTCATATAAATACACAAAGAGAATAAATCTGAGATTTGATATGCGTTGCCATGCCATTACGAAAATCTCTCTGGCAATGCTAAATATCTGCAATTGAAAATGTATATTTTCATACTAAAATAGCACTGAAAATGCTTCCAAACTGCATTCGTAAAATAACATGTACATACGTAATACATGTAACAAAACTCATACTGCACAATTATATACATTCCATATAAATGTACACTTATGAAGATGATAAAATGCTCTGTAAAATATTTTGTTTTAAAATATTCGTGCATAGTATTTTTCTTATATATGCAAGTGAATTGAGATAAAACTTTACATGTACGATTAAATTAAACATAATATATATGTTTACCATGTACTGGAGGTTCAACATTATGTCGGCACGTATAATAAAATCTTAGAGCAAATTCAGATTTTTAGTACATATATCAGATATTATGTCAATTTCCAGCCCCAGGAAATGCTTTATGAAGTCCAAAACATTATTCCCCCAATCCAGAGACTAGCAATGGTAAATAAATGAAGAATACCAAGGACATACAGGGGATGTCCAAGACAAAAACAATTTTAGTTCCAAAAACTATAAATGAAACTTTTCGAATTTATTTTATTCGAAATGCGTCTAGAAGATATTCCGAGCAACATGAAACATTAGCCAGGGTGGTAATTCTCTTGAGCGCCATTTTATTTCTTCTTGACAGTACGACGACTAGTAATCTCGACACAGAGTACAATGAATGAGTTGCTACAGCTCATTTCTGTCTGATCAAGCAGCATGTGTTTTTGTAGGCTACTGGCCATGCCTACATGTTGGTTCTTAGATGAGCCCCATGCCTCACAATAGGCTTTAGAGTTTCTACTACCTCCCATATCAGACCCATGCCACACTATCTTCTGAGGCCTGGAAAATATGTTATATATGTTGAAGTGATTTCAGGGTTGGCTATAACATGTAGTCACATATGATGAGGTGATTTCATGGTAGACTTTATCATGTAAAGTTCAACTGAGCAATTCAAAAACAGCATTTAATGAAGTACACAAAGAAGACTTCATTTTCACCAATTCAAACTGATTTCAAGCAATAATTAACTTCATCATAGCACTGCAGTTGATTATCATTGGATTATACAAGTTAATTGTCCATTTATATGAGTTATTTTTGTCTATATGAGTTATTTTTGAAAAAAAATGTCAAAATGGAATCAAATGGCTAAAATCCTTCAAAATGGAAAATTAGGGTTTGGTCTTGTTTTCTAATACCAACCTTTGTCTTTTTTTACATTAGTCTGGCGCATAGCTTCAAAAAAATACAATCAGCACATGTAAATAAATTGAGGATAAACCCCATTTTTTGCAGCTTAGCATCAGACTGTGAAAGTTCAATTAACTCACCATCTCTGGTCGTACATGACATCTTTACCATCAAAGGAATATAATGATACATTTTCATTATATCTAGCACCTCTTCCTGCGAAGATTTCTTGCCAGGAATTAAATAATTTTTGGCCCTGAAAAAAGTAAGATTTCATATATTTAAATATTTACCTCAATTCATTACCCTCCTTATACAGTATTATGTGTGTAGATATCATTTTAAGCTAACACTATGTTAAATGTTAACTAAATACTGCTTTTATGTTTAAAGAAATATATTTTGAAAATCAAACTTACTTTAGAGTTTACAACAGGTAGTGTTTTATCATTGTCATATACAACTAGAGAGTCGAGATTCTGGACTCGGGATGAGAGGAACGCTCGGAAAGTTCCCTTCATTTTAGCTTCACGAGCCTGTTTATGACACAGATGGTCCACGCCTCTTACTCCACGCATGGAGCCTGACATTGGGTTCTTTAATGCTATCAAATGTAACTGAAAATAAAAATATATAAATTGCATAATTATAGTACAACATTTTACCAGAACAAGAGAATGAGGTCTCAAACATTTTAGACTATGATTCCTCTTCAATCTTCTTTTACAATGTAACAATGACAAAAAAATGCAAAATGTCAGCTGCATGCATGTATTTTAACTTATTTGCATTGTGCATCATACATATATACAATGATGCAGATACAAAATGTGAATGTCAAATAAATATTGTAGATTAAAATTCACAATAATTAAAAAACAACAGGCAATGGGGAAATGTTAACTTACTGCTGGTCCATTGACTACGTTAGTGCCCTCTGGTGGGAACACCTCTATAGGAGTGGGACTAGGGGGCTGAAAACAATTAAACATGAACAATGAAATTGCATAATGTGTCTTGGCATTTCTGGCATGATTTCCTGGCATCCCTATACAACTCAAAAGTGTTAAATACTCAACTATGTACATGTACTTAATTCCTTGCTAATTTTGTGCTTTTTCACTCTATTTTCCACTTAAAACATGACTCTAATGAACATTTACAATACAGAAATACATATAAACTACTGAGACTTAAGGTTCTACTTACAATTGGAGTTGTACGAGGTAGGGGCAAGATTGGTCCCATCTGCAAATTAATAAATTGATAAATACATTTTGCCTCAAGATGTAAAACCTGCATAAGTAGATCACCTTAGGAAGCTTGAAAATGTTCCACTCAAGGAAAAAATTCTCAATGACTTTTTGCCTGTTGTTTACATTTGTTTTGCTTCTTATCAACAATGCTAATAAATGGCTGTCTTCTTTACACCTTGCTGAGTTAGGTTGATTATATTTTTTCATTTTCTATTTAGACTGTTGGCCAATTGGCTGTTTAAATATATTTCATTCTTTGCTATTTCCAAGCTTTTCCACTTTGTTTTCCATTTGGCATTATGAGCTCAAAGATGTGAAAAAATCAGGAAAAATATTCATATTAGGCCATAAGAAGTACATTCTCTGTTTTGCGTCCCCTTGCTTGCACGATTTTGAGTAAATCAGAAAAAACAAAGTTTTGAAAGTACCATCGCATTTCATTCAATCAGAATCGGACGAAATGGCAGATCATTTAATGTGCGTCAAAATTGATAGTGTTATTGATTACTTTTGCATACATTGTGTATTTTCTTATTTTGTACCCTTGAATAATAGCTATGCTTAAATATATTGTATAGGATGTATAGATATGTGTTTGTAATCACTGCAAATTGGCATGTCATCCCTTTATATGCCCATAAACAAGTTTGTGTTTTTTCTTGAGTTTGTGTTTGTTTTCCTTGTACCCTTGCATGATTTGGATTTTGCCATGACGCAAAACAAATAACCTACTTCTTATGGCCTTATCTGTTCTTACCTGTATGTACCTCCAACCATTAGAGATGCGGACAAAAAGTGCCTGTTGGTCAATGACATAAGCAATAGTGCCCTCTGGTGTGGTATGTGAGACTGACAGGAGATCATTCTGATTGGCAAATGTTACCGCCTGAAAAAACAATATAATGATATGACAGTACTAAGTTACTAACAAAGATGATATACCTAAATGTTAGTTTAATGCAATATGTATTTTAGGTTTAGAATTATGCATATTCAACAACATCCAACGAGTGTAAATACTTTCCCCATTGAAAGGACAATGTATGTCGGTAATAATAACAGTTTTTTTAAACATAAATGATGAGAAAACTAAAAAAAATTCCTTAACAAACTTGAGACAAATGAACTGAACTATTTTAATCTTAGTTGAATCCTGGTGGTGCTATTTTTCCAAAATATTCTTCAAACACACAATGTGCAGGTAAATGTTATAGTAAACGCATGTGAATTCTTCAGGTAGCCCCATTTGAAAGGAATAAAGATGACAACAGCTTAACTAACTTATCATTTAAAGTATAACTTCATTCGTTGAATACATTGTAAAACATCGATATTGATGAAGATTATAATGTGTAGAAGGTGGTGTAAACTTTGTGGCACTATGATATTAAATACATGTGATATGAAGGGGTGTGCTTTTTGATAGGGTACAACAAGTTATTATCATAAACTTAAAATAAGCAGAAAAAGTATTACTTTTAAGGAATAATGTCGAGAATCACTTATAGTATGTGAGAACACCCAATATGTTCTCGGTAGGTGAGCTTTCGATCAGTATGTGAGAGCACTTGGCGTGCGAGAGCACTCAGTGTATGAGAGCACTCAATTTGCGAAGGCACTCCTTATGTGAGATCACTCAGTATATATGAGGGCGATCAGAGAAATCAACTCAAAATTTTTCATGAGGAAAATGTGAGGTATGGAACCAATTTGTTTTTTATGTTTAAGATAGATATGAACACATCAACTACTGTATTGTTCAAGACCACTATAACTCAAGACAACTACTGCTCAAGACAGCTACAGCTCAAGACAGCTACAGCTCAAGAACACAGTTCAAGACAGTCAGTTGTAGCTCAGGAATGATATATCTCAAAATATCTATAGCTAATGACAACTATACCTCAAGACAACTATTTCTCAAGATGACTATATGTCAAGACAACTATATCTCATGAAGACTAAGGTCAAGACATCTATATGTCAAGACCACTATACCTCATATCTACTATTTTATCTGTACCTCAGGTATATTTTGATGCTGTCACTACATATTACACAAAAATGCAAAGATGCAGTAAGTACAGAGTGGTCAAAAACAGTACAAAATTCATGAAAAATTATACAATTATGTAAAATGATCAAACTATGGGGGTACAGGGGAGTTATGAAGAGTTGGCACATTAAATATATTTCACACCAAACAATGTGTACTACATTACATGTAAATGTATTTTTCACACCAAATAATGTGTACTACATTACAAATGAATGTATATTTCACACCAAATAATATGTACCATATTACATGTAAATGTATTTTCACACCAAATAATATGTACTACATTACATGTAAATGTATTTTTCACACCAAATAATGTGTACCACATTACAATCGAATGTATATTGCACACCAAATAATGTGTATTACATTACATGTAACTGTACATTTCACACCAAATAATGTGCCCTTAATTACACGTGAATGTATATTGCACACCAAATAATGTGTACTACATAAAATGTGAATGGGAGAAACAATGGAAACCATGAATTGGTGAAACATACAATGAAGAGTTCATAAATCTTATCATTATCTGATCTGATCATAAATCTTAAATAATAACACAATATAATTTGTTAAAATGGATATAGATTATAGACAGCACACTTTCAAAATGGCTGTCATTTTTGTATGTTGCGTTTCCATGGTAACCATTGTTGCTATTAATCTTACACTGCGCAGAACTTGTTTGTTTCCTTCCTAGATGCAGTAACACGATTGAGAAATGCAAATTATTTTGAATACAAGAGAAAACTTTTTCTTGGTAGACCAGTAATGTACAATAATTACTGAAGTATATGAAGAAGATTTCTGTTCTCAAGTTGTGATATTAACTTTGGGAGAATGGGGTATTCATACTGTAACAAGGCATTAACATGACGAAATGTCACCATAATATTATTAGATGTCACTCATAATATTATTAGTTCAATCTTAAGTCAGATTTGAACTTCTGAGAACTTGTAGATGATTTTGTGAAAAAAAATTGGTCAATTTGAAGCAACTTGAAAAAATACCCTTTTTAACTTGAGAAGGTCATTGAAGGTCAAATATTTTTTGACCTTGAGAATGTCATTGAAGGTCAAATCTATAGTCAGATTTGAACTTTTGAGAACTTCTAGATAATTTTTTTGAAAAAATTGGTCAATTTGAAGCAATTTGAAAAGATACCCTTTTGACCTTGAGAAGGTCATTGAAGGTCAAATATTTTTTGACCTTGAGAATGTCATTGAAAATCAAATCTATAGTCAGATTTCGAACTTTTGAGAACTTCTAGATAATTTTGAAAAAAATTGGTCAACTTGAAGCAAGTTGAAAAAAATAACTTTTTGACTTTTTTGACCTTGAGAAGGTCAATGAAGGTCAAATCTCAAATCTAAAGTCAGATTTGTATAAACAGTATTTGTTAAGTTATTGGACGTTTTAAGAATTTGTTACAGACGCCAACCGCCGATCGTTCACTGTCTATCGCCAACCAACTACTGCCATGGAGACCATAACAATATGTCACCATTTTTTGGTGGTGACCTAATAAATATTGTTACTGCAGAGAGTGCAAAGTAACACGATCCCTAATCATTATGTATTCTAGTGAAATGAAATATATTTCACATGAAGCAAGAGACAGAAAGCATATGTGAGAATATCTCTAATCAGTGATACAAAGCTTCCAATTGATGATTAACATGAAAATTTACAGAACTACAGATGAGATATAAACCATATCTATTTTGAAACCATAAATACTTGGCGTAATAAAAACAAAACATACCGTGAATCTTGTATCAATACTACTGTCGGTGCCTCCCTCTATAGTGTCTCCAGGAATACCAGGGGGGCCAGGTGGACCTGGGGGTCCTGGGCGACCACCTCCTCCATGTATGTTTGAGGGTCTGCAGTCTCTGGGGCATATTCCTGGAGAAGGGATCATTAAAATCAATGTAGCATTTGCAGAATTATATCAAGCTTGCTCAGTGTTGATTAGACTGAAATTCCAGCATATTCTTTATATTTTGAACTATGTGTTGGTCTACAATAACAGGTCAATATGGATGTAAAAATGTGAGAATATGTATTACACACTTCATTAATTAGTTGTTATCATAATCATGATAATAACATAAAATTCTCATTGTGTCAAGTTAAAATATCTTAATCAGAGTGACAGTGAGCACCATTATCCAATATTTTGTCATCATTCATGTGTATTTAGTGCCACCTACCTGGGGGTCCAGGAGGTCCTGGGTAGCCTCTGCCAGGAGCACCAGAAGGTCCCTGTGGTCCAGTCCTACCCTGACCTGGCTGGCCCTGCAAGCAAATCATGTAGACACATATTTAACAGTTTCATAAATCACTTATCCCCAATACAAACAAACTATGCATAATTAAGGGAAAATGATCAGAATATTCATGTACTTGACGAACTATGCATAATTAAGGGAAAATGATCAGAATATTCATTTACTTGACGAACTATGCATAATTAAGGGAAAATGATCAGAATATTCATGTACTTGACGAACTATGCATAATTAAGGGAAAATGATCAGAATATTCATTTACTTGACTAACAGTATAATTAAATTCTTTATAATTAAGGGAAAATGATCAGAATATTCATGTACTTGACAAACTATGCATAATTAAGGGAAAATGATCAGAATATTCATGTACTTGACTCTTCATGCCCATGAAATAATATATTAGAGCTAATAATATTACAGTAGAAGAGAAATGCCACAAAATGAAAATGCCTCCATCGTGCTCTGTCCACAGACATTAGTGAATGATGTTACACTTACAGGGGGTCCAGGAGGTCCCATAGGGCCAGGTACTGTGCTGACACCGCCAGCCCCTATTATCTCTCCAGGTTCTCCTTTCTGACCATCCAGTCCTGGGTAACCACGCTCTCCCTTGAAACCCTACAACATGTATAACATGTACAACATGTGTAATGTTGAATTTAATTTGCGAGAATATATATAATTTATTTCCATGAACCATATAAAATACATGCAACAAGTATTCCTGATATCTTATTTAAAAATAATTTGTAATTAATTTTCATAAATCAATCAAACATAATAGCCATAGAACAAGTTATTGTGATTTGATCTGATTATCTTCATGATTTCTCTTATTTTATCCATGAAACATGTAAAAGCCATATAAGAAGTATTTAATTAGTCATATCTGATTTTAAAATCTTTTATAATTTCTTCCATCTAATCCATGATGCATATCACCATACAACAAGTTATATCTTGTTTTAAAATCTCTAGACCTCTTATAATTAATCCATGAAATATATGAGAACCATATAAGTATTAGGCACTTTCTTTTAATCAATATTAGAGATTTTCAAGTCAGATACCACTTATGCTTCTTGTATGGCTATTAAATATTCTTGGAATTAACTCTTATAACTTCTTTTAATCAAGCAAGGACACATAGAATAGCCATACAAGTATAAGAAGTATCTCATAGAAGATCTCTTCAATTTCTGTGAACTAATCCATGAACCATATAATATAATATAATATAATATAATATAATATAATATAATAGCCATACAACATGTAATAGTGATATCTGATTTGGAAACCTCATGAAATGTAAATATGGTAATGTAGCATAAACAAAATGCTTGGACTCTATGTCATTCTAAACCTTGTGCTATGGCAAAACAAAAGTGTAGAAAAATATCAGAATTGAATTTCTATTCAACAGATAATAAAGACTTACGGTTTCTCCTCGAGGCCCTGCGGGTCCATCTAAGCCTGGTATTCCAACCTGCCCTGGTATACCAGGGTGTCCTGGGAAACCACGGGGTCCTTCATCACCTTTAGGACCCTGGGGTCCAGCTGGTCCGGGTTGGCCATTGCTGCAACCTCCCTATAAGATATATCATGAGGATAACAACATATAACTATATAATGGCCTAGTTTTTTTTCTACCACACAAACAGTATAAGGATGGCTGGTTGGAATTATCCTTGTTTCATACTGTAGTGAATGTCTGAGAGTGACATGACTCGTGTGGGTTTCAGAATTCATAGATACTCTTAAGATAACAAGGCAGAAACGTTATATGGCATTTTAATGGGAGTTTAAATGAGAGGTAGCTGTTAGGACTAGTAGTTAAAGACAGAAAATGTCATGATTTTCTGGCTACAAACTGATAAAGGCTAAAAAACAAGCAATTATCTATAACTGGGAGTCCTGAAAATTGTGCATGTAAATATAATCTGTGCCGACAGTGTAGTAATATCATACATACCCCAGCTCCATCTATTGTGTTAGCACATCGGGACTCGGACCCAGGGGGTCCTGGTGGTCCAGGGGGTCCTTGTTCTCCCTTGCGTCCAGCCCCTCCAGAGCCAACACCTGGCTCCCCCTTCAGGCCACGTGGTCCTGCTCGGCCCTAGAATGATCAAATGCATTTACATTGAGGATACTTCATTGAAAACATAAGAAGTGAGCTATCGTTAGCTAATTAAACATAGTTTGGCCATTCAGTCTTCATAAAAATTTGAAGTTTCCCTTCCAAATTATTCTCATTCCAAAATGGCGAACAATACTATGAAGTACATGTACCATATTGGTACATATGTAGCAACTTACAGGGAATCCTGGCATGCCAATCTCTCCCATGGGTCCTAAGGGTCCTATTGGACCAGCAGGACCAGGAGACCCAGGTCTGCCTCGCCTTCCACGTTTTCCCTTGTCCCCCTTGAAGCCTACACACATCTTACAGCCTCCAGCCTCCCCTGGTGATCCCTTCTCACCCTGCAACAAATAATATAGAATTGTTAAACCTCAGACACTTTTGTGAAATTCTACATTGCTTTTAAGTTATCTTAAGCCTGAAAACACACTTACTAGTTCATGTATGCCAGTGTGCTCCAGTATATATATTGTTTTTCAAGAAAGATCAATAAGACTAAATTGCTATTGCCTGCTATTGAACAGGCCAAGAACTGAATAAAACATCAATAGTTCATTCTCTGTATGAATCAAGAGGGAAACTCTGTGGACAAATGGGACAAAACTCCCTAAGAGACTCGGGTAACATGTAAAAACTGTAGGGTAAATACCTTGACGAATGCATCAGGTCCGAGTGCTCCATCAGGGCCGACACTTGTCACCCTACCTGGTGGTCCTGGGAGCCCAGGTTGACCATCTTTTCCTGGTCTTCCTGGCTCACCTGGTGTTCCCTGCAATACAACATGTCACCCCCAAATATCATTCTCAGTCACTTAACAAAAGATGATGTTTTCAGGATAAACTGTCAACATCATCAAAATAGGAATTAAAATTCAAACATTGGACACTTTGAATCGGAAAGTGTTTGTGAAAATATGAGTAAGGGCTAAAAAGGCACTTTGAACACATATCGCTCAAATATTCTCAAATATTGGCATAATTCTAAATGAGTGACTAAAATATCAAGTAAGTGTCTATGTCAACTTACAGGTTGTCCGGGGGTTCCTGCTGCACCAGGCTGACCACGACTACCTGGTGAGCCATCAATGCCTGGTGACCCTGGTTGCCCTGGTAGTCCAGGTTCACCCTACAATAAATAGCTATCTCCTTACATCACACAGTAAACATATAGAGTCATCATATTATTATGAAATGTTCTAAAGCAAAATTAGCTTGTTCAGTACATCAAATTATCACACAGTTTAATAAGTCAACTTTCTAAAGTTTAATATCTCACAAGTATTGAAAAACAGATGCTACGACATTTAAGCATTTTATAATCACTTTTTGACCAGGATAAAATTCATTTGTACTTTTTGCCCAAGGAGGTGAAAACTGACAATTGTACAGGAACATATTAACATGACATTATTATTAACATGGGCATATTAACATGGGCTTTCAAGAGAATCAAAACCCATGATACGAATAACACACTCTCTTATTGCATGAATACAAATACAATATCATTTATAATTGCTGGACAAAATATTTCATGATCAGGCGACCTCAATCCACATCTTCTTTACACCTATTGCAAACATATATCAAACTAAGGTAAATAAAAATATTCACTATATTAGTACTAAATAAATCAAAACAAAAACAAACAACAAACCAAATTGTACAAACGACATAATAATCACTACATTACTACTATAATATACTACACAAGGCAAAATAAAATAAAACTCAACAAAAAGGAACAAATTTAAGTACATTTTTTAACAACCCACCCATCACCGGTGAAATATAAGCACTCTGCACAACCAACATCCTATATATACAACAAAGTCAGCTTCGTTCAAATGATGAAAACCAAAATTACCTGGCAACAAAGCATCTCATAATAAAAAATATATATAACATAGCTTTCTAGCTGACTAATATGTGAATAGAAACAAATAAGGAAAAAATATGGAAAAAAATAAAAAGATGAAAAAATCACTTTTCTAAAAATAATTTGACAACTCAAATACTGGATGTTAAGACGCAACGATTCATAAAAGAAAAAGTACTATAACCGAAAAAAACTATGTGTAAAAATCCAGATTGTAATACGAAACACTATCGCAATAAATATTGTGCAGGGTTTCAGAGAGTGCTGGAGTGAAAAACAGAAATCGGGACAAGAGAAGTGTGAAAATCAGAAAATGAGTGAACTATGTGTGCAGAAACCAGAAAAGATGGCACTGATTGTTGTTATACCTTGTCACCTTGTAAGCCTTGGACCAATCTCCGCTCCCCATCCTCAATGATAATAACGGAGCCCGGCAAGCCACGAGGCCCGGGTTCACCAGGGGGGCCGGGTAGCGCGATAGCATCCCTCCCTCTATCACCCTAAGGCAAACAAGGGAAAACCATGCCTTCACAAACATGCACAGAACATGCATCTAGGGGTTACATCAGGCCCAGGAGAAAGTATATGGTTTGGTTAGCTCCAGTGGTAACCCAGGAGGGGAAGGGGTTATATATTTCCCTAAGGTAAACCTGTGAATATTAGCTCATTAAAAACATAAAAGTACAGATTTTGTCATTTTTTGTCATTGAAACAACAAGTTCTCCATCTGTACTTTTACATGTTCAAATGTAAACGTAGGAATAAGGTTGTAAAGGGTTAACCATATACCTTATCAATGGGAATACAAGAGACACAAAATGGCTACCAAATATTTTCACCAAATGAGTATAATCACACAATTCTCATTTTAGAGAGTGATTTCTATATGGCAGCCATTTCCATGTGGAAGGATTGTTAACAGGTGGCCAGTTGCCATCTGAGGCAAAGAGTAAGTTGACAATCCTTAATTACAACATAAACTAATCCATTCACCCATGACGGACCAATCCACGTGTTGAAGGAGGGGTGATTGGGTGATTGATTACCTGGGAGCCTGAAACGCCACTTATGATATTTCCGTCAGAGTCTGTCAGTACCCCAGGGGACCCAGGTTGTCCTGGTAATCCTGGGGGCCCAGGGAGGCCAGGTAAGGCCACACCGCTGTCTCCTTTATCTCCCTAACATGGCATATGTATGATGGCAAAATGAGTACATGTTCATATTTTAAACACACATGTGATGAAATTTCAAATCGTATATATATATTGCTTCAATAATTTGTTACTGTATTCAATGATTCATATTTATTTCAAAATCAAGTATTTTAGTTTTTTATTTAATTGTTTTTGTTATTGTTACCATGGTAACAATATTAGTCATACCTTTTCTCCATTTACTCCAGGGTTGCCAGGGTAACCAGGAGTTCCACTAAGACCTTGAATGCCTTGGTCCCCTCTATCTCCCTTAAAACCTTGTGCTCCCTCAGCTCCTTGGTATCCCTAAAAAATTTGGAACATATTCAATGCATTGATATTACCTCAGTACCACATGATTCATGTACTTTGAAGTCATAAAATTATTCTGAAACTGTTGAAGACTCCATCATGAAGGACAAACTAAGGCCAAAAATTGAAATGCTATGAATCAGTATGTCTTATTATATTGGGATGTTCACCCAGGGATGTTAAATCTCCGAAATTTGATTTTGACCATGAGCAGGAACTCAACCTACCCTCTCTCCTCTCTGTCCCATGTCACCCTTTAGACCCTTCTCCCCAGGGTGACCGTGATCTCCACTGGGTCCTGGTCGACCTGGAGCTCCTGGGAGGCCTCTTGGGCCCCTGGGTCCTGGCAGACCTACACCACCCCCTATAAAGCCACCATCTTCTCCATTGCCAGAACCAACACGCTGGAATAATAAAAATATTATTAAGTTTATTTCTTTCAATGAAATGATACTTGTATCCCCAGAACACTACAGTCTAAAAGAATAATGGGGAAAATTGTCGAAAAAATAAAAATAGTATTTTATACTTTGTTAAATACAGATTATTCCATAATAGCAGTCACAAATATTTACAAGTAGGTAACAATCATTCTTTTATATTCCAATGTTGCATTTATTTCTAACTTTTAAAATCATACATTTTGCCCATCAATTTTTACAGAAAAAAATAGGCACACAAACATTTAAATTTGTTTACCTCTCCCCCTATACCAGGTGATCCAGGAGGGCCTGGGGGTCCAGCATAGCCTCTAGGTCCAATGGAGCCAGGTAACCCCCTATCTCCGGGGTAACCTCTCTCACCCTGGCTGCCTCCTTCTCCTTTGTCTCCTTTAGCCCCCTGAAATAAAAAGTTTAGAATTAAAATATAATTTGTATCATTTATAATTTGTAGCTTTTGTACCAACTGATGACGCACCAAATGAGGAGTTTCCCAATAGCAGTATCCTTGCAACAGGGATGGTTAACCAACTGACCAACTATTACATATAGGTGGAGGTTAAATCACCTTTGCTGGGAGCACCTTCCAATAACAATTGGATATAGTCGGACTATGGACAAAGTCCCATTGCGTAGCCCCCGAAATCCGAGGAAGGGAGACTACTGATGATGTATCTTGGTAGCCAGTATTGATGTGCACTTTGTGTTTTATTTATGAACTCTCTAATGTATATCATATTGGTATTGTTCAGTTTTGTATCACTGACATACATACGACATACAAGTACAGGCATAGCAGGGCATCCTAAAATGTACTTAACAGTACATGTACATTCAGTCATGTAGGTTTTCTACCACAGCCCTTTTATTTTACACATCATATATCAACTTAATATTTCTCAATTGACCATGCTTATTTAGCAGTTATGTCCCTATCATTGAATATATGCCTAAGGTCTGTCACCAATATAGCCCGAGCTTGCGAGGGTTATATTACGACAGACCGAAGGCATATATTCAATGATACGGACATAACTGTTGTATTACATACTTTTATATCATGGCTACGTTATATCAATGACGCCACGTGTCTGTGTGCGAGTGAAATTAGGAAGAAATGAAACATGACGTCCCGATGACGTCATAAGATTGTCATGGTAAAAGGTTTGGCGGCTATACAGGATAGGAATATATAGCCGACCTTCAGCTCCATTGACTTCAATACAAATGCTTCGCTGGGTATGTAATACTCCCCTATATTTCATTCTAAGATTTGAATGAAATATCCAATTCTCATACTATTTGAAATCTTTGCTACGTGCCACTGACATCCACGCTTATTAGCTTTTTCCACTTGTAATACTTACATCTCGTCCACTCGGTCCTGGAGTACCTGGTCGCCCAACATCCCCGGGTTCTCCTGGCCTTCCCTGAAATATGCATGGGCCAATTTATGTTAAGTGTTTTGCTTTAACTGTACATTTTAGCGGAATATATAATAATTTTTATTTTCAATATGGTTTCAATCTTTCTCCACCTGGTAAGGTAAAAGTATTTTTAGTCTCGCAAATATTTCTGATTTTGCCTTTTCATTTCTAACATGTTTTAAATAGTGTTGCGTTTCTATTCATAAACAAGATAATGACATCAAATGCTTTTAATCGAGTTATGTCTTTCAAGTGGGTGCCACTTACAGGTGCTCCTGGGATTCCATCACGTCCTGGCTGTCCATCAATACCTGGTGGTCCAATGATCCCTCTCTGTTCAGTGCCAGATCCTCCTGTGCCTACAAAGTATAACAGGCATGCATAAAATTCAATGTTTCAAGGGCCAGGGGTACAAAATCATGTGTCATATTTCTCATGGGCCTTACACAGTACTGCCTACGTGAAAACTGTTCTTATGTACAAGACAAATAACAGATAAGACATACTGTATGTACATGATATACATAACATTGTTTTGATGTTTATTCTTTCTTGAAAATGTACCATATTTCCAATATATCATATGGGGAAAAAATGGGCCATACTTTGATGCTACATTGCTGTTAAAGTTTCTTAATGATCACAATATTTTCACTGTTCTCACAACTGTTACACAATGTTTAGACAACACTCCGACATGGTGCCAATTAGATGCTTTCTAATGTTATCTCTCTGTTGATTACTCATCGACTATTTATTGATTTATATATGACTGTTTAAACAAACACCCACTCATAGAGGAAACAAACATAGCTCTGGTTTAAAGACTACCCTATGACAAATAAATAATGCAATCATGTCATGGCTCAAATGTATCTAAACGCATATAAGTACTTCCTGCTTGTCAATGCTGTTATGCAATGATATTTATTTGAGAAATTAGGAGAGTAAACAATAAAGATTTAACTGATTATCGTAGATTAAGCAAACATTTGATACACCATTAGAAACATCCTGTGGAAGTCGGATAAATAAAACATTTGATACATATTTGATACACAAACATAGTGTTATTCACTAGTGGATATATCCGTCCTATAAGTATATAATGTAGTGCTTCAAATGAAAATTGATGAAAATGGATTTTTTAGACAAATGGATTTCATTTGTTTTTTAAAGGATCTGGTCATTCCCAGGTCCAGTCTTGTTTACTTTAAACCCACTTTAATATTTAAAACATAATAAACATCATAACTGAGGAATGATCAGCTTTGATTGGGTCACTGGTTCACAAACTTAGAATTTTAAGAGTGAGAAAGTCTATCACATTTGGCAAGATTAGATGTACGATTACAATTGTGTAACATGAAAAAGGATGGAATGATATTACTGTTCTCATCTTCAAATAATGTGAGCTTTCATTCATTATTTATTTCATAAATAAATTACATGTATTAGGATCTTGAGTTTCACTGAATTGCAAACAAGCAATGGTCAAGAAGCCGTGTTTATCCGGTTTTGGTAAAATGTTTGTACCTGGTATTCCAGGTTGTCCTGGTGGACCTGGTTGTCCAGGCTCTCCTGGTCTACCAGGAATGCCAGGTCGGCCTATTGGTCCTATAGGTCCTGGTGGTCCAGGTGGTCCTTCCCTCCCTGGGCCCTCGCCATCCCCTGAGATCTCTAATGCTTCCCCAGGTGGACCAGGGGGTCCAGCGGGTCCTTCATAGCCTCTTGGACCCACAATGAATTCACCCTAAAAATGAAAAGATGATTTTGTACATATCATTATCTCTCAATGTTACAATGGGTGAAACAAGAAACACAAAATAACAATGCATTAACATGGAAAATGTCACAACCTGCCATTTATTACAGATGCCAATTATAGACCACCAAACATTAACAACTGAACACCATCCACAAAAAAGTTGGAGCCTATAAAAATCAGGATATTCAATATGCTTATACAAATAAAATGGATTTACAGTACATGTAATTCAGTGTGAATAACATGTATATCTTTCATCTCCATGGCATTGATGAAAATATGTAAATGTAAATAAACTACAAGTATTTTAAATCAAAAATATGAATCAACTTACAGGAGGTCCTGGTGGTCCAGGCAAACCATCTGTTCCTGGTAGCCCCAATGGTCCAATATCTCCCATCTCTCCTTTGTCACCCTTCTGTCCATAACTCACGCCACCTTGTACAACCTCACCCTTCAATTCAATATATTGTATTTTATTCAAAATTGCTTAACTTTGTAAATAATGAAAATTCATTTGCTTTCAATAAAATGACATCTCACGGGTCATGCTTCTACAAAGAAATTCATATCATGCACAACTTATGAAAATATATACAAGCTACTTCTCATGGCAATAACAGTTTATCTTTTTAAGATTAGAGCTATAATATTTGACTGAATTATTTTACCGGTTCTCCCTTTGCTCCTTTATGCCCCTGTTCCCCCTGATCTCCCTTGATAGGTGGCGCTCCTATAGGTGGGTACCCAGTTCCTCCGGCTCCTGGAAAAGACAACAATAAACAGATTGCACCTTGGATGGATGCAATATTTTGTCTGGACCTATTCTGTTCCTTCACGGCCATCAATGGTGCACCAAGTGTCTGCCCCTGACCCTCGTATACTAAATGTACCTCTCCCTCACATACCATGTAACCACATATACAACCATATTGCTCCTAGGATTCACTGTATTCTTGAATGTGTCTAGTATTATTGAGATCATTTCCATTAGGACTATTTGTACCCATTGTTTGGGGTGGATTACTGCCAATTGTTTGTGGGTATGATTTGCTGTCCATTGCAATTTTTTGTGGATGTGGCATGCTGCAGGGATGGTTGGCTGCCAATTGTTTGCACTTCCCGCTGTCTATAGGTGTGGTTTGCTGCTCATTCATTGTGGGTGCTGTTTGCTGCTCATTCATTGTGGGTGCTGTTTGCTGCTCATTCATTGTGGGTGCTGTTTGCTGCTCATTCATTGTGGGTGCTGTTTGCTGCTCATTCATTGTAGGCGCTGTTTGCTGCTCATTCATTGTGGGTGCTGTTTGCTGCTCATTCATTGTAGGTGCTGTTTGCTGCTCATTGTGGCATTGTTTATCTGCTTATTTACTTGGGAGTTTTGCCTATTGCTTATGTAGGTATTGTTTGTGTGGGTCTTTTGTTGCAGATTGATTCATGAGTACTTCTCCTGGCTATTGTTTATGTGGGTGTTTTATTCCCCATTATTTCTGTGGGTATTTCACCCTTGCTTATGTGGGTATTTTGTTGCTCATTGTTTGCCCATTTCTCCGTCTATTATTTCTTTATCAATTACTTTCATGCTATATATTCTTTTGGACGAGTATCTATCATTTTCTGAATTCTGATTTAGATAAATGCTATCTAATATTCTTATTTCTTTGGTAGCCATGCATTGTGTCTTTATCTTTGGTTGGTCGAGGTTTGTATCCATAATTTGTATATATCCATCATTTGCATGAGTGTCCACTGTATCCATCATTTTCTCAATTGCATCTATATTGTTGAGAATGGTGATGGTGCTCATTAATTATTACAATACTTACACATTTTTCCTTTCCGACATAAAAACATAATGGTCGCTTCCTATATAATAATGCATGGCAACACAACTAATCCACTGCAGCATTTGAGTTCAAGTTCAGGATCCAAAACATTAATATCAATCTACAGTTTTCAAAAAGTATGAAACAGCTGACTTTTATCATCATCAAGTACAGGGTGTTTCAGAGGATTGTGGAACAATCTACATATACAGGGTATTCTTATAGTATATGGTATTGAAAAATGTTGAAACAAAGTACAATATCAATACAATATGTCACATTATTCTGTGAAAAGAATACAACTTATGTCTTTAAAATCTGTCACAATAAAACATGACAGTGTTTAAATAAAAGAGCATGATCTCCAAATAACACAACTCTGAGCCATCCACCCCTATTATATATATTGTGCTGATTATACTGTAGTTTATCTTATTTTTCAACACATAATGGCTTTCCATTAGATGGATCAGTTTTGCATTTCACTCATACTCTAATTGTATTCTGAATGAGGCAAAACAAGATTAAATATATCCTGGATATTTCAGAGCGGATGGTTTTTAAGGGTGAAATGGTTGTTCAGATTATGGTATTCTTAGATTGTGCTCCTTTGAAAGTGTAGTAGAAATTGTAAGAATGAAAACAAACAAAAAACATACTTTAAAATACAATTATAAAAATGTCAACAATATGTATAAGTTCATAAAGATATAAGAAACATACATGTATTAAGAAAAAATGAAGATAAGAAGATCTACGCAGTTCAGACAAAAATAAAGTTTCTTATTATGTCAAGTTTTACTTCACCCACAGCCACTGTAACCAAGGTTAACAAGGCTTAACTAAGTATGTCAAAACCAACTAATAGTATGTAAAGTTAAGAATTATAAGGAAAGAACCAATCAAAGTTAATTCTGTTATTTTCAGAATTATTAATAATACCAAAAATGAGAAATCCCATGAAATTCTCCCTGAAGAAACTATTAGATGCAAAAACAGAAAAAGCATGCAAATAAAAATAAAATGTTATTGTAATATATGAAAGTTAAATATTAGTTCAGCAGATATAAGTATACACATGTAGATGCTTTGGAGCATGGCATTGACTTCAGATAAGAACTTTTGAAAGTCAAATCCCAGAGGTCAAACTAAGATATTGGCAGCATCAGGTTTAAAAGCATTTCAGTCCAAAAACTGGTGTCCAAATTTTCAAAAAAGTTCTTGCCCCCTCCCTCTGTCTAGCGTCAATTTGCAAGTCCATTACTGGTATTGGAAGGGACATACAATAACTCTAAAGTAGCGGTCACACTAGCCGTGTAGGCTCACCGTTCGCCACCGTGTGGCTAATTATGGCCAGACGGCGGTGCACGGTATGGCCACACGGTGGGTCGTTTCCCGCCCGTTGAGAAACGTTCGGGGAACGTTGCCGTCCATCCACACCCGGCGAATTTTTTGAGCATGCTCAAAACATTTCCCGTTTGAGTAACGTTCGGTTGCGAACGGTGATAGCGGTACGGGAATGGTATAAGGACGGTGCGGCCGTTAAGGACACGTTCGCAGAGCGGTAATGGGACGATGGTGGACGTTGACTCTATCAGTGACGGGCTGCGAACGAGAGTGTACCGCTTGGGTACCGTCCGATAAACGAGGTTAAAACGGGGGTTTGAAAGGTCACATAAAAAGGGTTTTCACGGTACCAGCCGCTTAACGCTTAGGTAACAGTCTATTAACGTGTTAACGGCCTTATAACTGCTCCATAACATCCTCTAAACATCCTATTACCGTGAACTCGCAATTGTACCGCCTCGTGATGCAGTGTTGTCACCGTGCTCTGCCGTTTCAACAATTTTGCCTCCAGTTTATTTAAATATTCAGGTATTGTCCAAGGTTTTGTCCCGTAACTCGAGACATCAATTCTTCGACTTTCTCATTTGTACTTTGAAGCCACAAATCCACTCAAACCAGAAAAGAAGAAAATAAATAAATTGCAAAAATGATTAAAGCTCAAATAAAAGTGAAAATAAATGTCCAGTTAGCATTATAAGCCAAACTTCGAACTATCAACTGTTTTATGCATTTTACGTGATCTTTCTGTTCACGTTACCGTCCATCAAAAAGTTGTGAAAGCTTTATTTCTCATTTACACGACCAATTATATAAGAAAAAATTAATAGGGTGGAGGAAGAGCCGATTTCTGTCAGAAAATTCAATAAAACTGCAATATTCATGTTCATGACAACTTAACATTCACCCATTAATCCCTTAATGATTAAGCTACGGTATAACAAAGATGTGAACCGTGAATTTTCGAGTGATACCCTTCTGAGTTATTCGATTAATTTAAAAAGGCGCGACGTCACCAGCGTGCAGAAAGTCAATATTTTTTGGTATATAACTCAAACGACGCAGGTCTGTGACGCAATTATCACAAAATATATGTAGTTGCCGTTTTACAAAACGTTATAAAAATAATATAAAACACCGCCGTCTTTTTCCGAAATCAAATAAGATTTGGCATATTTTTATTAGTGATTCAATAAACTGACCAATTCGAGTACAGTTCACTTCGAATCCCTCCATTTTAATGAGGAAAAATATTTCTAAACGTTGGAGGGGAGTAAAGGTTCAATCTGTACCTTCCAATAACGCTTTGCGTAAAATGTAATGTCAAAACAAATAGTTACCCCTCAGAGCAATTAGTTTCAAAACGTATAGTAAAAACGTAAAACGTGATATGGTTGGATGAAATATAGATATTGCATGTTTGTCTACCAAAATTGGTCAAGTTCTCGAGACCTATTCATTTTCAACGTATTTTCATGGAATAAACATACTAACTATTACAGAGAAAGACTTAACTCGGTTGACCCAACTAGCTGCTTACAGGATGGACAAGCTATGTGGCCACACGTACTGTACAGTTAAATATAGACAAACTTGTAATGTTATTGAACATAATTAAGATGTATAAGCAAATTAATTATATAAATCATTTAGCTTTGAACACGTGGATGGTTGAGCATACATACCAAAAAGTGAGTTAAATATTGTGAGCGTTTGCATGACGCCATCAAGGCGGTTCGGCCGATATCCAGGCGTTCCGGCCGGTGAAAACCTGGTGAGGGGATGGTATGCGCCAGTTGAGAACACGGCGAGAACGGTAAGCAAGAATTCTGAAACACGGTAATTCCGGTACAAGGCCGATGAGAAGCCGGTACAGACCCGGAATAGAACGGTATAGTCCCGGTCAAAAATGTATAAAAACACTGCGGCCGTCGCCGTCTGGCCATAATTAGCCAAACGGTGGCGAACGGTGAGCCTACACGGCTAGTGTGACCGCTACTTAAAGAAGAAGCTACATTGATTACAGAACATTGTCTTAAAAAAGCATCTTCCATTTTAGGGGTTGTAAGAGGTGTGTGAGCATGTCAGAAATAAAGGCAGCGATAGTAGATCAAAAGAATGTCTTAGTAGTATAGAACACACTCATGCACATTGTCTTTTGGTTAACTTGGTTTGCAAAAGTTACAGATGTTATTATGTTTTTAGTAAGGGACAGGCCTGTTAAACAGAATGTAATAATATATTCAATGTTATATATTGGAAGACTAAGCACCAAAGTCTAATTTTTCATTCACATCATGAGGAACAACATGCAACAATGTCATAATAAATAGCATGCACTTGCATTCCACATTTTCCAGGTTACAAATATAACCATGCAATCAGGTAAAAAATGATGTCATTTAATCGGGATGAAATGTAAGCATACAAAAAGTTATTTTCATACATAACGCTCATGCTATTAGTATTCATATTCCAATAGTTTCTTCTAAAGTTATCATTTATATTTTCATTTTAGAATTTGTTTTTATAAAAGATGGCTCTCTGTGATAATGATTGAACATTTTTAGATATCTTACTAAATGTCAGTGTATAGACTATCCATTAAAAATGTTCATATCACATGGCTAAGCCTGCTTTTTGATTGGTCCTTTACCTTTCCTTGGTAACCGTGGGGGTGGCGGGGTGATTATAGGTGGCGCTACCCTACCTGGAGGCCCTGGGGCACCACGATCGCCCTTATCACCTTTCTGACCTTGACCACCAAACTCGATTTCAAAATCATTTTTGTCGGTTCCAAAATCAGTGAAGCCTTCTCCGTCACCACCGCCATCTGGTGGTGATATCTCCTGAAAAAAATAACTTAAATTAAATAAATTGATAAAAGCATGTTGGTTGTTCTAAAATTTTTACAAATTATACTTATGGCATACCAATGTTCCCTCTCTCCCCCATCCAATTAGAAAGATTTGTCCGCATATTTGATTTTGATAATGGCCAATTATGACATCTGGTATTATGACTATAATCAGCCCTTATATCTGTATTTTTTCAAACATTTCTCAAAGGTCAAATTGTCCCCATCTGGTTGCTATTATTCTTGAGCAATTAAATTATCAATATTTGTCACATTATTATCAGATACAGACACAGATACTAATAGCGTCCTTAGAAATGTCAACGACAGGAGTCTCTATGGCTAATCCTAGTGCATAAATCTTATGTTTGTTTGCTGACAATGATGTGATATAACAATGTAGATAAGGAGAACTTTTCAATCTGGTTCATATCAAGATGTCTGGAAGAATCACATAGATCCATTGCCACTTTGTAACTTTTCACTTTCAGGAAAAAAACACAAACCTGTTCAGTTTTGTATCATGTATCACAAAAATCAGACATATTCTGTTTCAAATAAGACATCAGAGCAAACTGATCTCTCAGTTTGGAAATTTGGTCACTATGGAGACAATAAGAACACAGATAATTGGCTTTCGAAAGATGAGATTTCAAACTAGTCATGTTGCATCAACATGGAAAGGGTAAATGCATGTGCATTAATAATTTAAGAGTTTATAATAATGTGCATGTCTAATATGAAGCTGTGTATGTATTATCAATTATTTACAATAATGCATATCATTAAATTAGCACTGGCATATTCATTTCCCTGGTCAAATATTTCGTTAATTCTCAAATGAGGCGATACAATGAAAGTAAATAATTAAAATTATCACTTTAATATTTAGCCTTAACTATTCATAATACACGATACAGTACTTATATTATGTAAGAATTTGATAGATATTTCTCATATACATTATGCTGAGTGTATTTGTTTTTTCCAGTTCAGTGTAAACTTTTATCATTGTGTCTTCACTGTCTTTGTCTTTTTTTGCAACATGTACTATATATTTCCTTCATAATGTCAAAATAGAGTTGAAATATCAAATGAAAACTTATTCAAATAAATTAGAAATTTCATGATGTTATCCACAGTGAGAATTTATGCTCACATCAAACAGGTTATAAAATTGTTCAAAATATCAAATTTAAAAGCAGTCGATAAAAAATAATGAAATCGAATTCCAATTATTTTGGGTATTCAGGGAGTAAAAATATAGATATTCATATATACAATGTATATACATATATAGAATATTATTCAGAATATATCAAAACCAGCTTTTATATACGATAACAATCGTTATCTTGTTATGTAATAACATAAACAATGTGATAGCAAACCATTGAACCGCTAAGGTGAGAACATAGCTGTATGAGTATGTGTACATGAACACCTTTCAATATACAGGGTGGGCACAAAAATATTGAAATGGTTTTAAATGGATTATGATTTTTTTGTAAATGCGAATTAAGTCCATAAATAAAAAGTTTTAATAAATTGATAAATTTCCATTTTTGCCTACGGCTCTCTAAGTTTTGAATATTTGCCATATTTTATCTTCGTAATTTCAAAATTTCTTTTATCAGTTATGACATCATATATTATATGTGCCACCATATACTTTACTGACTGCTAATTATACCTTAAATTATACCTTTTGCTACCTATTTAATAATTTTTGGATAATTGGTCTTCTTGTTATGCCTGCAAATCATGCTTCAGACATATTTTCTGAGAGTGATTGAAATGCAAATGGTAAATAAAAAAAATAGTGAATTCAGAAAGTATTCCTTCTGCTAGTCCCTTCCATATACATTATTATAATGTTTTAATTTATTTTCTGCCTACATGCAAGTGGATGCATATAACTATGTCAACTGCTCGCAAATCAAAATCATTTTTTAAAACAGTAATAAAGTAAGCCTGTAGCATCATAAACAATCTTAACATGCATTTATCACACGAAGCAGTTTTCCTGAAAAAGGTTTCCATGACGATTGCACAAACATCATCTTCACACATAATCAATTGTGGGTATACGTTGGTAAGATTGTGCTTTGTTAGCTAAAAAGTATGAAAATTATTTTTCAAAATTTTCCATTGTATTCAAAATAAGAAAACTCAAAAAGTTTTGTTTCATTAACAAAGATGGATGGGTGGTCTAAACAATGTGTAAAATTTAGTGCAACATGTCTGAAATGGCCCCTAAGCAGTGGCAAGCAACACAGCAAAATCATGACAATCCATGCATGTTTAATAATAGTCCTACACACAGCCCAAAAAATTGAGGAAAATATTTCCTCATATAAATGGAAAGCAGTGTGCCTTAAATTAGGCAATTCTTGATGCAGTGTGCAAGGCTGATTTATGAATGTAATTAACTGTAAATTAAAATGATAATCAGTGATGAAAGAAATGTATAATTATTTTGGTAGTAAAACAGTATTAAGGACCTTTAAGTAGGTCACTTATTAAGATTGAATGTATAGTAAAAGTATGAACTTTGAAATAATTGTATTAGTTAAAATGCAGATTAAGATGAAAATGTAAATATTATTATATATCCACAGATTAATAAATAAATAAATAAGCACCATTAATCCGGCCTTATGAATCATTAATCCATGTAGTCTGTTATATCTGGAGAAGAAACCTTCATACCATTTTAAAATAAGCAAATTAATTAACAATTAAGTTATAATTATGCATCACTACTATGACAATGGGTACGTTAAGCATTGTGGGTACAAACATTTAGTATGACTCGTGTGAAATGGATGATCCTAAAGCGAATGATAACAGGACATTCTACAAGCATCGGCCATCTTGAATCTAGGTGGCCATCTTGAAACCTACCCTGGATACACCCCCATGTCCACTTCCTCCGATAAACTGGAAAGAATTTACAAAATGTCAAAAATATTGAGCAAGCGCCAAACCATGTCTACTCCATCTAAACCTGAAAATGTCACTTTTAGTGTAAATGATGACAACCTATATGTACATGCAATACAGGGAATACAAACATCAATTAGGTGGATACTATGAAACATAATAAGTGTCACTGGCAATGGATGTAAGACATTCATACTGAATTAACGGGGAATTTTCTGGAGCTCATCAGTTTCTCAAATGACATTAGGATAAGATGAAAAATATGCCAAGGTCGAAATTCAAAATATAAACATATTTCTATATTTTTCAATTATTGATTCAGGCTTTTAACATTATTGTACATGTACACTGAAACTGATTAGTTTTGAGAAATAAAGTCAAATTATTTTGTTATTGGACAATACACTGCACTATACTTGAAGTACAAGATGATACATACTGTAAATAGATATTATAAGTTATTGAATGATTTGAAGTGCAATACAGGATATATTCTGCTTGAGAAATTCCGTATTGGAACGAGACGAAGTCGAGTGCCAATACAGAATATCGAGACAGAATATATCCTGCACTGCACTTCAAATCATTTGATAACATTTTTATCGTGTGATCCTCTGTATTGCTACTGAGATTGTCCCCTCCGTACCAATATTTTCTGTATTGTGACGGAGATGATCAACGGGGACAATCTCGGTAGCAATACAGATTGGTACAGCACAAGAACTGACCAATCAGAAGGCTTCATTTTAAAGATCATACGATAAGTAAATGTACTGTTCTGTTATATAGAATGCAAATCTAGTTTTAGTTGAAACACAAGTTAGAGTCCATGAAAATGAATCATTATACTGTATAGAAGATGAATATGAATAGAGTCAATCATCAATCCATATAGTCTGTTACCTCTGGGAGGAAACCTAGTACCATGTAAAATAAGCAAATTAATTATCATTAATTAGTTATCTATTATGCATCACTACTATGGCACCACTTACTCTTATCATAGTTGCTACAAACATTTAGTAACAATCATGTAGGGTAGATTAACTTTAAAGTTCGGAACAAAATCTCAATGTCTTTTCCACACAAAACTGATATCAAATATTGCCCTTGTACTTCAGTGTGATTTTTGTATACTGTTCCATTAATAGTACATTTTTAATCGTTCTTAAAACATGTTTCCTCGAGAACTTGGAAAATATGTTTAATACGCTATTATCACCCAATGAAAAGTCATCGAAATTAAACCCTCCACCCTAAGCATATATTGTTTCATGTTGAAAAACATTGATATTTTTGGCCAACCTATAAATAGTATATTATAATGACTAGACATTCCACAAGCATTGACCAACTTGAAATTCAAGGGGCCATCTTGAAACCTACCCTGCCGCCACCTGGGGTACCAGCCCCATGACCACTGCCTCCAATGAACTGAAAATAATTTGCAAAATGTAAATTCTGTTTTTCAGCAGGCATCATCAAAGGAGTTTGGCCCTGCTCATTTCCCCTGAAATGGCTTTTTCCAGAAATGGACAAAATTAAGGGAATAGGACCAAATCTTCACCTGGGATTTAAGCTTCATACACACTTTTAAATCCCAGACAAAACCTAAAGTATCAAAACTCTTTTTGGGTCTCAATAACCTGATTTCCCCCAGTCAGTGCACCTTTTGATTATTATGGCAAATAGTAATAAATTACTTCCCAGTCGATTCATGGATCTGAAGTGTTGCTTCTAAAGAATTTAGAATTAACACATCCGAGCCAAAACATTCAGCGGCAAGAGAGATAAGGTAGAGAGTTGTATTAATAAAGAAACCAAAAATAAAAGTGTTTGTATTGGATGGGTCCTTAATCAAATGGAGAACAGCATAGTACTCGACAAACCAATGCTAAGTCACTCAAAGATAGTATTGATGACATAAGCCCACAATGGAGCACCATTGACCCAAATGAACAGACTCTCTGACTACTGAAATACCTCTTTAAACAAAAGGAATTAGCATTTTCAAAATTTAAACAAATTAATGTATCGTTGGTAACT